CTCCCATGATAAACACAGTCGGAGATTTGACAAACACCCTCCAGTTGTTATGGGATAAGATATTTAGTGTTAGGATTCCCAGCGTACACGCTCCCAACCCTCTCCTAAATCTATACTCACCAGAGTATGACCCGGAGGAAGAGGGTAAAGGGTTATTCGTTATTCGTCCTCTACCACGACTCGATGACCAAAATCGTCGACATCATGAGAAACGCCCTCACCAGTCCGACGGGGACGTTCGCCTGTAGATTATCAACCCCAAGTGGTTCGCACGTGCGGGAAGGGCCTATTCATGGAATGAACGTTTCTCCAATGAGATACCCCAGCCAATTCTCCAACCTATCCAAAGGAAACGAATAATGAAGCCACCGTTAGTATTGCCTGCCGGTGCGGTAATCTTCCCAGGTTCGAGTGTTTCACCATGCGTGCGTGATACGGATTGAAGAAATCTCATGACCGCTCACCAACCTTGGGGGCCAATTTGCAGTGTCAATATTGCAAAGCCGGGTTGCTCTAGTCAAGCTTTACGGAGAATGGCAACCATCTCACACACACCATTCAACTTTCAACAAATCGCGGACGGAATAAATATGATCACTGGAACAGTAAGAATATAGTTATACGGAAAGCAGCGGGTACTTCCCCATCTTCTCCGACAGCGATTAGGCTGCGATTGCGAAGGAAGAACGGGTGATAAGAGCGACAGAGGACGACCGCAGGCCAGGACCAAGGTGCGATGGGGAAACGACCCTTGTCGAAGAGTATAAGAAAGGTGGGAGAATACATTTTATTCGGGACTCTTCCTTATAACCAAAGCTGGGCCGCCACATCTCTGTCCGCTTCACTGCTTGACTTCGAAGATTATACCCAACTGAGAACCATTTGCCCCCATGGGATGTCGCTGTAAAAGGCAATGCTTCTGCGCAGGTAACTTACCAAGAGCCCCCTCGGTCGGCGACTCTTTGGCCCGACGAGCCTGACTGTCCGGGTAATCAGTCAGTTGAGGAATGGGGTGAAGGGTATCAGAGCCATGTTGTCCCAAGCCTTTGGCCTGATGGTGATGAGGGCCTTGACGAAGATCAGAGGGAGTTCCGTCGGCTGGTCTGTTCCCTGGTGGTCGGGGACGTTGATAGCGGAGGTATACACTGGAGGTGCGATGTGCCTCTCACTGATGGTCGCGAAGCCATCCTCGAAGCTGTCCGACAGAGGCTTGGTACACGAGTGCCCGAGCCGACGACCACCTCTTATGCTGTTGCAAGACCTGTTCATGTCATGACAATCAGGACTGCCAGGATTGACGATGAGGAAGGGAACGCATCGGACAGTGATTCCACTAAGGAACCTGCTGGGGACCTGCCAAGTCAAGGGTTCCAACGCCTACTTTGAAAGGAGCTAAGTACCTGCATATCATAGATGATATGATACTCACATATCTACCTAATCTTCAGCGATAGAACGTCCTCCAGCTAAGGCTACTGGGCTCTGTATGTAAGGGCTGCGAAGGATGCACCCTTACTTCAAGAAAGTTTAAAGGAAATAAAATGACCGTGTGCCTCCTGTTGTGTATGCTTAGCACAAGAAAACCGAACGTTTCGGGCAATACTACAGCAGTCCTCGTATCTCTTGAGGAATTTAGATGGGTCAATACCATTGACACAGATGAATGGAGCGCTTTTGTCGATACCCTCCCTCATGAAGGCAACGAAGGATAGTACCAAACGATTAAACCATCCTCTCCTGGGTGTAGGTAGACATTTACCAACAGCACGAAGACCATTTGCAACGCGAACTCACTGAAACAATGGTCTGGGGGGCAGCAAACAAGCGAAGACCTCGAGCTTGAAGAGACTACTTCAAACTTCCTGGCAGACCAACTCGCAGTGATAGGACTGCTCTGGGGCGCCCATCGTGTAGTAGACATTGTCCTTGCTATATGGGGGCATGCCTAACTGCCGCTGATCCTGGGCTCGGGCACTATTACGGCGGCCGCCGTCACTATCTGGATCCACAATGACAATGCTGCGGATCAAGCTAATAACATCCTAGGGCGACTACATGAGAGTAGCGTGAAAGGCTGCAAGAGTGGTCGCAGATCTTGGAAACGCCGGGAAACAGCGGCTTGCAGATGTGTATCGAGGTGAAAACATCAGGATTCCTTACGAGACTAGTGTTAGATATGGACAGCAGGACCTCACCTCCTTCTTACTTTCCGTCATCATGAACGCCAGTTTTCTTTTTCACTTAGAAACAGCGCTAAAAGCCTCGCAAGGCCGTTTTCTCTTAAGCTCACTCATAAGGCCCTAGATCTGTCAGAAACGCGCTGACAGAGAATTTGGCTTGATGATGAGTCCGCGGGGGCATACTGGTCCTCGCGTTCTGATGGTCCTTGACGACTAGCCTCCTCGGCGTCTGAGAGTTGAACATACATATCCGGGCATGCCCGCCTAGATGGACCGGCGCCGTTTTGTGACACTATAAAAAACGATAGACGAAGACGATGTACGGAGAATGGCATGATTCAAAGCAGCCAGGTTGAGTTCACCCGCCCCTTTCGTCCTTCAGTGTGATCTTTATAGGACGATCAGAATTATAACCTGTACAAGGATGTGCGAAGAAGATATATAAACGAAGAATTTCCTTTATGGCCCTGACAGTGAAAAGCAGGCAGGCAAAAAAGGCTTCGAAATCCGCGCCGTCCAATGACTAGAATAGCGACAGCGCCGAAGACAACGCTGCGCGCGTCGACTCTCAACCTCGAGGAAATGATACACCTTGATTTGTACGCTTGCTGTCGGACTAGCCATTCTCTGAAATTATGGGCTGTTTCCCTACATCAGACACTGGGGTTTTTCATATACGCCTCGATACATAATGCCACCTCGAATGTATCAACAAGTCAAGACATGCCATATACACGGAGGAAGACATCATTAGAGTACAGCCTTACGTCTAAAACGGCAGCGATCAAAGACGACCTGTTTGTCTTCGTCACCTCACTCTTGATTTCTTTCTTATTACTTCTGTTTCTTTTGTCCGATACCATCGAGACCTGCACCCCCTTATATCGATCAAGAAAGACCACCTTCGCGCTTACCTGTCCCATGGCGTCTTTTGATGGCAGTTGAGCTCCTCCTATATCGCTCTTGCAGCATCCCACGAACACCGAAATCCTACCGGGGTGTTGCGTTCTTCAAAGGTAGGAGGTGCTTGGGCACCACCTGTTAGTATCCGACATGACGGACTCTATGTCGTTAATGCTGTCCAGGGATTTGTCGATGCGGATGGGGGCCAATATTTCCGATACCGTTTAGACAGAGTCTACTAGGTGAATGGGGAATTTATGAAAACTTCTGATCCGGAGAACGGGACTCATCCCGAGTATAGTATCATACTGAACGAACAAAACGAGAACGCCCGGATGATCAGAACAGGAACGGTGACCAAGACTATACCTTCAATAATATAACATTTGGAAACTTCAACTAATTTAGCATCAATAACGTTATACAAATCAAAAGTCAGAGAACTCCACCATCGCCTCTTCATTGTCTGTGGACGAATCCGATGGGCCGGCTCCCATCTCGGACGCCTAGGAGTCAGTTTGATGGCACTCTTTCTCCTCTCTCTTGGCAAGTTCAAGGGAAAATTGACTCATTTTCGCCTCAAACAACGCTTCTCGATGTGCGAGGTGTCTCCCCCTTTAAGATAGGGAGGGACCTATCCATATCGAGTTACATATATTATCCGCAGCAGATTCTAAGTACGGCGTACATAAGTGATTGCTTCTCCTCCAGCCGTGCTGACCCTATTCTCCCAGGTATGACCGGATTCCATAGGCCAATACCCACAAACGAGGAACCAACAAGTCTTTAGAAGGGGGTCTCTCCAAACCATCGAAAAGCCTTTAGTAGATTCAACTCATATTCTCGAATCTACAGGGTTTTCTCATGACCCAGAAAGTACAAAGTCCTTGCCGAATTTTCCCAGTGGCCTAGGTAGAGACAACAATTCATTAGTTGCTTGCGTAAGAACCACAACGGATGGAGTCGAAAGAAAGTTTACCAGTAATGCAGACTTGGTATTCGGTGGAAGCATTGACGTGAAACCATACCAATGTTGTACGAACAACACGGTGGCTTCCTAGAAGAGGGACAAGCTGCCATGCTCTACTTCAGATAAACTTCTTCGTTTGAACATAACCCTGTTTGATGCTCGTTCAACACATAACATCCTTCATTCTCTATCCCGTTCTCCTCGAAGTCTCAGTCTTCTCCTTGGCCGAAAGGATGTTTGGTTTATTTGATGGCCTTGCTCGACTCTGTCAAAGTCCCTAAACTGATTCGCTTCAGCGGTATGATCTAGAAAGGCCTCATTTAAAGCAAGTGCTTCGTAGGCGAATGGCCCTGCAGTTGGTGAAGTAGTTGGTTTGGTCTGGTCAGCGAGCAAGGAAGCCATGTTATCCCTTTCTGATGGACCATAATACAAATATGCCTCTACGTGCTTCAGTTAGAATGTCTTTGTGATTTATCTATTTTGCCCATCATTTCTTCTATACAGTGATCTGAGCCTCATTCGTTAACGAATCGATAGAAGCTGTTTGTCTGCTGAAGTAGCGCTCTATTCAAGCTAGCGAGCGATTGGAACCATCTAGAAACCCCGAGTTAAATTCAAATAGGTTATATCCAATACCTTCCCCGGACCCCTCTCTCGCAAAGGTAATGTTAAGAGTAATAGGATAATAAACTATCTTATATTTTCATCGGCAGTTAGCCAAACATTTCGACTCTATCCCCTATAAACTAGCGAATTCCCTCCAAGCCCATGGCCGCGACCTTACGAAAATAAGTTGTCCAGGCCGAAAAAGTCATCGATAGATGTACCTTGTGCAATTAAATAGTCTTCGATATAAGAGTGGTTATTGAAATATGCAACTTGAGTTGGAGTTTGGCCGTAAAAATCTTATCGATCGATGTCGACGTTGGCAGTAGTAAGTAGAAGCTTCACAACAGCCTCCTGGCCATTCTCAACAGCCGGCCATAGCTATCTTTAATATTGGGATCAGCCCCATTATCAAGAAGAAGCTTTACAATAGCCTCATGGCCATTCTTAGCAGCCCAGTGTAGCGGCGTCTGGCCAGGGTCATAGCTATCTTTGATATCAGGGTCAGTCCCATGATCAAGAAGAAGCTTCACAACAGCCTCATGGCCATTCTCAGCAGCCCAGTGTAGTGGTGTCCGGCCATTGTCATCTTTGATATTGGGATCAGTTCCACGATCAAGAAGAAGTCTTACAGCAACCTCATAGTTATTCCTAGCAGCCCAGCGTAGCAGCATCCAGCTATTATCATCTTTGATATCGGGATTAGTCCCATTATCAAGAAGAAGTTTCACAATAGCCTCATGGCCATTCTTAGCAGCCCAGTATAGCGGCGTCTGGCCAGGGCCATAGCTATCTTTGATATCGGGATCAGCCCCATTATCAAGAAGAAGTTTCACAACAGCCTCATGGCCATCACTGGCAGCGCAGTGTAGCGGCGTCTCGCCATCGTCATCTTTGACATCGGGATCAGCCCCATTATCAAGAAGTAGTTTCATAACAACCTCGTGGCCATTCTTAGCGGCCCAGTGTAGCGGCGTCTGGTCATAGTAATCTTTGATATCGGGATCAGCCCCATTATCAAGAAGAAGTTTCACAACAGCCTCATGGCCATCACTGGCAGCGCAGTGTAGCGGCGTCTCGCCATCGTCATCTTTGACATCGGGATCAGCCCCATTATCAAGAAGTAGTTTCATAACAACCTCGTGGCCATTCTTAGCGGCCCAGTGTAGCGGCGTCTGGTCATAGTAATCTTTGATATCGGGATCAGCCCCATTATCAAGAAGTAGTTTCGTAACAACCTCATGGCCATTCCAAGCAGCCAAGTGTAGCGGCGTCCGGCCATAGATATCTTCGATATCGGGATCAGCCCCACTATCAAGAAGTAGTCTCACAACAGCCTCATGGCCATTCCTAGCAGCCCAGTGTAGCGGCGTCTGGCTATCGCTATCTTTGATATCAGGATCGACATTAGCAGTATCAAGAAGAGCCTTGAATATGAACTTAATCCCGAAATATGCTGCTAGATGAAGTGCTGAAGTCTCACGTGGAAAGTCTTGGCTATTATGGGAATCGCCACCCCACGATGTTTTCGTAGCGAATAATGCTTGGACCCCTGCCTCCAAGTTCCCCCTTCTCTCTAGAAAGTTCAGTATTACTTGTCCTGCCTCTTCCTGCATCGGAGTTTCGATTTCCTGGCTGCCGTCTAAAGCATTGCGAGCGTGATGTCCCCAATTGCGAGCAGCGTAGTCGTAGAGCCGGTTCGAATGTAGCCGCTTCTTAAAATTCTTATCCGTCCGAGAAGGTCCGCTCTCAAAGATATCAAATGAGAGGTAAGTGGTACAGATTGTCGTAATATCTGCCTCAGCAGTCGGAAACCATCGTGCTTGAGTTCGCTGGAAGTACTCTTGTGTTGTGTAGTGCACTAGGCGGATGATATGGCACTCCTCGTCAACTGTGACCAATCCAGCACATACTGAAACCATTCGGTTGACCGACGTCATTTTCTCTTCGTTAAGCTCGATGTCTCCGACGTCTATCGCAAGAGCAGTCTGGATTTCTGATGTTGTCAGGGGTCTTCGGCCGCAGATTATCCAGTATAGAACTTTCTCCGCGAGCCTTCGAAAGCATGGCTTCTGGCCCGTGATCCTTCTCATGGCCTCGTCATATGCCCCATCCAATACTTTCTGCTGCTCGGCTTCCTTTGATCCTGGAGTTTGCACCTCAAACTGCCTTAGCGCTTTTCTAACCTCCCACACCGAAGTTGTATCGTCCAGCGCGTCGAGGTAAAGCTTCGCCAAGAGAAACCTGAAGAAGAGTCAGTAGACATTCCATCGCGAAGCAACATCTCAACGTACATTCCATCCACAGCCTGTGATATTGCCTTCTTGATCTCCTCCCGTAGATCCTGGTCCCAGTCGCCGAACGAATCCAGGTTTCCCATACGACTGTCCAGATACCGCTCTATGTCTTCCCGAGTTGTTCGAATTTCTAACCACGTCTTCCCGTCAAACTTGCTCGTGATGTCTGGAATGAACCTTGCTGTCATGAAGAAGCTTATATTGCATTTCTCCTGGATAGCAAACATTTCAGAGAGGAACTTGTCTCGGCATCGCTTATCCGTCTGGCACTCGTCAAGGGCGTCAACGATAATGAAAACCCTCGTGTACGAAACAGCGACAGATTCAAGGGCCTTTGAGAGTTCATCCGTGGATGGCCGTGTCTGACGGGGGTTATGCCGCTCATAAAGCTCCGCTACAACCCTCGGCGTGGACGGTTTTGTCCTGCTAAGCTGCAGAAGAAGGCTGGCGAGCAGGTTGTCAAGTTGTTGATTCTCTCTCTCCCGAAAGTTGCAATAAATATGGGCAATTCCAACGTTTGGATCTTGACCAAACTTGCCGATGATGTGCTCGACAACGATTGCAGTAAGAATCGTCTTTCCCGCGCCAGGAATTCCCGGGCAGAAGAGTGTCTGTTTATCCGTCCCAAGCCACGTTCGAAATTCTTGAGAGTCCAGAAGCCATTCGCCCGTTTTTAGGCCCCTCCTTTTGATGTAATCGCTCTGTTGGGAGCCATAGTCAATAGTGCAAAGCCAGTTGTGGACCAGCATATGCTCTTCGCTTTGCTCGCGGTTGTCTTGGCGCTCGCGCAGTATCTTAACCGACGCATGGGTGTCCATGACGGCCTTGCTGTTATACCAAGTAAGTATAATGGTATGTGTTGAAGTTTAGGAAACGGAGACAGTACCTTGTCAGTGTTTGAGTAAAGGCGTTCAGACATGTCACATTCCAGTTCATCCGTGAGCGAAGGTCTTGTATGTCCTTCGGCTCCAACGTCAATCTCTTCCAGGTCCTTCGAGCCTTCCCACGCATTCCGTGGGCATTCGAAGGCTCGAGGTAGTAATTCTCATTCACCAAGATTCCAACATCGGTGACAACGTTGTGGCATTCCACAAGGAGCTTTTTTAGCTGTTCCTCTTGCCACCCGGCCATATCGCGCTCTGACAGAAAGGGTTCAACGTTTTTGAGAACGCCAGTAAGACTCGACACCCTGTTTGGAACCATATTAGCTTCGGAAATATAGAGTCCAGACAAACATACTCATTCGATATGGCTTTGAAGTGAGCCGGTGCATTGGCAAATCGGTCGTGCAACTTCTTCGCTTTGTCGAACACGGCGATGAAATCGCCCACTGAAAACCCAAAACTCATTGTGATGACGCTTCTGAAAAAGGTCGAATCTACGAACCGATATGCTCGTAGAATATAAAGCCACTACAGCCGATTCTGAGGCGTTTGATTTTTGATGGGGAGGAAGGGGAGGGCATGCGAACCCTTGGCGGCGGTCTGTTGGTTACAGCCTAATGATGCCAGCCTGCCCTGTTGGATTGGGGCGAAGTCGACGTAAGGCTGCGCGGGGTAATGCCTCATGCATGGAATGGAATGGAAGCCCGATGGCTACCTAGAGGGCTATATGCATTCTCGTTTGGGGCAAAACACAGTGAGAGCCTGGCGACATAGCCCGACTCCTGACAAGCCAATCCACCCGTGTTCGACATTCCATACGGGAAGCTCTACGTGAATGCATACTTCCGATGAACGCTCTACGCTCACCATTCTGATAACCAAAGTTAGAGGAGGTCAGCTCTACTTTGCAGGCGGCTTCTTCCGGAGGCTATCGACGGAGTTTATAAAAAGCTCCGAAGACGGCCAATAACCACAAGAGGATGGTTCGACATGCCAGCCAACCGCGGCGCTAACTATATTATGTTGGGGACGGTGTACCCGAGAAAAGAAAATAAGCAGGCAGCGGCCAAGGAATCCGGAATTACGGCTCCTGCAGTGGCGGCACCCGGCCAGGAACACCTGGTGGACGTAGGAGGCATTCGTTCCGGTACTGAAGGACGCCACTTGCTAGGCTTGTCGCGTTCATTACCACCTATGGTCGGTTCGCCTAGTGGCTGGTGGCCTGAGAAGCTGGACAGTTGGGTCGCTACTGGAAGCATGGATGGTGAAAGACATCTGTTTCGCTCACAGCCTAGGTAGGAGTGTGACCGTTTAAGAGTGACCACAGCCCACACATCCCCAGCAGATGGTGATGTAGCGTCTCATGCATATTCTCTACAAATACTGGTCACCTGGAAAGGGAAGGGAAAATATATAAACAATGCATCACTTCTTCTTCAAAGGGAATGAAAGTAACGTAATCGCTCGAGGTGTTCAAGTTGTATCTTGGGCATTCATCAACGCTGGTGTCAAGGGCGTCTGGCTATCACAACCCTTTTGCCTCGACATTAGCGCAAGCTGGACTGTCATATTATAGCCTTTCAGAGAAGCCAAGTGAAGTGGCGTTCGGCCATCTCTGCGACCCTTTGCATGGACATCGGCGTCGGTATCAAGGAGCGGCCGAACTGCACCGTCAAGGATGAACCATTGCAACATTGCGGCGTAGCAAGGATTCTGATGGTCCAAGTAGTCGTGTGGTGTGATGAAGTAGGTAAACCTCATCTTCGTAACTAGCCCAAAACTTACGAGCAGTACGATATCCCTCAAGTAGAACCTCGCAGGGTTATAAAGCGTGTTTCTATCTTATCCCCGCCCACAAGGTCGGTTGATGGGGCCGATGGTAGACGGGGAGTCGGAGACTCACACTCTTTCTCATCCCCCGTCTCACCCTGTTTCTCAGCCTCTTCAAGGACCGCTTCATAGAGGTCTTGAATATTCGCCAGAACAAGCTCCAAATTGTCCTGATCCTCGTTGCCGGACCCAAATTTACAGATCCTGGAGTGGTCCGCCTGCAGGCTAACCAAGTTCTCCCTATCCCCTGGCAGCCCAAATGTTGCGCTTGCTTTTGACACAATCTAATTCAGACGGGAGCGAGTTAGAAAGTCAGCAGGTCCCTCAAATATCTAGGATAGCCTAGCTTACCTTATCGCGAGTACCCCAGAAAGACACGATATGAAAGTCTAGGAGCCTATGCTTCCAGTGTTCTCGCATGACGTCGCTGAATATCCCGCCATCACGCAGCGTAGCTAAGAGGCTGCCACCCTTCTGGAAGTCCAGAGTACGAGCAATCTTCCTTCCAATGCTTATGAGGGTTCCATCTTCGCCGTGATGAGGCACAGCAAAAAATGCAAGCGCCCTTGCTGCTCTCTTAATATCCTGATATTTCCGGTTATTAAAGGCGTTGATTAAGGCCTGTTTGATGAGAAGCCCCCCAAAACTATGGCCCAATAGTATCAGTGGCCTATGGGGGTCCTTGATTCTCTTGACTCTTAGTCTCTCTAAGAAGTCATTTGCCTTGTCGATAAAGGTACTCTTGTCATCGCCGGAGACTACTGCGGAATCATACTCGTACATAAAGATTCGGGATTCAGGCAGTTTTTTCGGAAGGTCGTCACGGAGCCACAAACTACCCCCGGGTGTCATCCAAGTGTCTAGCGCGTGTTGGGCGGCTGGCTTGTTTTTCGGGTTTAGCCCCGGCACTGCGACTATGCTGAAAAGTCGTCAATAAGAGCACAACTCGCTAAACCCATTGAGCGACAATGCCCTTCCATGGTACTGGCCTCTGTCGGGAGAGGTAAGGTACGCTGATCGAATAACGTACTCGACTTTCTCAGTATGATCTCCCCCTCCCTTCGGATCAGGGTATATCTGGTCAAGAGACTGTACGGTGTTAGTTATTAGTAGTGGGATAATATAAAGTACACCTAACACTTGTGATTAGAACTAACCATAATCAGATCCTAATTCAAATCAAATACGCTCGATGACAACATTTTGGAGTCTAGTCAGCGTGATGCCGAGAAGTAGTATATGAGATTTGCACGCATCAATGTGAAGGAGGAAGAAGTGGAAGTGGAAGTGGCTCGGATCGCGCATCGGGCTGTGAAAGCGGGGAGGCGGGTCGAAAATACGGGCTCCACGGGGCGATGCCGAATGGATGACACCAGGCAGCCGCGCGCGTAAATATCCGTTGAGAGCTTCTCCAACACCTTTGCCATTGGGCGACGGCCTCTACCCCTGCTACTTCTGAAACGATACGTGTCTTGCCTGACTTTATTTCCTTAATTTCCCCCACAATCTTGTGGGGTCTGGAAAGGATCGAGTTTACCTTGTTCGAGATGCCACATCACGATGAAAGCTGTCTTGACGGCATGGAACCTATAATGAAGCAAGAATGGTAAGATTTGGCGAGGAAACATCACAAGGGTTGATCACAGGAGAAAATAGTAAGAGGATCGCTGGAGAGTGAGAGACAGAAGCCGTGATGTAGGTTATGTGGTCGTGATGTACCCAATATGCAAAGGTTTTAAACTCCGTGAACTGCCAGCTCCTCATTACGCCTATTGAGAGACCAACCCCTTCATATGCTCTAATACTGTGACAATCGCAGAATCCAAGCCTTCCATTCGCAACAGCGCGTCTATCCAGGAAACCAGTTTGGCCTGAAGAGCAGCCTTATCCTCCGTACGATCCACCCCTTCGTTTAACCTCGCAAATACCGTGCGCAGGCCACGGGGGAAATCGGCAGTATATGGCGACACGCCCGCAACGGGTTGCTGGATATAGCAGAAACAGGTCTCCGCCGAAGTGGGATAGCTCTCCAGCATAGCATCCATGGCGTTCTGAAGGACCTTGGGCCCGGCAACGACTGTGTAGACGAAGTCGGAAAACATGGTGAAAAACTCTTCCGCCACTGTCGGTGAAAAGAAGGCCTGCTTCCTGCTGACGTCGAAGATGGCTATGGGGATGGCGCCATCTAGCGCGGGGTTATTAAGCGTTTCTTTTGTCTCGGCATTGAACACCTTCTTCGGTTTCGTGTTAAGGACGTCGGGATCCCGAGTAATAACGCCGTCTTCGTCGACTCCGTCGTCCTCACTGTCACTTCCACCAAGGCGCAGCTCGTCTTCGTCTTCGACCTGGCTCTCCTTGATAACATCCTTGGCTTTCTTCCCAGTCTTTTTCCTCTTCTCATCCATTTTCTGTAGCCACTCCATCTCGCACCGCGCATACTCGACCCACACCGTCCCGTCCGCGACGCAAAACTTGCAACCCCTCATGAACAAACTCCTAGCGGTCGCCATATCGCCGTGGCCCGCGGATCTCCTAGCCGCGAGCACCCAGAGCGCAGCGTCCGAGGGCATTAGCCTCAGCATCTTCGTCATGACCCTCCTCCACCTCTTGGAGGCCTTGACCTTGGCCATGTAGTCTAGGTACTCGAGCCATAGTTCACGGGAGAACTTGTGCCTCTCGACGCCACGGTCGTAGATTTGTAGGATGCGCGATTGGCTGGCGTGGGCGGACGTGAGGTTGCGGAGCTTGAGGCGTATGCAGCGCTTGATGCGGAGGGCGTCGAGGGATTGCTCCCATTTTGCGTATTGGGAGAAGTCGGCGGGTTGGCTGCCCTGGGCTAGGATTCGATGCTCGAAATCATTTCGCTTCTGGACTATGGTGCGGATCTCTTCCTGTTCGAGAGAGGGAGATTGTGTGTCAGTAAGGCATGTCTCGGGGCTCTATTGCCAGAGGCGAGGCGAGGCAAGGGGTTTTAGCAGTGCGAGTCGCAAGCTGCATGTATACCTTGGAGAAGATTTCCTTTTCCTCCCATTCGCGGAGTTGGGGGACAGACCGCTCGAGGAAGAACCGGGCCTTGTCAGCGACGTTGGACATGGTGGGCTTCGGATTCACCCGGGAGGAGAACCGATGGTGTTGCTGGTGTTGCTGGTGTGAGTTGGAGTGTCGTCTCAAGAGGATCCAAAATTATTAATTTTTTTTCCCCATCATTTCTTTTCACTTTTTTTTTTCGAGGTCAAGGTACGTGCATGTGGGGCATATCTCTTATCAGATTTGCGATAAGCAGAAGCTCTTTCTTTGTTCAACACCGAGGCAAAATCACAGGTCAATTCCCCTTGGACGCGACTGAAAAATGCGCGGTACGTATCGATAGAATTTGCGGACTCCGTTTTGTCCGTCGCTCCACAATTGTACTCATAGTTCGTATTATCTGACATAATCTATCTAGCACGGGCCTGTTAGTGATCGAAGACCCCAACAGCACAGTACGACAGTACGACAGTGGAGCGTGGTGGTGTTAGCCCCGCTGGAAAGTTGGCCGATCTCCTCTGCCCTCATTTTTCGGTCTGCGGAACCTAGGCCTGATTCTGACATTGGAGCGGCCCTTGGAGTGCCTGGGACAGGGGGGGATCATTGGCCTCATTGACCTCATTGACCTATTACCCACTGACAACCCCTGTGTCAACCCTTGTGGTGCCTGGCTCTGTTTGCCAAGACCACCTCCGTCATCAATTTTTCTTCCTTCGAGCAAGGTTCGGCTTGCGTTTTAGTCGCGACAGGCGTGGAGAACCGTGGAGCACCGTGGAAAAAGTGGGAAGTGAAAACTGGAAAAGTGCCCGAGCAGGCGGAAGTTGCACATCGATCGATCGCTCTTGCTTGTGCTCCGATTGTCACTCGTGCTTACTCGCTCACTCGCAGACTTAACGCGGCGGCAGTTTCCCCCCAATTTTGCTGTGTCCAAAACTGTCCCCATCATCATCCGAGGAATCCGGGCCATAGCTCCAAATCCGGCGCTGCCCAGTCCCAAGTCTAAATTACTCCAAGACACCACCATCTTTTTCTTCCCCTCAATTTCTCTGGTTTCTTCTTTCTTCCCTCCGACTTTCCATTTGGATCCTTGTTCAACTGATTTTTTCCAATGGGTGTCGGTCGGTGAGAAATCCACCATCCCCATATCTCTTTCTTTTCCTTACCTGTCGTTTCTTGTTTTTCCCCTCGTTTTCCGAAATCGGTATCCGCTGCTGAGCTGTCACTCTCACCTTCATTGTTCCGTTACCGCCACCTCTCCCGCGATCATGGGGTCCCGCTACAAGGACAAAGATGGCGGCGTGGTTCTGAGCTTCAACGGCACCTGGGTCTCTTGGTCTCACACCGTCGTGGCATATAGTATGTGCAGCCTGTTGAATCCAGCCTTAACCTCTCTCAAGTTCCAGCAGCTTGCAGCTGTTTTCTAGCTGTTTGCTGGCTTGGGAATGCGCTCCTCCAGCTTCCGACGCTGCGCTGTCCCCCACAACTTGACCAGCCCTTCGCAGATCCCCGGCATTGCCTGGCCTGCCCTGGTTACTGACCTCGTCTCCACTTTAGCCGCGTTCCTCTCCGCCCTCATCATCGGCTCTCTACTTCACTACCACAAGATCGTAAAGAACGAGTGGTTCGGGTACCCCGACGAGTGGTTCCCCTCAGTTTCCGCGACCATTGGCGACCGATACCCCGAGCGATCGATATTCCAGATCTTCATTGCCATCACCTCAGGTACGGTGCTGTTTGCTCCTCTCTGGGCCTGTGCGACTCGACCCCATCATTTCCCATTTCCCCAACCACAACAAATAATTTGCGGAAGTTCTTGGCAAAATCCTGCATGAATTCCTGGGCACAACTAACAAGCTTGGCTTTCCAAACACAACAGGACCGCGATTCGCCCTCGTTGGACTATGGTACCTTCTAACGCGCAAGCCGGGCCACGCCCTGCCCAAGTTCGTCGCCGCTATGGGCCTCTTCCGCACCTTCACTTGCGGCGGCTGGACCTACATCACGTCGACCGATGATCACGACTGGCACGATATCCTCATGATCGCCTACCTCGTCGGCACTCTCCCTTGGACTCTAGGTTGCATTGCTTTGAGCCCCCCGAATACGAAGGCCATCAAGTATCGAAAATACCTGGCCACCGCCTTCTTCGGAACTCTAGTTCCCATGGTGTACTTCTTCCTCCAACACAAGATCCACCGAGTCCCTGGAGGTATGTTTCGCATCGCCCAAGCCTTTGTCCAACCCACGCGACTAGGCAAACTTAGCCGCACTCCCTTGTTCTAATACCGACTCTTTTGCCTTACTAGCTTATACCACCTACGCCTTCTTCGAATGGTCACTCATCCTCTTCGACGTCGCCTTCGATTCGGTAACCGCTCTCGACTTCTCAACCTTTGAGGTGGTAGTGAAGGACGTCAAGGGAACGACTACGGGGTACGTGCAATGGCTTCCAAAATGAGAGACGTGTACATTACCGCCACATCTCTGTTTTTCTTACGAAATGCGAATATATTGGGGCGCGTGTCTTGGGTTTGTCCCAGGTGCCGTTTTCCCCTTGGTTTCTTTGACTATTCGTGTGAGCGCAATGTGGGAAAGAGCTGCTTCTGAGATGTTTATTCTTGTTCTTCTAGATATGCGAGCAATGTGCCCTCAGCTGTGATTGAGAAAGAGTATGACATCCCCCTTCTCTGGACTATGGACATTTGCGCACGCAGACCGAGAGCGCTGACGGAATATAACTTGTTCAGGAAGGAATTGCCCCTTGGAAATGTCTTATCGTTGCGATTCACTTGGACCGAGGCGTTCGATACGGCCGCGGAAGTCTATCATGGAGTACGTTAATGAGATGTCGCTTCGGGGAGATATGAGTTGCGAAAACTGACAACGACATATAGTATGTCTTTTGGTCCGTCATCACGAGTCTGGGAGTTGCCGTGTGGTGTAAGTCTTTTCCTCTCAATGGTAACCCACCCAATTCTAGGTCTAACGATGTGTAGACTTCCCTCTCTGGCACATGGGCATCTCTGGCTACGAGGCCTTTATAATGACGACGACATCGCCGTTCCTTCTCGCCAACAAGTCGATCCGATCTTACCTCGTCAACAACCAGCGCCTTATTCACCTACTGTCGCTCGCCGGCATTGCCGCCTACCTCGTCGAGAACCCCCCGATTCGCCTGTGCATCATCGGCTTTGGCGTTTTCATGTCATGTCTCGCCTGGGCGACCACCTTCTACGCCGAATCGATCCACGAGGTTCGACTTGAGAGCAAGATCCTCGCATTGGCCGTCGGCCTGATCCTCTCATCCACGATGAAGTTCGCATGGTGGACTAACAACCCTATCTGGCCCATCATGCATGCGGCTAACGGCGGTTGGAACGGAACTGGTCTTGTTCTTGGTGTTTTGGCCGTGCTGAGATATACGCGCAGGGCACCTCTGACGTCTGGGCAGGCGCCGGCCTCCCCCAAGGGAGGTTCTGCGATCCTCGCGGCTTTCGGCTTCGCAGGCTTGTTCTTCGGTCTGCACTCACTCCTCTCTGATACGAGCACGATGATTTTGTGGGTCTGGGAGGGATTCCCCATCCGCGGACCCTACTCTTCCACTCACGGCTGGTGCACCGTGGCCGCCATGAGCGCCGGTCTCATCGTGAGCCTGTACCGCCACAACCTTGTCACGAGCTGGGCCGCCTACGCCGTCGGCTGCGCGGGTGCGGCGGTTCTTACTCTTTACTCGCACTGGCTCGGTTTCTACGGCGCACTTACGATGGCCACCTACCTCATGTCCATCGCCATTCCCTTCATCAGCAATGCCGCGCGACAGAATCCCGTGATAACGTTTGGCGTTGGTTTTCTCATCTACAACTTCATGGTGCTCTTCCACGTGTGGGTTGTTGCTTACGCGTTCGTACCCGGTGGACCGTTCCTGCGCGAACACACCGACTGGATCATGATTAGCTTGATGGCGCTCATTGGATGTGGCGTGTACGATTTGCACGCTCAACGCGCCAAGGCGGATAGCAAGCGGCCCATTGTTCGGAGACACTCCCCATCTCAGTACAAGAAATACCACGCCGCTGCGACTGCCCTCATTAACATCCTGTTTCTCTCCGCGACGGTTAGGCGCGTGCCATCCAACGACTACACGCCTTACCATCCCGACGAACACCTCATCACGGCGGGTATCTGGACGATTCACTTCTCTCTCGACAACGACATGTGGTCATCGGAATACCGCATGCGCGACCTGATCAAGGAGCTGGAGATCGACGTTATTGGCCTCCTGGAGTCTGACCTTCAGCGCATTATCATGGGCAACCGCGACACGACGCAGTTCCTCGCTGAGGACCTGGGCATGTACGTCGATTACGGTCCGGGCCCCAACAAGCACACGTGGGGTGCCGCGCTCCTCAGCAAATTCCCCATCCTCAACTCGACGCATCACCTCCTCCCTAGCCCCGTAGGAGAGCTCGCGCCGGCGATCCACGCCACCCTCGACGTCTACGGACGACTGGTCGACGTCTTCGTGTTCCACTCGGGCCAGGAGGAGGATGTCGAGGATAGGCGTCTCCAGAGCGAGTACCTCTCCAAGCTCATGGGCTCGACCGACCGACCGGCCTTCCTCCTTTCGTACCTCGTGACGAAGCCGCTCAAGGGCAACTACAACAAGCACGTCTCGGACGTGTCGGGCATGCACGACGTCGACCCGTCGGACTGGGACAGATGGTGCGAGTACATCCTTTTCAAAGGCCTGCAGCGCGTGGGCTACGCGCGCGTGAGTCGCAGCACAATTACCGATACGGAGCTGCAGGTGGCCAAGTTCGTGGTGCCCGAGACGGAGGCCAAGAGCGCTGAGCTCGAGGCTATGGATGCCGAGGCGAGGAACAGGAGAACGACGGAGGCGGAGGTGCCTCCGGGGTGGAGGTTCCCTGCGATGTTTAGGGGGGATGGCGTGAGGGGACACAGGTATCATGTGTTTGATGAGCCGAGGTATTATAATTAGGAAATGATAATTTGATGCGGTTGGGGGGTTTGGTAGGGGTAGGGAGGCTCAGATCTCGGCATGGATCTATTGTGTTCTAGTATTATATATATATGGATAAGGATATCCAATGAATAAGGGGGGGTTCTAATGATACGGAGGGATGGATATCAAGGGGTAGGCGTTTCTTTTTTACTTCATTCTATGAAGGAGCTTGAGGGGTTTTATTTTGCGGATAAGGAGCAGATTACGGGAGGATTTTTGGAAGCTTTCTCTTGTAGCTCTTTTACCCCGGTTTTGTTTCTTCATACTTAATGGTGTAAGATACTTTGACCAATGTTTTCTTGTCTGTCCAACAGCGAGTAGGCGAGAAGATCTCTGTTGAAGCGAAAAACTTCTCTGTCCACGACGGTTCTGATAGAGTTGTGGAGTCGGGCTAGCTAGGCGAGGCATAGCTTGAGAGGAGGGATTCGGCACGGAGCTGAAGCTGCACCCATTCCTGCATCTATTCCTTCCATCAACACAGCGGACAACACCCAGCCTTTATAAGAGCTATCGGACGCAGAATCGAATACATGCGACCATACCCGCAGGAGAACTCGGAACCCCGTCCGCTCTTCCCTAGATAAGCCTGTGAGGGCCAGATTAGTAGTTTGGTCGGTGACGACAAGCGAATCCCTGGTGTTGCATGTCTTTTTTGACACTTTTATTTTTACATTTATTTCACGTTTTCAGGTTCTCTTTTGAGTGTCGAGACTGCTGTCGGGGGTCTAGATTCCGGAAGGAATTAAACACTGCCAGGGCGAGGGAGAGTTCGCCGGTTCGCTGGGACTGTTACCTCGGAACATTTCCATTTCACATGCCGGAATTTTTTTGAGGTAATCTTGCGCTGTTTTTTTTCCTTTTTCTTATTCCTCCGCCGGGTGTATGGAAACACATATTTATGCTACATATGCACATACTTGTACGTGTACGGAGTGGAGTATTGTTCCTTCCCTCTCCAGGACCAAGGCACGGAAGGATCGGGATCCGCTCTGCTCCGGGGCCGAAAAAATGTGGGTTCCTCGGCGGACCAATAAAACGCGGCTCAACATAAGCAGGAAAAGGAAAAAAAAAAAATCACGATTGAGACTCGAAAAATAGTCTAAAAATAAGAAAGATGGGGGGGAACCATTATTAATGTCCTCTCCTTGTCCTTTTCCCTCACCAGTCCAAGGAGAGAAAAGTAGGTGCGTCTCGTGTGTCTTGTTCTTCCCCCCTTCCGGCTGATTGTGGAGAACCTCCGGCGAGAGCTGGTCAGGGCGTCCGAGTGTAGCCGACGCTAAGCCGTTTCCCGGCGTAGAGGGTTTCCCCGCGGCTTGTATTTTAAGCCCATGACGTCGGCCGGGTCAGCGCTAAAAATCTTAAACAAATACGGGGAAAAAGAAGTCTGGGGTTGGATTGGGGGCGGAGTCTGGGCTCTCTGGGGAAGCTCTGGGCACAATGCCGTGGGAAGCCGGGGTAATTGGGGGTTCTTGATAGGGATCGACTCGGGGTAGTGTAGGGCCGGAGGACGGAATGGAAGAGTTGAGATAGCGGAATGAAAAGGTGGAAAGGGTGATGTGATAAGGCCGAGGGTTTGTTCCTGAGGATGGAAGGAGATAAATAGGTGGAGGTTATCTTGGTTTTTCAACGTGTTTGATTACTCTTTTACTTCCTACTGATGTGGTGACGATATCTCGTCGATCCAAGGGAGAAAACAAGTTGTCTACTTCGTAGTGGATGATAGACACTGAGGGATTGGAATAGATCTCTTTTTCTTTTTCTTCTTTTCGGCTTGAGGTTGACAGACGACTCACATCACAGAGATGCAGTTCCACACCAGCCATCTCTTCTTCTGGCTCGGTGCCGCTCTTGCGGCGGGCGCTTTCTACGTAAGTCAAGCTCGGTAGCTAGATATTGATTGTTTCCTTAAGCAAAGCGACACCCAATTCTTTGGAAAATCAGATGTACTAACTCAGCCCCAAGCTCTTCGCCCTCGTCGTTTACCGCCTCTTCTTCCACCCTCTCTCCAAGTATCCCGGCCCCTGGCTCGCCAAGGTCACCAATGGCTACCAGCTCTACCACGCCTGGAAGGGTGACCGCCATCTCCAGTTCTGGCGCCTCCACCAGAAATATGGTACTACCACTCCCCTATCCTCAATACCACAACCCCTTCCATAGCTCCCGTCAGAGCTAACACATCTTCACAGGCCCCATCGTTCGCTTCGCCCCCAACGGGCTCTCCTTCAACTCCTCCACCGCCCTCCGCTCCATCTACTCCTACCGCTCCAACGTAGGCAAAGCCCACTTCTACGACGCCTTCGTGCACCCGGCCCCGAACACGCACAACACGCGCGACCGCGAGATCCACGCCCGCAAGCGCCGCGTCATCAGCCACGGCTTCTCCGACGCCGCCGTCAAGGAGATGGAGAGGTACGTGCTCGCCAACGTGCGGACTTTCTGCGAGGAGATCGGACCTAGGGGCAAGGAGGGTGCTGTGAGCGTGGTTGATGAGAAGAAAGGGTGGAGCCCGGCTAGGAATATGAGTGATTGGTGTAATTATTTGGCTATGGATATTCTTGGAGACTTGTGCTTTGGAAAGGCGTTTAGGATGTTGGAGAGTGCGGAGAATAGGTACGCGTTGGACTTGGTGGCTGCTGCGACCAAGAGGCATTTGATCGTAAGTTTCCTCTCTCTCGGGTTGGGCCAGTCCTAATTTTGTCAAACCCTTTTCTGACATTCTCTTCAGTGCGGCACGATGCCCCTCGTCGACCAGCTCGGTGTCGACAAGGTCCTCTTCCCCGAAATTGCTGCCGGCAGGGCGCGATACATGGCTTACAGCAAGTCCCAGCTCATGGAACGCACCAAGATGGGCGACGACACCGACCGACGCGATTTCTTCTATTACCTCCTCAAGGCGCGGGATCCTCACACTGGCAAAGGCTTCACGACTCCCGAGCTCTGGGCCGAGTCCAACCTTCTGTAAGTTTTACGAAGCTCGAACTCTTACGAAACAAAGAAGATATCATAGCTAACATGTCTGCCTTCAGCATCATCGCCGGCTCCGACACGACCTCCACAGCCATGGCAGCCACCCTCTTCTACCTCGTCCGCAACCCCTCCGCCCTCGCCCGCGTCACCCAGGAAATCCGCTCCACATTCACCGACGTCGAAGAAATCCGCCAAGGCGCCACCCTTACCTCTCTCACCTACCTCCGCGCCTGCATCGACGAAGCCATGCGCATGTCCCCCTCCGTCGGCGGCCTCCTCCCCCGCGAGGTCCTCTCGGGCGGCATGACCATCTGCGACGAGTTCGTTCCCGCTGGTACAGTCGTCGGAACGCCGCACTACACTATTCATCACCACGAGGAGTATTACCCTTCGCCATTTACGTATATCCCCGAGCGCTGGCTCGCTGGCGAGACGAATCCCGTGACTGGAAAGACTGTTACGGAAGATGAGGTTGCTACTGCGCAGAGTGCTTTCTGCCCATTCAGTATTGGACCTAGGGGTTGTATTGGAAAGGGGTTGGCGTATATTGAGATGAGCATCACGTTGGCGAGGGTGCTGTTCTTGTATGATTTGAGGAGGGCCGTGGGAGTTGTTGATCCCGGTGAGGGGAGGGAGGATTTGGAGTGGGGGAGGCATAGGAGGGAGGAGTTTCAGCTTATTGATACGTTTACGAGCATGAAGGATGGACCTATGATTGAGTTTAGGCCGAGGGAGGGTGTTGAGGCTTGAGCTGGGGATGGGGAATGAAGAGAAGGGAGGATTGGAAGCGGTATTTGTACGGAGGGGTGGGTGTGTTTACATATACTCTTATGAGCAGACTGAGAATGATGAAAATAAAACAATGAATAAGTAGTCTCTTTGAAAGAGTTGCGTGACGGCGCTACAGGGACGTCTAATCAATCCTGAGATCCTGAAAAACAAGAAGTTTGGAGGAATTTATGTGAGACGAGGACTGAAATAGCTTCGAGTCAATACCAGACCCCCAAGAGCTCTTACAAGAATCGTACACCTCCAGTCCGTCCAAAAAATCTCCAAAACGGCATACCCGGGTATCATTAAACAAACCAATCGTTTTGCTATTGCGGGGGAAAACGAGCAAGGAAACCTGTGCGGGAAGCGTTGTAGATCGCCAGCAATTGGCCGCCAATCCTAATTTCCCCCAGATCTCTCGGCCCCATGCTCCGGTTACAGAAGTTACAACAGTGTTGATCCCCTTACTGTTTAGTTTCTTCCTCTTTTGATCTGATTGCAAGCTGTGGCCAAGTTGTTAGAGGTTGTATCTCCCTCGAGCCCATTTCGGCGAAGCTTGCTGGGGCTTGTATTTCGAAAAGGAGAGAGGCAAAAGAAGAAGAGGGAAAAAAGCATCCTGGCGATGTTTGGGGACTACCCATTGTCAAGGTAGCTAGCTCTATGGAGAAAAGTCATATCCGCGACGAGTCAAAGAAGCGCACAAACGAGAGGCCGCCATTTGTGGGGGATCGCAGTTTCTTTTGGTAGTGTATCGGATGGAAATATATATTATTTGTATCCTGTCCATTGCCGTCCGCTCTTTCTGGAATATGGAGGGAGAAATTGCAGGATATTGGCTTTGATATTACCCGCAGGGGACCATGAGGGGGCGAAAGACGAGTTCGGCTGGACGTGATATTCCCACTCGATGGAAGCCAAGTAAAATAGATGAGGCCATGGTTAATGGAAAAAGATGGGGAAATGGAACGAGAGAATTTCAATTTGCTTTTAAAGAACGGGAGCTCCCCCTCTCAACTCTCGAAAAGTCGGCGATGCTATCACTTATGATTGATATTTAGGAGTAGGAAAGGCCAGACTCCGGCTTCAACACAAGCACACACAGCCATGGTCATGTTTATTCCATCCCTTCTCGCAGCAGCGAGTTTCTTCTTCCTCCTCTCCTCGGCCTTCCCCAACGAACGCCGCCAGGAAGAAGTGTCCACTGTATCATGGCCCGACGGCCCTTTCCGCGTCGAGGGCCGCTGGATCCTCAACGCCTCGGGCAAAAACGTCACATACGCCGGTGTCAACTGGTCGGGCCACGGCGAGGCCATGGTCCCCGAGGGTCTGCAACATCAGTCGGTCGAATACATCGTGTCCAAGATCAAGAGCGCGGGTATTAATGCTATCCGGCTGACGTTTGCGATTGAGATGATTGACGATATTTATGCCAAGGATGGCGATACGGATCTGGAGACGTCGTTTGTGAAGGCTTTGGGGGAGCAGAATGGGAAGAAGATCTTGGCGCAGGTCTTGGAGAAGAACCCGTCGTTTACGGCCAAGACGACACGCCTCGAGGTAGGGTCGTGTTAAAGGCAATACTAAAATGGCGGGATGTGAATGTACTGACACCCGTTCTTTCTTTGAAAACAGGTCTTTGACGCTGTCGCTGCCGAGTGTGCTAAGCAGCAGATTTACGTCCACTTGGACAACCACATCTCCAAGGCCAAGTGGTGTTGTGGCGAGACGGACGGCAACGCGTGGTGGGGAGACCGCGAGTTTCCCGTTAACAATTGGGTCCGCGGGCTCAAGTACATGGCCGAGCATGTAAGTGTTTCTTTTGTTTCTTTCCCCCGTCTTTCAAGATCTCACAGTAGTTGTATCTCTCTCGCGAGATCCAAATACTTGCGTATGCTGACTGTGACGACCCTGTTCTAGGGCAAAAACTGGACAGCCCTCACTTCCATCGCCCTCCGCAACGAACCCCGCAACCCATCCAACAACGCCGCAGCAGCATCAACCTACAACTGGGAGAGCTGGTACAAGTTCGTGCGCCAAGGCACCCAAGGCATCTTCGAGTCGAACCCCAACGTCCTCATCTTCCTTTCGGGCCTCAGCTATGACACGTACATCGAGCCCGTCTTCCTCGGCACGGCCCTGACCCCAGGCAACGGGCGCTTCAGCCGCGACGACTTCCCCGGCCACGCCGACAAGCTCGTGCTCGAGATCCACAACTACGAGCGCACCATCGGCAGCTGCCAGTCGCTCAGCGGGAACCTGTACAAGAAGGGGTTCCAGGCCATGCACGCCGAGGACCGTGGCACGGTCAATGTGTTCCCTACCATGTTGACGGAGTTTGGGTTCCCGCAGGATGGAAAGGCGCATAGGGATGTGTATGCGCAGTGTTTGTCGACTTACCTTCCTGAGCAGAAGGCGGGCTTCTTTTATTGGGTGTTGAATGGGTGCTACTACATTCGGTCGGGGACGCAGGAGTATGATGAGGCTTGGGGGTTGTTGACGGCGGATTGGAAGGAGTGGAGGGATCCGGCGTATATTAACGGGGCGTTTAAGACCATGGTTGAGGGCGTCAAGGGGTACTTGGAGTGAGTAAGCTGAGCTGGTTGAGAGGAGAACGGAGAGAGAGGTTTGGAGAGAGACGAGTCATTGACTTGAGAGTGAGACCAATCGAACTCCTTGACTGAAATCTTGTTCGTTGCTAGACGACGTGAATTGTGTTTCGAACGTGGCGGGACACCCAATGGATGAAGAATCAAATCTATTGGCAGTAATGGAATCAATTCCCATTTGATTTGACGCTGTGTCTTGGTGATACAGCCACTGTGGCGGGAGTTACGGGCGGTTCCTTCCCCTGCAGATCAGTGCACCGTGCCAGATCTGTCACTAGATTCAATGCAGCAAGGCTGAAATTTGCAACCCTCCAAATGCCCCGTCCGTAGTTAGGCTAGCTGCAGCTCGGGACTTCAACATCACATCAACCACTTCAGCCTCCTTAATATTTTTTTTCCCCCTTCCTCCACTCAATCCAACGCCGACTCCCATACTTCTCGCGTGCTCCCGACCGACCCTGCATATCCGAGGTCTCTGAAATTTGATCTACTCATTTCCGAATGCCCAATCCTTGAATTCGAATTCTCACCCGACTACTCTTTCCGCTATCTCCATTTCGCTTCGTCCAGTCGCCCAAAAATAGTCGGCCGCAGACACCATGGCACAAGTATGCCGCTTTTACCAGATGGGCAGCTGCAAGTTTGGTGGTACGTAACTACCCACGTCGCCCTACATCCCGCGCGCACCTCCGTGAAGCTTCGCCGAAGCTCCTCCCCAGCCCACCAGATCCGCCGAACATCGAACAGCGTGTGCGCTCGCGACACAGAACTGACTTTTGCCCTCCCCCAGACTCCTGCAAGTTCCAACATCCCGGCGCGGCTCGCAACAACCGATTCCAAGTCTTCGGCTCGAACCCGGCGAGTAGAGCCACAGGCTCCGCGCCATACTCCCTCTCCAAAGATACCATCGAAAAGGATCTCACCTCCGAGCCCCCGACATGGATCCTCTCCTGCTACGGCCCCGGTCGAGACGCGCCCGAGCAACTGTTTGGAGGTTATCCAAGAGAGCAGAGTACCGACGAGATTAGGCTACATTACGAGAAGGCAGTACAGGCTGGAAAGCAGCAACAAGCAGTATGTGAAGAAGAGCTCGTTTCCTGGGGTTTCCTCTGTCTATGACCAAAAAATGCAAGTAATCATACACAATATCTGACAAGGCACTGACATTTTACCTTCTCTTTGTCTAGCTCCAAGAAATCCAACAACTCTACACAAACGCCCAGCAGCAGATGCAAAATACGGTCTCGAATCTCGATAACGCGATCCAATTCATCGCCAATGGCGCGAATAAACATCCCAACCGGCTAGATATCATCAGTCAAACCAACCCGCCGGGTGGCACGACGGGAGAGTTTGCCGTGGGGAAGCGCCCGATGGGAGGTCAGCAACAAACTACGAGCCCATTCGGCGGAGGTGGTACCGCCGGCGGCGGCGCCTTTGGAACGGCTCCCGCGACGGGGAGTGCGTTCGGCCAGCCGTCGACGATGGGACAAAGACCGAGTCCCTTTGGAGCGCCCGCATTCGGTCAACCTAGCCAGCCCAGTGGCAGCGCATTTGGAAAGCCTGCTGCAACTCCTGTCTTCGGGAGCGTATCCAAGCCCGTGTCGGCTTTCGGTACTTCAACTACACCGGCCTTTGGCCAGCCTTCGCAACCCACATCTGCTTTCGGACAAGCGCCCCAACCTGGAAGCGCATTTGGCCAAACATCGACCCTAGGTGCGCGACCTAGCCCATTCGGAGCCCCCGCTTTCGGCCAGCCAGCCCAGCCAGCTTCCGGAGGAAGTGCCTTTGGTCAGCCCTCGCAGATGGGCGCCGGGACCTCGGCGTTCGGACAGCCCAGTGCCATGGGACAGAAGCCTAGCCCCTTTGGTGCGCCATCGGGTGGCACCGCATTCTCTGCATTTGCGGGTGGCGCCGCGGCCGCGACTCCTTTTGGCCAGCCCGGGCAGAAGCCAAGTCCCTTCGGTCAATCTTCACAGCCGGCTACGACGAGCCCCTTTGGCAAGCCGGCACAAACCGCCACAACAAGCCCGTTCGGCCAACCAGCAGCCGCGAGTCCCTTCGGTCAGCCGGCTCAGCCTGCTGCAGCTAGCCCATTTGGTCAACCTTCACAACCCGCGACATCGAGTCCGTTTGGTGCTCCTGCTCAGACGGCCACTGCGAGTCCATTCGGTCAACCTGTAGCCGCTAGCCCGTTTGGCGCGGCGGCTCAGTCTCAGACCGGCGCGGTAAACCCCTTTGCTAAGACGCAGGATACTACCATGGACACACAGCCAACCGGCGTGTTTGGAGCAGCGCAACCGGCTGCAACCACGAATGTCTTCGGCCAGCCATCTCAGGCCGGTGTTACTCCTAGTCCCTTCGGCGTGCCTACACCCACCGCTGCCGCCGCCGCCCCTTCCGAACCGCAAAACCCCTACCCTCCCGGCGCTCAGATCCAACATCCCCCTCCATCGGCCTACTCAACCAGCTCCATGGGCCGGCTCACTACCTGGAAGGGCCAACCCGTCACGTATCGCGGCGACGTACCGGGATACGTGAACCCTGCCACGCGTAGGTGGGTCAAGATCTGGTTCCCGAACGGCCCGCCGGCGTATAATCCCGAGACGGAACCGCAGGACCAGGCGGCTATCGCGTCGGCGAAGACGTTGTGGGATGCGTTTGGGAAGACTGGGAGGTTTGATGGGTTGTTGCCGGAGGTGGCACCTTTGAGGATCCAGTGTCGGTGGGATGTGTAGGGGGAGAGAGGAGTCTTTTCCTCTTTGGGAGATTTCTCGGATAGACGTGGGTGATGTATGAAGGATGGGATGGTCCGAAGGCATGAAGCGAACGTCTGAGAAGGAAATATAATACGCATCCGGAGGGGATTTGTTTCATGAAACATGCATCTTGAGGCGTTTGCTAGGATATATTGTGTCGTTTTTTCTTTTCCTTTTTTTCTTTTCTTCTCTCTTTTCATGGTTTGAGAGGGTGGTTACTTGTATTCTTGATTGGGAGGTTAGTTGCCCCCATTTTGTCGTTTCTTGACGATGCATGATGATGCGTTACAATACTACGTTGGCTTGGGGCTGGTATATGCTCATGGCACCCACGAACGTAGTCCTAGACTCCTCCTCTTAGAACGAAGAGAAGCTAGCTATCAGCCTGTTCAATATACTAGATTCAAAGCAAAGGCCCCTACGACAGTGAGGTTCACAGATATTTCCCACGATTCATCAGATCGTAGCTGGCTCCACAGGTATATTGAGTCTCGAGATAAAACTGGTACCCGCATCTACAGCAGGAACCGTCTAACCGGTCAAAATCCACGCGAAAGCCATTCTCAACCACCTTTTTGTCATGTCTTTTCAATTCCTCCCGTCTTAGCGCATCCTTACCGCTGTTTAAGCAGCAATGGTAACCTCGACCTCGACACCGGCCTCGATGTTGACGATGATCTGCTTGACGACCTCGGTAGGGGCAGTAAGACTATGTACAAATTAGCAAAAAAGCCTACCCTCGGCTCCAGGAGACAACATACTCAATCAGACGCTTGTGGATCCTCATCTCATAGGTATCCCAAGTCTTGGAACCCTCACCGTTGGGGGTCTTTCGGGTGGTGATCTTCAAGGTCTTGGTGGGGAGGCGGACGGGGCCCTTGACGCGGAGGTCCTTGGTCTTGGCGCGCTCGAGGAGCTCGTTGCAGACCTTCTCGAGGGACTTGACCTTGCGGGAGGAGAGGGTGATGCGGATCTTGTGGACCTTCTATACAATTGGAGATTTCTTGTTAGCAAAGACTGTGGCCCCAAGTCCTGCGCGGCGCATTGGGGATGAGCGGGGGGGGATGGAAGAAACGTACGGGGGCCTCGCCGAAGTCCTTGTCGCCCTTGTTGTAAGACATTTTGTTTGGTATTGGAGGTGTTGAGAGGGTAGTTTTTTTCCCTTTTGATTATTCGGAATAGATTCCTTCACGACTCGAACGGCTGGCGCGTTTCGGCAAAGTGATGAAGGCGGTTGGGGTATCAAGGGAAGAAAGAAAAAGATGACGAAGTGGGTAGGCTGGAAAAATATTGGTGGTATTTTCTGCAGGGAATTTTTCGTGGGCCTGAAAATAGGGCAAAAGAGGTACGTACCTCTTTTTTCCTCAGAAACTGGTCTGTGCGCAGATCGTTGAAAGCTAGATTTGGTACGTACTTGGAGCTGACATGAATGCCTTGATCTTGTAGCTGGTGGCAGCCAAAGATATCCGTAGCGTGTCACTATGAATCATCCGGTGAAAGAGGCAAAAACAAGGACTAAAACGAAACTGTCGAACTTATTCCAGAATTCTGCTAAGAACAACAATCAACGCCGGCTTGCTGCCTAGTTTCCCATCTCGGTGTTTGCCGTCCATCTAAAGTACTTATAGGCTCCTCGTCTCGTTGGATCTCTGGAAATGTAGCCATCAACAACAAATCAACCTTTCCTTTGCCCCTCCATCCTGCTCTAACACCAACTCCTCCAAACTACCCCGCCATCCCGTAGAGCAGTTCAGGGCCCCACCCATAACCTCTACTCAAGCTCCAAGAGCTCCCAACATCATCAAACGACAACCACGACTTCAGCACCAAATCCAAGCCAACTAATATTGCCCTCGCTCACAATGGCTCAATCCCTCCCCCCCTTCGCACCCTTCCCCATATCAACCTGGCGCGACAACCTCCCGCCCTCCGACTGGATAACCTGCCAAGTCGCCTGGTCCACCCTCGCGACCGCCTACCTCGAGCTTCCCGATGCCGAGCTCAAAGCCAAGCTCTCCAAGGACAGCTCCTCCACAGACTTCCTCCTCGCCTTCGCTGATGAAGTCTCCCAACATGGTACGACCATCCTAGGCTCCTCGCCAGCTTCCAAGACACTACTCAGAACGGTCTTTACGCTCGCCTCCCGCCTCGTCTACCTCCCTTCCTCTCCACTATTATCGTGGGAATTCCTCGCCGACCTCTCCCACATCTACCCCCGAAAACTCACAACCCCCCTCCTAACCTCCCTCGCCACCAACGACGCGACAAAACAGCCCCTCGAAACCTCCCTCCTCGCCCTCAAGAAATCCCTCTCACGAGACCTCGAATCAGGAATAGACGGCTCCCCGCGCGCCATCCAAACAACCCTCTCCCGCCTCAACCACCTCCTCCACGCCTCCCCCGACGCGGCTGCCATCTTCCTCGCGGGCTCCGACTTCCTCGATGCCCTCGTGGCGGGATACAGACTTACGGATCCGCCGTTGCGGAGAACCATCGTCACGACGACGTATCTGTGCCTCGTCGGGCTGCTGGCCGATGGGAATCCGCGATTCTCCATGTTGTCGGATCAGTTGTATGCTCTTAAAATCCACGCGGACACGCACCGCGCCGGTCCGTTAAACGCAAACGACAGCCTCGTCCCCGAACTCGTCACCGCCACCCCTCTCCTCCGACAAACCCTCAACAAAGCCGAAGAAGCAGACGCCGCCACCTCAGCACTAAAGGCCCGCATCGCCGCGTTGGAGGCTTACAAGAAAGCGTCAGCAAGCACGCGGAAACCGGCCGCGCGGAAGCGCAAGCTGGATAAAGGCAAGAACGTCGTCGTCCTCGATGAGGAGAACGAAAGGTTCCGCAATGAAATGCACGTGCATCGCATGTCGCAGATCTCTCAGGTCCAGGATCTCTTTCCGGATTTGGGGTCGGGCTTCGTTGCGAGGTTGCTGGATGAGTATGGGGAGGATACGGAGGCTGTGATTGCTCATTTGCTTGAGGAGTCACTTCCGCCGCATCTAGCGGACGCTGATCGCAGCGAGGAATTGTACGTTTTTATTTCTATCCTGCCTTTTTCTTTTTTTTTTTTTTTTTTTTTTTTTTTTTCTTTTCTCACTGAAGACTAACATAATTCATAGATCAACCCATCCAGCAAAAACAGTCCACATGGAGCCAAACCCAACTCCCCCTCTCATCCCAGAAAGACGCAACGTCTACGACGACGACGAGCTCGACCAGCTCACCGTCGAAACCTCCAAGCTCCACTTCGGTAAACGAGATCCCGAAAAGACCGCCGACGAGCTCCTGGAGGACAAGTCCGCCGCCCCCGGCAAGGCAGCCATCCTCTCCGCCCTCGCGGCCTTCGACTCCGACGACGACGAGCGGGACGACACCTACGACGCCGACGACGTGGGTGGCACCGTGGACCCGCTAGCGAACGAGGAAGCCGACGCCGACAGGGAAGTCATCGAAGAGGCTCTCTACAGAGCTTACCAAGCAAATCCCAGGGTGTTCGCCAGGGAGGATTATGCCAGGACGGGTCACGACAGGGAGAAGCTGCGCCAGGACACGGGCATGACCGACGACGCCATCGAAGGCTGGGCCGTCCTGCTCGAGCGCAGCCCCCACCTCAAGCGCCGTCTCGAGAACAAGTACACGAGCTTCAGCGGCGTCCAGACCGAGCTGGTCTCGACCCGCTGGCAAGGAGGAGATGAATCCGAGGACGGTGGCGATTCATCCGCCGGAAGAGGCGGACACGGTCGCCCGCACCGAGGTCGTGGTGGTGGCCGAGGAAGGGGTCGCGGTCGCGGAGGCGGTAGCGGTAATGCGCCTGCGGAATCCAGCGAGAGCACCGAGGCGGCAAGGCGCAGGAAGGAGGCGCACAAGGCTTCAAGAGCGAACCATAATAGGCGCGATCAACGGGCCCGCAAGATGGCTCGCGGTGGTGGAATGGTAGGTTAAGTAGGCATGCCAGAGAGAAGCGAAAGAAATAGAAGACCGACCGGGAAAAAATAAATATAAAAAAGAAAAAAAAAATAAATAAATAAATAAATAAAAAAGAAAATGTGAAAATGAAGATGAGGACAAGACCAGCAAATAGAAGTTGTTTTAAGAGAGACAGAGTTCAATTCAATTGGTTCGTCTTCTTAGCTCAGTCGGTGGAGCGCTGGTCTCATAAACATGACCCGGAAGGGACACTACCGGGAGATCCAGAGGTCGAGGGTTCGATCCCCTCAGAGGGCAACTTTTTGCTTTTTTTGTTTTTGTCATTTCCAACCCCCCCGGTCCATATACTCTTCTTTTGCGCCTTACAACACACCGCGTCTTTGGGGTCAGAAACTTAGATTTCTTCTTCTGTTTCTTCTTCCTCCTTCACCCTGGCCCGTTTCAGCAGTTGCCCCCTAGTTGCGTCAGACCCAAACGTGCTCGCCCGCTTCCTGCCGGACTTCTGAAGACCCATCAAGGGAGTAGTAGACCCAGCCCCGGGACCCATGTGCCCGAATAAAAGAGAATTGGTCTGACCCCAATCCTGCCTATCTGGCTGCCAGGTTGGCCCCGAGATCGTCCTCTCGGACGGCGCGGGGCTTCCCTCGCTTCTTTGCGTGCAGCGCGCCACCATCGATGCCGACGCTGACACTTGCGAGCTGGCATTAGTCTCGGATTTGTCTTGGTCTTCGGGAAGGAGGCTACAGCACACAGGATAAGTAGGAAAGTTGATCAGCTCTCCATCCTCGACTTGGGGAAGCCCCGGGCGACTATCCCAGCCACACTTCTCAACGACATCGTCGATGATATCGCGGATTGGCGTAAAGTAAGTTATCCGAGGACCAGGACCGGAAGCCTGGTTCCGTCCCCAAAGCTGGCCGTAGAGAACGGAAGTATTCGCGTCGACAATGGCTGCTCCGCTATCTCCCGGCACGCCAATGCCGCCTCTAATCCACTCATCGCCATTTCCATCTAGATCAAGAGATTCCACGAACCATTCGCGAGTGGATATGTTAACTCTGTTGCCATCTCGGCCGTCCTCGGGATCGCTGCCGCTGACGAGCATTGGGACCTCACAAATCCGGCCCCGCTGAAGACCCGATGTTCTCCCCGAAGCCACCACTTCTGCTCCGGGTTTGATGTGGGACATAACAGTAACGCCATAGACTTTGGGGTATATTTTGTCAGTTGGGAGGATGCGAACATAGTTTGCCCCCCGGTCTTTAGAAGAAATAAGCGACCAGTCCGTCACGAGTCTGGGCGGATCGGCAGCAGTGTTCTTCCAGTACGGCTCATTCGATATGCGGGTAGTCGTTAGATCGGACCCCGAAGCGTGATTCAGCCGCCCAAGGGGCGTGGATGGCAAGTTCTTCCCCGCCAGTTTATTTCGCTTCGCGTCGCAGAAGCGGCTATCGATGAGTGACGGGTGTTGAATATCCACTGGTTTCTCCCATACGTCGACGAATGGATGAAAGCTGGCGAGCCAATACATCCTGTCGTCCACTCTAATGCGAGGCCCCAGTGTTGCAGTGGCCTCGTCATTTTCAAGTCCGATACTATCACCCATACAGGGCCTCTCGAAATGATGCGGATTCCTCGGTTCGCAAACCTCATCAAGCTCTGAGTTGTCGACGGCCCTTTCACGGAGACGCGCCACCTGGCCTTCGGAAAAGGAGATGGAGGTACTTTCCCTGTAGGGTTCGACGAGAAGGTCCAATATCTGATGAGAAATTAAAAACCGCCTAGACCGAGAAATTTTGTTCTTCGTCATGATGTAGACACAGCGGGAGTTATTCCCTTCGCCTTTCCCGCGGACAACACCGACGGCGTAACTTCGACCGCACCATTTTTCGATAAACTTGGAAAGAAATGGTAGGATGCAGTGCTCCCAAAGAACTGCGAAGGGCAGAGTATCTTTCTTAAGGCGGGCAGTTGCAGCGGCCAGCTGTTCTCGACACCAACTTTTATGCTTATCGATGCTGAGCAAATTTTGTTCAACAACCTTATCCAACAGCGTCCATGTTCGCCCTTTGAGAAAATTGAAACGGATTCGAGCCATGACCCTGTCCTCCCATATAGTCACAGCGTCCCCCCCGATCCCAGTGACCGAATTAGACCCGGGTGTGTGTGAGTCCCCCACATGTTTGCGCAATTGATCTTGGGCATCGAAAGGTTTGTCGGAGCAGGCCGGAAACGGGCAAATGAGTAAATGGGAGGCTTTGACATGCCGTATCATGGATTCACGAGAGTCAAAAGAAGGCCAAGTACACGAGCGCCATTGGCACAAGATTTTATGCGCATCCGGGTTCCGCGGGGTGTCTTCTGTTTCTGGGGGCTTAATTGAGGATTGAACAGTAGAAACTGTGACGTCGGACAGCGAACGCGATCGTCCCCATGACGAGGCTTCTGAGATCGGAGTGAGATGGTCGCTTGATTGCGGGACGCTTGGGGATAGAAGTGTCGAGTGCCTTGACACAGGCGAAGAGTTTCCTTGCCCATTGTCTGATTCTGGGGCATCCCAAGGTTCAGGCGAATGGGTGAGATCTGGGCCGAACAAGGATCGAGAGGAATTGGCCTTGGGGCGGATGTTAAATGACTCTGCACCCGAAAATTCGACAGCCGGTCCCTCCGGAGCCTGGATCGTGAGAGTCGGTGGTGATGGTCGTGGCGATTGCATGCGCATCTCCTTAATTCGGCCGTCTGCGGCGACGGATTCCTTTACGGACACGCGGCCTGTGTGTGATTTCGAAATCAGCGGATGCGCACAACGAATACAAGAAAAGATGGAGGATAAGCAACAGAGCACGAAAATGAGTAAAACTATGGATCTGGATTGGGAAATATAGCGGTAAATTTAACTTGACAGGTCTGGAAAACAGGGGTCTTACAGTCGGTGGTGAGAATAGGCAGCAACCGGTTCGCGACCCATCACAGCTTCAAAACCGGCGGGTGGTCGCCCTGGACTAGCAAGCCTCGCGTTACGAATTATTGGCCACAGCGTCGGTGAAGGTGACGGCGAAGGGGCTGGCGGCCCCATTTCTCTCTTTCGCGAACCATCCTCTTGCCTTGGAGGCGGACTTGGACGCTCGCCATCTGCGGGCTCGTCACCGACCATATCAGCCACAATCGCAATCGGAAAAGATGTCGTTATAAGATAAGAAATATGTTGATTAGCTAGGTGAATTCGAAAACCGTTCTATCAACATCCGGAAAGCACACAGACCGACAAGAAATACTCTTGACCTGAAGATAGCTTGCCATGCTCGTGATGCCGGATGATCACCGAACCCGGAGAAATCGACCGGCAACCAGGACACGGAGGGCAGGATTTCCTTCAGACCGCAAGACCGGGCAGCTGCACGAAGTAGATCATTGATAGGTAAAGGGGGCGGAGCAAATGGAAGTATAATTAGAAGGTATGCTGTGATGGTGTCTTGGTGTTGGTGTGTCCTGTTGGTGTGTCCTGTTGGTGTGTTCACGTTGCGTTGGTGGCTGGCCGTTGTTGACAAGGCCCCCTCGCACCTTCAGAAACCGAAAAGGAAAGGAACATTGAAGCCCCGGTAATATCGACAACTTATTCCCGGCAGCTGCAGTCGAGGTTATTTCCCTTGTTCCTTCCCTCGGGTCTTCGAGTACGAAGTACAAGCACGAAGTACTTCTTCGTACAGAGACTTTGAGCTTCTCTCACTTAAACTACGAAGTACGAAGTACGTCGTGGCTGTCTCATTATTGATTCATAATTGGATATTTGAGGACGAGGCAGACGAGGGAAAGAGCCCTACTACGAAGATCATCCTGTCCCATGACACAGTACCTTGGTACAGCAGTACACATTCTTGAGTCAGTTCCCACCATCCATTGCAGCCTCCTCCGAAGCACTTCATGGCAGAGCTTTTGAATATTTGGAAAGATCGATACTTCCCTTCTTCGGTCAGCTATCAACGCCTCGCCGAAGCGACAGGGGAGATGGATTGGCGGATCCCCAAGGGACTGAACAACCCCGGACAGCACGTCGATATTGAAAATATGTCTTCGTACCTCGCCGAACCAGCATCAAGTGAACATGGAATGTCGGGAGAAGGTGAGTGAATGCCAGAGTTCCATTTCCCAACTCTCCCACCAGGCTGGAACACTAAGGGACACTAAAGTACGAAGTACGAAGATACCCAGCATCTAACCGAATCCGAGCTGTCAGGGTTCCTGGGTGGTCACAATCGTTGCCGGGTCCGGGTGATCAATGGGGATGAGGCAAGAGTAGCATTTCATAAATGTTGCAACGAATTCGCAATCAATGAAAGGGTCAGCCTATGCAAGACGAACGCAGGGAGAAGTGTCAAGTAGGGGGTGGTGGTGTACTTGGATGGTGTACTTGGGTGGTGTATTGCACTTTGTTTGTTGGTCGTTGGTCATTTGGCGATGTTCCATCTTGTTATTTGGGGGCATTCAACCGGTATCGCCAGCATTCCAGGATGGGCATGAATGCCTCATCACAGCGTCGCAACGAGAACTTTGGATATACAAGGCAGTACTTTTGATTCGGCCCCCAAAGTTATACACGGGCATGAAAAATGACAGAATGGCAGAGGGAGAGGTCGGCATGGTCGAAGCGTGTTGCGTCTCAACGGACAATCTCGGGTGGGAGACGCTGCTGCCCTGAGTTTTGATGCAAGATATTACGGCGCGGCTGGGAGGCTGTTCCTCGTTTAGTTTGTAAGAGAAAAGAGAAGAAAATGGAAAAAAGGCATCCGCATTCTAACTTAGCGACAATTCCCGACAAGGGCGGCCAAGATGACAAACGTCAGCGGTTCCTTCTAGACGGAATCAAGGCTGGAAACTAGCCAAGAGGCGCGGTTTCCTAGCGAATGAGAGCTCCTTCCTCGTGTCTCCGCGCATTATGCAAACATGTGATGGGGGTGCAGTGCGGCACGACTCGTACTGGTACAATTGGATTGGACAAGTGGGAAAGCCGTTGGCAACAATTTGACAATTTTAGGGGGGGAGCAGAGCCAGCTGGAAGGATTTCATCGCCGATCCGAGGTGGTTGAAGCAGTCAAATCATATATCGTGCTGCCTTATAAGGTCTTTCAATCATCGTCTTCATCAACGCCATTTTGCCCCCTCCATCATGGCCCCCCGCTTATGACCCGATTTCTACACCCCTCTCGACCCGAGAGGGAGGGCGAGGACGATAATTATTGAGAGAGGTAGAGCGAGCGAAAGAGGGGGGCGGACGAGAAACAAGAACCCTCGTGGCCAGGCCCGGCCATCAAGTGACCCGGACAGAACCAGGTAGAATTCTCCGCGACTCCCTGTCCAGACATAGACCCGGATAGAGTTGTTCGACGTGGCCCTACTCGAGGAGGACTCGTGGTTTAGTCTAATGTTGTCATACGCTCCTCCATCATCCTGCATCTGCCAAAATAAAAACTCGATGTCGTGCTGCGAGTGATGTCCGGACAGGACTGTGCAAGACCTCGTTGTTGTCGTTCATTAGTGGGCCGGCTTTGTCGTCGAGCCCAACGCTCCACGGGCCGACGCGAGTGCGTCTTACCTTTTTGACCGGCTGATTCTATTATACCATTGGGGAGGATCTCGGCAAGACCTGAGTGAACTCTCCGGTAGTGAGACATTTGCGGCGTCGCAGGAATACTCCATCAGTACACCCAAGTCTCACATTCGTCATGCAACCGAAGGTACGGATCGATGTACCTCGGAGCATTAGCTTTGTATTGAAACTTTACCATCGTGGCGGGATGCCGAGACAAGGCTCAGAAGCGCCCTGGTAATTTACCTTCATTTCCACAAATCCCCCGGATGTTGAGCTGGTGGGCCAAGATCGCCATTCTGCCTAGGAGTCTAGGTCGTGTCCCCCTCCTGAGTATAGCAGCATTCCAGTCGCCCCCCACCATCCTCTTTACAAGTACTATTGAGCATTCCAGTCGGGAAAAAGGCCCTCGTCTCAACCCAAGCACTTCCTCATATACAGCCCGGCGCGGGACAGATAAGCCTGGCCGTCACAATATGCATCCATGCCTTTTGGGACGTGTAAGATTGCTTTTGGCGTTCCACTGGCACTCTATCACACATTGACCCGGACTTTCTGGTTCGTTGGACCTCACCGGTTATCCTGTGGGCCTGCAACCGTGGGGAGGGTTCCAAACTGTCGGGTCCGGGTGTTTGCTCAGACGCATACGATACTTTTGCCCGTCCTGCGTATCCTGCTTAACGTTCTCCCTTTATCCACCAATCCACAGACCAACGGACCGGGGGCCCCCTGGGCAAGTGCGCGCGTGTTTGGGGGTCTTAACCGATGAGACATTTGCGCTACAACGTCGGCAGAGAAAATGATGTGTGTAGTGTGTGTGTCTTCCTGTTGATCGACTGGGGGTACCCTGATGAAGTCTCCACGAAGTCCATGAACAGACAACGCACCAGAGCTATGGGCAAAACGAAGGGGGGGGAAGGCCATTGAATAGCGTAGAAACTACGTGGGCGGCGGGCCTAGAACGTCTTCCGATAGACTCATAAAAACAGCATGACGAGTTTGTGTCGACGAGACCAATGTCTGGGAAGGAGGGGGAATCCGCTCCGACCCGGATGGTTTTCACCTCTCAGTTTTCCTTCCTCTTCGTTCCCTGCGAAACTCCTGTTTCTCTTTTCATTTTGTTTGTCCTCCTTGACCCAAGACGAGACACCGCATTTTGTGTCCCTGTGCTTCCCCAGCGTGTGTCACTGTCACTGCTCCTGCTTGCTGTTTGATTTGCCTCATTTTACAGCTCTCCCTAATCCTTTATTTGTAATACTACTTCTTGGCCGCTTCGCGGAGAGGGTATTCACATCCAGCGCCATGGATCGGTTGCCGCCCGAACTCATTTTAGAAATCATCTCGCACCTTACACCGGAGGGGGACCACAAATGCCTCCCGGGCTGCCAATACATTGCGCGACTAAGATGCCTCGCTGCCACCAGTCGGCTCCTTTATCAGCTCGCCACTCCTCAGCTCTACATCCATGACGCCACTTACGCAGGGCGAGCCATCCTTCACGGAGCCGTTACAGGCTCGGTGACGACGATTGCCCTCTCCCAGTCGTGGGGCGGAGATATCAATCGCTCGGGCCTACTCCACCTCCCAGGATACCGCGAGCATGCCACGGGTACTCCGCTCCTTGTTGCGGTGAAGGAGGGCCACTTCTCGGTGGTCAAGTACCTCGTCGACCACGGCGCTAGCCTACACAAGGTGGGCATGAACCTATGCGAGTGCCAGCATTGTGATTACCCCTACTGGCCTTCCGCCCCCTGGACGCCCCTTCACGTGGCTCTGTGCCAGGAACACACCGAGATTGCCGAGTATCTCGTCACGGCCGGCGCACCCTTCATCATTAGTAGGGAGTGCTCGGCGGAGAATTCCGGTGGTGACGGCAGGCGCTTCAGGAGGGGCAATCAAGTTGTGGTTCGGACTTCGACGGGCGTGCACGTCCTCGAAGAAGTCGCGAAGAAGCGGAACCTGCGCATGCTCAAGTTCCTCGTCGAGCACAGCGATGGGAAGCTGCAGTTCAACACCTACCCGGCGGACAGGGTCACGCCGCTGCACCATGCTGCGCGGATCACGGACAACATCAAAGACCTGGAGATAATCAGGACCTTTCTCGACCACGGGGCCATGTTGTACCCAACCGACTATGAACCCGGAAGGCTGCTGGGACCACTGCCCTTCGATGAGGCCTTTATCGATTGGGTCAGACGCTTCGAGGGTGCGAGCAAACATGTGTTCCCCGGTCGCGGGCACCCGTACACGCAACTTCTCGCATTTTTGAAGTATCTGAGTGAAGACGGGCGTGACCACTTGCAGCCCCTCATGGCACGAGTCCTGGAGCTCTGGATGGACCGCGGACCGGCGAGGCTAGATTCTGGATGGTCGCTTCTTTACCAGGCCTTTGGGCTGTTTGACGTCAATGCGCCAGGTCCCGGCGTCATTCGTGAATGGGTCTTGCGGTCCCTCAAGTGGCCCAAGCTTGAAGCTCTAGGCCCCATGAGCGTGGTCGACGTCCTCAAGTTTATTCCGGAGCTGGGGTTCTCCATGGCGCTACTCGAGCCTATCGATGAACTCTTTCTCGAGGCCGCGACGCTTCTTCTTCGAAATGAATGCGTTTGGTTCCTTGAGAATGGAGCGGACATCAACGCCACCACGGGAGAAGGCAGAACCGCTCTTCACCTAGCGGCTAGAGCTGGAGACCTGGACCAGCTTGAACTCCTCCTCTCGAGGGGCGCTGATGCCGACATGCGCGATAATATGGGCGACACGCCTGCTCGCATGGCCGCCAGGTATGGACAGAACGAGGCGGTGGCCATGCTGACGAAGTATGGTGCCGGAGAGGTGTGGATGAGAGCTTTGGAGCTTGACTCTGAGGCGGATGCCGCAGCGGCGCATTTGAGGTGTTGCTGGGGATGACATGAGGGGTACACATCGAGGTTTGGCGTTTGGAAAAGAAGGTTTGGGCAGATTGCAATAAGGAAGCGTTTTTGATTGAAATATTCTGTCTCGTTTTATTTCTTTTGTAGTTATTCATCTTGCGTTTTTTTCCCCTTGTTTCTCCCCTCTCTCTTTTTATTTTCTTCGTCGTCATTTTCATTCATGTGTGCCTTCGCCAGCGATGGGTTTCGGAGCAGGTTGCACAGGGCTCGTCTCAACGCTTCGAGTCATCTCATTCCATTTTCCTTGTTGTTCGGATTGGTTGTCCTCTTTGTTTTTCCTCTCCCGGGGGAATCACCAGCTTCGGCGGAGCCCGCGTCTTCTTCACCATGGCGCTCTGTCTTTTGTATCACTTCGGTCTTTAGCCTTGTGTGTTTGTATTGAATTTTGTCACGGCCGAGTCATGCGTGTGGATTGAACGAAAGACTTGAAATCTGCTGAGATTTTTTTTTTCGTTCTGCGAATATATTGTTTGAATACCCTTAAGACAGGTTCAACAGCCTCATCGTGATATCTAAGGTGAATTTCTCTCCTCGAAGCTGCAAATTACGAGAGATGAGAGGGACCTAGGAAGGGATTCAATCAGCCACCATTACAATCATCGAGCACATTAGTTCTAACCTGGATAACCCTACGACTTTCGGCCATGAGCTTCTCGCAGACTCTGTATTCCAGTCCAGCGGCACATGCCCGATAACGTCGGGCGGATCTAGGTTTAATTCCCGTGCGCTTGAGAGCCCGATTGAGGAGGCAGATGACATTAGCGAGTAAGCAGAAGAAGCAAGCATTCGTGTTAACCTTTTTCCCCCGAAGCATAACATCATTGAGAGACGTGTCTGATGACAGCATCAGGAACTCATTGAAGATACATCTTAGCTTTGTCTCATCCACTTACGAAGAATCAATTAATGGCAGTGCGCTTTGCCATAGACCGTTCTCGAATCCCCCTGATGTATCAATGATGTCGATACCTCGGTCCTGTATATTATTATATTATTCCGAACAAAAACCGGAATAATTGATGGATCAATTGATCATTGATGCTTCACCAACTTTATTTACATCGTTACAAAGGGACTCCGTCTAGCTCGGAAGGGCGCGCCATGGTGTGGAGTCGAAAGAGTTTCGTACCTTCCGGAGAAGCTCCGTTCCAATCGGCGTGCTGCCCAGGAACTTATTTAGGCAAGTCAAACCAAGGAAGTTCACTCTCAGGAGACAACATTGATTCAAATCCACCAACACCATCTCAAGAACCATCAAATCCAACCTTCATCATCTCAGTATTTCGGGGGGCAGCACTATCAATTACCAATTACGCTCACGCCGAACTTGCAGCAAGAAGACATGGATTTGGCCACGACGGCGGGGGCGTCTGACCCACCAAGCGAATCGTCGCCGGTCATGCAGTTCACGACTGTCGAGGCGCTGTTTGAAGAGATCGAAAAGGTCGAAAAAGTCGATGGAGATATCCTTACTGTTAAGGGTACGCCACAAGTCATCATCGTCAAATTTATACGTTGCACCTGTTACTTCCCAAGACTAACTTCCACGTCACTTCAGGTGTTTCGCCGACGGCGTGCACCGCCATCGACAAGGGGAGAGAGAGGAAGCGGCGACGTATCAGATTCCGACGATATATGCCCCAGAAAGGAATCTTGATAATAACAATCCCGACAGCTGTGCATGAGCAGCTGCATTGTGTCCTTGGTGGGGAGGTCGAAAATCGAATCTGGACAATGGGCCTTCGAGACGAATGGAACACAATGGCGGCCACCACATTCCGATCATCTGGAGGAGGTGAAGGAGAAGGGGACTGGACAGGTGGCCCACGGCCTCTACGTACGGGTCGAGACAAGTGGCCAACTCTGGTGATTGAAGCTGGAACCTCAGAGACTCTAGACGAACTGAGAGAGGACATGAGATGGTGGTTTTGGGCGTCAAACCATGAAGTCAAGATTGCTCTTCTCGCCAAGTTTGATCGCCGCCACAGACGAATTCAGCTTGAGAAGTGGATAGAGGTCCCACTCGGTCCTCGACACGGCGCAACAAACACCCGTAACGACCCTGAACCTGAGCCAGATTGCCCACAGGGTACGATAACAATCACTCGGACTGCCAGAATCGCCGATACGGATCCAGCTCGGCTGAATCCTGCGTCCTATATCGCCACCAGTGGTGCGTTACGACTAGAGTTCAGCCTTCTGTTCTTACGACCTCCAGGGCATGGTGAGGGTGACATCGTGATCGGCGCACAAGATCTGCAGAGGTTGGCAATGAGAATCTGGGAATGGGTTTAGGCGGATGCGGTAAGAACCGATCATCCGTTAATCCCACGCTGCAGGGACTTGGGGAGGAAGTATCGCCTCGGACGCTGGTGTGCAAATAAAACGAGGAAGCTAAGAGGAAGGGGACTGGACAGGTGGTCCACGACCGCTATGCGCGGGTCGAGACGATTGTCCAACTCTGGTGATAGAAGCCGGAGCCTTGGAGACCCTAGATGAGCTGAGAGGACATGAGGGGCTTGAAACCTATATGACTTGTGTCTTTCCATCCAGAGGGACGCCAATGTCCTTTGAGTTCTTGCTCCTTCTGACGGGGAATTCTAGGAGATTCATGAGAGTATTCGCCAGCTGGTCCGTCGGCCTCACGGCCCTCGAAATGTGTATGGCGTTGAGAACCTATACCGAGTGGGCCACTCACTGGGAGATATCGCAGGTACATGCAGTGCTTGTTCAACCTGTCAGGCATCCCATAAGGGTTGCTTTAGAGTGAGTTCTCATTCTTGTCTCCCTCTCTTCTCTCGGAAGACGCCTAACCCTTCGCAGGTTCTCTCGAGACCCGAGGAGTGATGCATGCTGTTGCACATCGCTTCTTTAGTGCCGCCTCGCTCGCCACCCTCTGACGAGACGAGGCATGCGAAGCTAAAACACCCCGAGTACCTCCGGCCAGAAAGGGGGGCACTAGAGGGGAAGCTAGGATTCGCCAAAGGCACGCAGCACTTCCATTATTTCGTCGATGCCCTCTGTCCATCTTCTCCATTGGCGGCCTTATATTAAGGTCCCGAAGGGTCGTAAATACAGATTGCGGCTAGGGCGGGCTACTGCCGTCTTCGTGACGAGAATGTTTTTCGGGATTTTCATCCAGTTGCTTGCGGAGTAAACTGGGTTGCCTGGTCACGAAGGTGAGAGTTGCTCTACTTCACCGATACGGGTCCGGATCGGCTGAATCCTGCATCGTATACGGTCGCTGCGGTGGGGGCCTGGCGACCTAGAGTTAGGAGCGCTGGGTCTCCTCCGTGACACCGGGACTGCTAGCCGCCAGTCTAGTTCTGGCGGTAGTTGTCTGGGTGCTCTGCCAGGGGCAGGAAGGGGCTGCGTTCCCTGTTTTTCTGTCCTTGGACTTGGGTGTCTTGTGTGTTTTGGTCTTTCGACTGGCGGAGTTTTTGAAGCGACGGACCTCGTCATATCGGAGCTAGCTTCAACGATACCGGGACCGTTCCCCGAAAACTTTTTTTCGGCCGGCTCGAAGAGTTGAGGCCCATGAACCCCGACCCGTCGGCGAGATCCGGGAATGGACTCCCGATTTATCATGCTCCCTCAGAGGGAGAGTTCAGAATCATCCAGCGAGATTTGAGAACTCTTATTGCCCATGCCGGAGTTCAGACGGGTTTCGGACTTCTTTTCCTACGGCCTCCCCGGCCTTGTGGGACCGACATCGTGGTTAGCATACAAGACCTGCAAATGCATGCAGCGAGGGTCTGGGAAAGGGTTTAGGCAGATGTGGTCCTGGCGAGTGCACGACACGGCAACACAGATGCAGCCATCTGTGAAGCCGACCATTCAGGAACGTAGGGCAGATAGCTCAGTGGTAGAGCGAAAGATTGCAGTACGACGCAAGACACTGCAGATATCTTTAGGTCGCGTGTTCGATCCACGCTCGGCCCTCTTTATTTTTTTTTCGCCCTTTTAGCAGACCATTTACGAGGACTGCAAGAAACCATCGATATTTTAATTTAATGATAAATTTTTTGTCTAAAAATGCGGTGGGCTCGTTCGAACTGTGATAACCGGATCATCATCTTCTCAGAAGTGTACCGTGTCCGATGTCTTATTGGTGAATGACTGTACCCGTAATCGTATTACTTGGTGTAACTTTTATATCGAGATCGCGAGACCTCAACTGTCGCCTCGACAGCCGCTTCGAGTCGAAGGATAGATCGAGTCTTTTTTGGAGCCCCTAAACTAGTGGGCCGCCTTCATCTCGTGGGTGAGCGGCCACCAGTGACAAAAGTCTCGGAAGCTGTCCCGTCGGCCCCTGCGGAGACCAGCTGCTCGATTTCGTCGGAAAGTAGACACAGGGCGACAATGACGCCAGTATCTCTTGCTCCATTTACGACCAGCTCATTAAGTCGAACGCCGAGTCCCAGGATACCAACATGTGTTGGTATCATCGCAGTCCTTGCTGCTACTCCGAGGGCCTAGAGAAGCTACGGAAATCTTCCCCTTTTCGAGAATTCAGAAGATTCGAGAATCTGGAAAGCTCAAAAATCGTGCGGTCCTCAGCGTCATGTATTCCTCAGCCTCGTCCTTATTGTTGATGGGGCTGATGATTGGGTGCAATGCAGCCTCAAAGGCTATGCAGGACGATTCTCTACCCCGCTTCCCCACCGTGTGTGTGTGTGTGTGTGTGTGTCAATCCTTCTTGTCTGGAATCAGATACCCGTCCTCCAAATACTGTAGATTCCGGAAACGCCAGGGCCTTGTGGAAGCCCCTACCTCAAGATGTCAGGGCTCGAGGTTCTCGGGCTAGTGGCTAATATATTTCAAGTAATCAGCTTCTCTGCTGAGGCCATCCGAGTTTGCAAAGCCTTCTATGATGGACGCGAGCCGCCAGGCGACGAACTGAAAGACCACGCGATGGCACTCCAAACCTTGGCCTCCCAGGTAGAGGTATACTGCCAGAAGAGGACTCCAAAGGGGGCAGACGAAAGGAAGCTCGAAGACCTGGCTAGGAAATGCGCCGTGGTGGCGCGGGCGTTACAAGAAGAAGTCCAATTCGTCACAGTCGCTGGCACGAAAGGCGCTCCAATGACTGCTCTTCGCGCGACCTTCCGGACACTCTGGCGAAAAAATCGCCTGAATAGACTGAGAGGATCCCTACAACGGTACCAGGATACGATGGAATCCCATCTCCTATTTCGTGTATGGTAAGTGGTATAGCAATAGGTGAAGGTATTTGCCACGCCGGTTCTAATAATACCTGCCTACTTACAAGTTACCACCTACCAATAGCACACAGAACGACGCCATTCAAGCCCAGCAGCAGACAGGATTTGAAAAACTTGACAAGTCTGTCCAACATTTCATCATACAATGCGGAAGAGGCCACAAAAATCTGTGCGACCTTGTGGAATCGAAGGCACAGTCAACAAAGGATCACATCGAAGAAGTGGCACGTCATATCGAACAGCACGTTACCAAAGAGGTATCGACAGTGGAGGAGTCACTCGCGAAACTGACAATCAAAAGTATTGATCAAGCTACCCAACACATCTCAGAGAATGTTAGAGCCGGTCCGGACAGTGATGGTCCGCGAGGAAGATTCCTTCACAGCCTAAAGTTCCCAAGCATGAACGAGCGGTACAACCACATTACCGATTCCCACCAGGATACCTTCCTCTGGATTTTCCGCGACACCGAATCGGATTTGCACTCATCGACTAAGGGAGGTACGCGGCAGCAACATAATACCATGGACAAGCCTTGGGATGACTTCCAGGAGTGGCTGAGGTCAGAGAGCAGTCTTTATTGGATCAGCGGGAAGCCGGGTTCCGGGAAGAGCACCCTAGTCAAGTTTCTTATTACGGCCGATCAGACGAAGACGTCACTGGCCATGTGGAGGGAAGGGCCAGTCATTCTTTCTCACTTCTTCTGGAAGCCAGGGATCACAATGCAGCGCAATATGAAAGGCCTTCTGTGCACACTACTTTACCAGGCCGTTTCCCGCGAGTCGGTAGTCTTAGAGAAGACCCTTGGCGCCCTGAGTTCGTCCACTGACAAGGATTCGGACACTGACTGGTCGGTTGCAGAGCTGAAATCACTTTTTCTGGCCACTCTATCCGACTACCCGTCGCCAGTCTGTATCTTCTTGGATGGGCTTGACGAAATATGCCTGGATGATGTGCCGGCGCTGCTGAAGCTGGTCAACGATTTGAAGAGCATCTCGCGAGTCAAGATTTGCGTAGCCAGCCGGGCAGAAAACCCTTTCCAGAATCACTTTAGAAACGTGCAGAAAATGCGACTCCAGGATCTCACGCGCGGAGATATGTGGAAATATGCCGATACAATCCTGAACCAGCGGGAAGAGATCGACGTTAGTGATGACATCCATGACGATCTTCTTCCATCCCAGCGACAATTCCCATCCAGGATAATAGATGACCTTGTCTGGAAGGCTGAGGGGGTATTTTTATGGTTGCAGCTCGTGACGAGAAGCGTTGCTCGCGGGTGGGCCAACGGCGACACTGAAGAGGAGATTGAGTCTCGTATTAGTGTTCTTCCTGGAGAGTTATCTGGGTTGTACTCTGATATGTGGAAGCGGCTAAACGAAGACAGCCTCGTATACCGCAGGACTGCAGCTGAATATTTCAATCTAGTCCTCGCTGCTGCAACATTTGACGGGGCGGGGCCGGTGGCAACGACATCTCACACACGATACCGAGGTGGCAAATTGGATCTATTCCAGTTCATGGCGATGATGACGGAGTCATTTGGCCCAGGTGTTCTGGGCGATATTCGAAACCCTGTCGACGAAAGCTACATCGATGGTATATGTCAGGAAGCCGCGGATTCGATACGGAAGCGGTGTGCTGGGCTTCTAGAAGTGCGTGCAACTATTCCACGGAGCGAATGTTCCAACATTGTACGGTACCACATATACTCCAAAGTATCCTTCATTCACCGGACTGCTTACGACTTCCTTATGGACTCTGAGGAGGGCCGAAAGATACTCTCGTTCGATCCATCGCCATCGGAAGCCCGTTATCTCCGGTTAGCCAACGGAGAACTCGTCAGTTCCAGATTTTTACCCCACAGTCTGAGAGGCTTCTTAACGACTTTGAGATACGCCTTGTTGCCGTCTCTCGAAGATCAAATTCGCGAGGCGTTACACAATGCTTGGGACCTATACGAGGCCGGCTACCTCTTTGATCATTTCGGTAGACTACCCTTCCTACTGGTGGTAGCGATCCAGGGGTTCGAAGATTTCGCCATATCAATGATACGACAAGACCCTTCCTCCAGCCATCTTGCGGACCAAGTGTTAAGGGCATTGTTTAAAGCTGCCATCGGTTGCCAGCCCTCGTCGAAAATCTATAGAGAAGCCATCCAGAATGGTAATATCGTACGCTCCCTTCTCTCACTCGGTGCTAATCCTGTCTCCCGTTTGGTGGGGTTCGAACTCGATTACCAGCCGGCTGGCGAGGTGCACCTTCGCACGACGACCTTCGCCTTGGCTTCCATTCTCATCGCTCAGGAACTGCATTTCGGTCTTCCCCCACTGGAGCCATATGTCTCTCTCCTCGATGGATTTCGAGGATATCTCCCCGATGTAAATGAGAGGGTGCCTGTCACACTCTGGGTGGGGGAGACCGGAGGCTGGCTCGATTTTGATACACTCCCGCTGGAACGCGAAATGAAATCTCTTCCGGAGGAGGAAAAAGACTTACGGCAAGATGAGAGGCTCTTCTTTGTGCTGGACATGAGTTTGGCTTATCTTTTGGAGCGTATCAATGCCATCTTACCGAGCAGGGGATTGACGGCAAATGTCACAGATCTAGAGAGCCAAAGGCCGGATGATGACCCCCCGTTCCGAATCCTCCCGCTTGTTGCGTTACAGGCTGTGCGTGGGCTTCGTGCCCGCGCCCATCCATTCCGCATGGTCTCCAAGAGTGCCAAGGATAAGTTGGACTTTCTCTCTTGCCTGGTAGGTCGCTGGCTCGGATCTAATCCCTGCCCCAAACCACATATGCACCAGGAACTATGGATCTTGGGCAAAGAGATTCGGCAGCACGTCGTGGAGAGCCCGGGCGCTTACGAAGAGATAATGGTACCAATCAAATTCATATTGGCAGAGGAGGGGTGCGGCTATGAAGGAGATAAAAGCGAGACGGGCTCCGCCGAGTGTCGATCCTCTTCAGATACTTCCGAACCTGCTAGCGAATCTACTAGCGAATCTACTAGTGTTCAGACTCAAGAGTCTCCTCGAGTTCAAATTGGCAATGCCATCGTAGGCGACGTCAACGATGACGACGGCGATACAAGCTCTGGCGATGGAATCCTTACGAGATTCAACTGCATCTGCAAATTACCATTGACACGGTCGGATATCGGCGCCACAGTCTATTGTTACTCCTGCAACCAATGGCAACACTTGCGATGCTACTACCCGCCGGGCTTTTCACCAGAGGGCTATGCACACTACTGTTTGGATTGTAATCTTTCTATATGGGAACAAGCTGACGTAGGTTTTGATCTATATCTCCTTGACTATGAGCGCCAAGTTAATCTGCTGATTCTAGGAACACTGGGCCAGGCAACTCTTCTCGTCGCCTCTATCACCGATAGCGCCGCTAGCGGACTCACCGTACGTTCGTTCCTATGCCCTTTCTGGTCTGGAAAAGCTGGCTGACTCTTTCTGAGTGGACATGGCTTCGTTCACTATGACCCAAGTCCGCTTGCAGATATCTCCCGCTCCGTGACACTCATCGAGAGGCAGGTAACAACGGCGTGGCATAGCTCAAACGTGGCTATTTTAATACCATCTAGCCCCTTTGTCACGCATTGAATAATTTCTGACTCAGTGATTCTAATAGGGTCGTCGCCAATGGCCAATTTGTCTTCAAGGTTATCCGAGATCCAGCGTCCTCATCTGAGTTTCTCGAGGTTTCCTCTAGTGCCTCGAGCCACAATTGCGTCCGGGTCCGGATCAATGCCATACTCCCCGCACGAGAAGAAAACAGCCTAGTATTGTATCTTGTAGCCCATCCAGACGTGGAACTTGCCAATCTCACTTTGCAGACTTACGAAGGTGTGTCAACGTTTCGATCTAAGATTCTAAGCCCAACAAGGGGACGTGTGTAGCAGCTATTAATATCGCGGTTCCAGAACTTGTGATTTTACATCACACAATTTTGGCCTTAAGGAGTAACCACGAGATCCGGATTTCAAAACACTTAAGTTTAGGAGAACAGCTACTTTTCGCTGGGTATGTCTTGCGGTAATATCCTAGTACTAAGATGGAAATGTTAATTGTAGCACCAAGGCAATATGTCCAAGGCGAGCATCAATATGGCTTGCTCGTATTCGAAGAGCGCGGTATAAAAGCTCTCCGATTACTAGCTGTACATTGGAATGGCCCAGAGGGACGGCCCGTGTGGACTGCATTTGGTGAGCCATGAGACGAGACCAGGCTCTCCAAGGCCGTTTAACATTGAGCTTCGCACTAACACTCGACCAACTAATCTGCAGTAACCAAACAGGCAGCCTCCCCGGGTTGGGTACGGCGGCAGTCGTCTGACAGGGTTTCCCTTGGTGATATGACTCTGCATATATTCGACCAGGTTTATAGCGAGTCGCACAAGCGTCGTGAGGGCAACGGCGGTCTTGAAGTGCAGTTCGTGCACGAAGAAGGTGGGCACCCCATCGCCGCCCCCAAAAACCCGTTCTGTACCGCGAAACTTCGTTGCTGAGGAGATGAACCGCTAGCTGCGAAAGAGTTTTGCGAGTTGTTTCCGTTTTCATTTCCAGAAGATCTTGCGGAGCAGTCGGGCTCAGCCTCTAAATCCTTGTCGAGCAGTACTTTTGATACTGGATAACAGCAGCCCCTCCAGGGCAATTGGTCATTGACATTTCGCATGATAATGTCTTTGTGGCGAGAAGATCTCTTGGTGCCGCGGCTCCAAATTGTCTCTTCAGGGACGAATATGCGTCAAATCTCCATTTCTCTTCTTTTCGGACCCCTCGCTGGGGCGGAACTGGGGTATTTTATATAGAGGAGAAGGATTATCGATTGTAATTTTTAAATGGGAATGAAAGGGCATGAGAGCTAATCTAGTTTCCAATAGAGAGCTGAGAAATTGTATGGATTGCTTTTCTGTGTAAGAAATCCCATCCGACTTCATCGGCCACTTCACATCGGCCCTTCAAGTCTTGTGTGAACCGCCGCAAACCAAGGCCGAGATACTGTGTTGGTGCGGAGGGCCACCGGCATTCGGCGGCGCCACTTTGCGGATCGGTACCGCCACGGAGGAAGCCCGAAGTGCTACATAGCTGAACCTCACTTACACATAAGAGGGGAAGAAGGCTCCCACATCTAAAGAGTAGAACTTAAGGAAGAAGGGGCAGCGCGGAAAACGGCGGAGGGAAACTACTGCAGCAGAGAGCAATTGGTCGTTTCCCTTTGGCCTACGCGTCGCCACGAGAGTCATTCTTTTACTATTCTTTTCTTAATACTACTTTCTTTCTATCTTTACTTTTCTCTTTTCTTCTCTAGCTGTGATGTCTAGAGATGCAGATTCCGACTGATCGTTGGCTTCCTGACGTCCTACCTGACCATTCCGACCATTCCGACGACCACTGGACCATTTCTTCTGCGCGGTGTGGCTCCCAGCTATTGTCACTTATTCCAGTGAGCGGGCGGCATAGACCTGTTTGTGTTGTGGGTTGTGCTACTCAGCTCTGACAAAATACGAGCATCTAGATCCGATGATAGAGGCCTAAGCAATACGGCCCAACTGTTGCTGCGTTACTTGAAATTTCTGAATTCTAATGGTTGGTGTGGCGAGAGAGCAGACATTTGCGACAGCGGCACAACATATAGCTTATATACATACGGTTGGCCACTCCAGGTCGTGTGGCCATGACATTCTCATCTCTTTTCGAAGATCAGAAGTTCGCTGACCATTTGCGAGTTGGGTCCCTTCGCGTCCCATTAGTCAAGCAAGATATCTACAGGACTGAATCTCAGAGACCAAGGAATAGGTCATGAGTACGACGTGACGTTTGAGATGAACGCAGACGCTTTTCGTGATAGCCCCTAGTTGGGTGGTGGTGAGGTATCAATTATCTGGGACCCAGAGCTTGCGGAACCCAGCTCAGAACAAACTATGACAAGCACTCTAACGCCAACTCAGGCCAGTACCCTGAAAGATCAGTCACCGTCTTCATCTCCATATTATACCCCTCCGTCTCCCCGGCCGCCTCGGCAGGAAACAGCCAGAACCCAATGGCGGGCCTTACAGATTTAGCAAGCTCTTCAGGCCCCTCAATGGGAGGATCCTTCTTCTCGAACCGCCGAAAGATGCCCCGCCAGATCTCCTGCGTCTTAAGCCACCCTTCTTCCTCGTCCTTCAGCATGCGGTGCGCCGTCGCGACGTCCCAGAGCAGACCGCGGTGCGGTGGTTCGCGATAGGCGTAGAGGACACGCTCCCTCGCCGGTCGGGCGGGGCGTGCCTGCCACATGTCTAGGAGCTCTCGCCACTGTATTCGCAGACGCCGTGGGTCAGAAGCAGCAGTTAGGACGTATTGTAGTTCGGGTCCGATGGGTCGCGGGTCTCGCTTCGCTAGTTCGAAGCGAGGCGTCTGTCCCATTACGGGCAAGGAGTGGTTGAACTTGAACCCGAACCTGTCATCATGGCCATTATATGGGCGGATCGTGCGACCCCAGATGGAATGGGCTACCCAGACAACCTCGCGGACCTGCGATAGGAAGTCGGTAAAGGAGGCTTTCACGCAGGGGTGGGTGATTTCGTGGCCGTCATGTCGCAGGCTCGTCAGGGTGTTAGCCCCCAGAGCGACGTTCACGAGCCCGACATTTCGTGGATCGTGGGCGCGAAGGTCGTGGATAAAGGCTACGACGTCCTTCGCCTGCCCCTCGAGGTTAAAGAAATCGAACTCGGGGTTGCAGTAGAGCATCGCCTCGACCTTTCGCCCATATTTCGGATACCACTCGAAAGAACATGGCAGATGAACGCGGTAGAAGGAAAGGGCCGCGCATCGCGACTCCCGGCTTACGCGGAGCAGTTTGCTGTGTATTTGGATGCCGTGGACTATAATGCTGTAATTTCGGCCGCTAACCAGCCTTCCGAGGGCATTTTTGGTTCGGTAGGGACGAGGCTGACGAGGTGGATGAGGTGGACGAGGTGGACGATGGGCTCGCCGCGATCGTGATCGGGTCCGTTGGTCATGCGGTGGAGGGGCAATTTCGACTTCAAGAAGGCGATGCCGTTCGAGGGAGGCGTGCCAGATGGCTATTCGGAGCTCCACTGGGAGCTGGGGGAAGCTTGGGAATGAGACGTCCTCTGGGTGGTAGTAGAACGGATTGATGACTCGCAGGTGCGGTGGAGGAGGGGGAGGCATGATGACGGGAAGATAGGGAGAAACAACAATGTATTTGCCGTTGAAGCGTGTCGCAGAGAGGAGCAGGTGGGTTCGAATTCGTTGATGCCTGATGGCTGTGAAGAGCCCCTAAAGAGGCTGCCCGGCCCCCAAGGTCCCGGCACCCCCCGCATAAGACGGTGTCGGCCATGGGCCTTTCGTTGGATGGTACCAGGAGTTGAGGCTACGTTTATTGGGTGTCGTGTAATCCAATGGTGACCTGGTCAAGCGTCGTGAGAATGCCCGTCGAGCTGAGAGCGTCTACTTCTCGAGAAGAACAACTCCAAGCTCAGCTGAATAGAAAGCCTGCAGGTTCCCGCTGTGGTTCTAATGCCCCTCGAATTCTCTCTCACTCTTCCCATCCCATCAAACTGACAAATATAGAATTGATCAATTCGTCTAAACATACCACGGCATTGACGAACAGACATTAATTAATTGCCTGGTCCTGGTCATGGACATGTCAACGATAGACGGGATCGCCCAGACGGTTTCCTGTTTCCATTACCATCATCAGACTGTGTGGGCAGATGCATATGCAAATATGCCTCTCGCCTCTCTATTTTCATTTGACATAGTAGGAGGGTAGTAGGAGGCATGTGAGGAACACTATATGCTATAACCAATAACTGTCGTATTATATATTTGGGGGGGGGGGGGGGGGGGGCCTGAGATGCAGCCATTGCTGCTTTGATCGAGCCACCGTTTGATATTAACCGCATCCGCTGAACCAGTCAACGTGGCGCGGCTCCAAATTGCCTCTTCAGGGACGAATAGGCAACAAATCTCCCTTTCTCTTCTTTTCGGACCCTTCATCATAGTGGAATATAGGGTAGTTTATGTTGACGAGAAGGATTCCCGATGGCATTTTTGAATGGGAATGAGAGGGCATGAGAGCCGATCTAGCCTAGTCATGGGAGTTATCTTCATTTGTAAAGGAGAGACTGAGAACTTGTATGGATTTTCTTTCAGTGTAAATCGAAACCCTATTAGATTTCATCAGCGACTTTACATCGACCTTTCGTGGCTTGTGTAGATCACTCCAAGACCGAGCTACGAGCATCTAGATCCGATGATAGAACTCTGAGCAATATGCTGCCTCCTTGAACAGTTCAACTGGTAGCGTTACTTGAAAACTCCAGAATTCTAACGGTTGGGGTGGCGAGAGAGCGGACATTTGTGGCTGCGGCGCAATATATATAGCCTATATGCGGTTGACCGCTCCAGGACGTGTGGCCTCACAAGTTCCGCTTTTCCTCTTTCTTCTCAGGGGCATCCAGAGAACGTCTTCTACTTCCCGCCATCTTTGGAGCTACGGCCGCATCAAATGTCACAGGTGGGTGTGAAGCGAGCGGTGGATCAAAAGTGCGGACGAGGAAACCTCGATTATATTCTCCGATTTCTTGTTCCTAAATCAGGATTCTCCCAATCTAAACGGCTTGTTCCTTCGTGAACTGGTCTTCCCAAGTTTGGCAACGCGGCGGGTCGGTCAATCTCTCTCCGGGTCATTCAGCATCGCGGGATAGATGGAATTGATTCGATTGATGTATAAAGTGCAAAGCTCTCTCGCCGCCTCCCGCGTACCCGCCTCCTCGCCCAGCCTTTCTCACGATGCTGGACTCGATCCTTGAATGGAAGCAATGAGAGAAAGAATCACACTTATCGCAATTAATATATTGAATTGCTCGGCCTCTGAATAATAGGTTTTCATCTTTATCTTTCCTTTTTTTTTTTTTTTTTCTTCCTTTCCTCTTGCTCTCATCATTTGATACCCACTCCCGAGCCCAACATCGGAGCAAACCTCGCCCTCCCCATCCATCAACCGCACTCACACAGCTCAGACTTCGAAGAAACAAGAAACCAAAAAAAATGGGCATCCTAACCAAAGCCCTCCTCACATCAACCCTCACCGCAATGGCAACAGCCGCCATCGCTTCCCCCGCAGCCCCCGCCGCCCCCTTCATCCAAGACGTTGTCTTCTCCGGCACCAGCTGCTTTAACGACTCCCTCAACCACGTCGACCTCGAGGGAAACCGCATCAAGGTCTCCTTCGCCGAGTTCAACGCCATGGTCGGCGGGCCCGACGATCCCCTCAACCGCTTCGTCAACTGCGCTACCCATCTGACATTTGTCGGCGGCGTGCCCGGGTTCGCGCTTTCGGCGAAGAAGGTTTCGGGCGAGGGGACGTTTTATGCGACGCCTAAAGTTGCGTTGTCTTTATTTGCTACCATGTTTTGGGAGACGGATCCTGCTGTAAGTTGACAATAGAGTCTGTGGAAAAATCGAAGAAAAAGGGGGAATGAGAACGGAGAGAAGAAATAAATTAAAAAACAGAGGAAAGTATCTAATTTCGCAAAATCATAGGTCACCAAGCAAATCGACTACCCCATCCAGAACGAAACCGCCATTCTCCAACGCGTCACCTTCGAGGAAGACTTCAAAGAGACTCCATTCGTCAGCCGCTGCGTCCGAGACGACGGCGCCCTCGGACCCCTCACGATACGGATGAGGGCGCGTCTTTCCGCCTCTGAAGAGAACGCCGTCGGTCTCTTCCTCGGATCCGAAGAGTGGCCTGTTAGGGAAGAGGTTGAGTTCGAGTGGGTTCCGTGCAATGGGGATGTTCCAGACGTGGACTTTAAGCCTGCGCCTGTTGAGGAGACTCCAGTCGAAGAGGAGCCTGTTGAGCCTACTGCGCCGGTTGATCCGCCAGTTAAGGAGGAGCCTACTGAAGGGATTGAGATTGGGGAGCCTACTGAGGGAGACGTTGAGATTGAAGAGCCTGCCGAGGGAGAGGTTGTGGTTGAGGAGCCGCCCGCCGAAGGCGAAGTGGAGCCTGAGGAGCCTGAGGAGCCTACTGAAGGAGAGGTTGAAGTGGAGGAACCTGCCGGGGGTGAGGTAGAGATTGAAGAGCCCAAGGAAGGTGAGGTGAAGCCAGAGGTTCCTGCGGACGAGCCGTGGAGTCCCTAGAAACCTAGGACCGCACATCGCTGCTCAGAGGAAGCTGGGAAAGGTTAGCAAAAGGAAAATTCAAGTTATGACTGGATCTGGCTTTCCTTTTTACATTTCGGATTGAACTTTCGTTTGTACAAATTTAACCTCTTGTCGTCTTGTCATTTAATGTTAGGAGCCATGTGGCTCGAAAAGGTTCATGTTGAATTAGGTTTATGTGCTGGATGGCGGCGATTCTCGAGGGGAAGTGTTACGGCTTAATATTCGGTGGATAGAAACGTGAAGGATTCGATTAATATCACTCTTTGAGGCCCATGACTTGGTATTGCGATATGGATGAAGTGCGAATAGATGTGGGCGTTCTCCGTTCACACAGGAAGGTTCTCGTTCTGTCTGGCCAACACCCAGCCCCCTGGATATTGATACGAACATTGAAGGACTCAAACTCGGGGCTAGTTGATACGAACGACTAATCGATACGAACGAACGACTAGATGGATCGGGCGGGCACAGATCGGGATAGAGATGGCAGTTGACAGAGTTCTGAGCGAAGACAGGATACAAGGATCAAATGGTGGAAGACAGGGCCATCGACGTGACCAAGCATCTTCTATGTACAGTTCTTTATGTTCAATTGAGTTCAGGTCTTGGTCTATTCAAGTCGTCCAGGTGATTCCCCAAAAGTCAGGGAAGGAGCTGTTCCACGCCTCGTGTCCTCGCTGCTTCTGTGGGATATCAAGATGAAGCTGAATCACCACGGCGCGACTGGAGCTTCGAGCTTCGAGAGGTTCCTTCCTTCGAGACGCTCCTTCTGTCGTGCTCCTTGCTCCAGTAGAAAATTCTGCACCTATTTAAACATCCTCATTCTTGTTTTTGCCTCCCTCTTCTTTTCCTATCCTCCTCTCTACATCCTGTCATCCCTCACCTTCTTGGTACCCTCATCCTCATCTGTTCCAATATTCTATCCAGAAAGCATCCATTATTCCTTTCGACGATATCAAGATGTATTCCCCCATCACTTACGCCTTCATCGGCGCTCCTCTCATCGTTTCGGCTGCCGATATCCCCGCGGATGCTCCCGCGGATGTCACGGCTCCCGCCATTCTTGGGTCGCCTGTTCCCATGGCTCCCATCCCCGTAAGTGACACCCTCCCATCTCGAGAACACGCTCGTAGGGAACTGTTCTTACTGACTACTCCTGCCGTAGCTTGAGGCCATTCCTTTCCCCGTTGGAGGTCCCTTCCTGGTAAGAAACTTTCTCATCCCACGTCTCGATACATTTACCAGTTCGAGAGCAAATTGTTGACCTCACGTAGCCGGGTGTCCAGGACGACAATGGCGATAAGCAGGACGCCTCAGCCTCGGGCCTTCCTTTTCATATTGGCCCCCCTTGGTTGGTAAGTAATTTTTTTTTATCCACGCCTCGACACATCTGCCGGTCCGAAAAGCAAATTGTTGACCTCGCGTAGCCTGGCGTCCAGGACGGAGATGGAGATGACCAGGATGGGGTCTACAGCATCTGGCCCACCAACCTTGACGAGTGGAATCTCCCGGTCACCACTACCTCTGACGCTCCTGCTGAGGGCACTCCCCTTTACGGAACTCCCTCCGTGGTCACCGTCACTGTTACCTCCACCTCTACCATAGATCCTAACCCATCTTCTTCGGAAGCTGTCATTCCCATCATCCCGGTCGATCCTCTTCCGGGAAGCAGTGCCGCCGAGGCCGCTCCCACTGCTCCCGAGAGCTACCCTGATGACGGAGCGTCGGTCGTCCCCGCCGTCCCGGCCGTCCCCAGCGTTTCGAATGCTCCCGTTCACCATTCGTCTCATGCCCCCGCTGTCTCGGCCGCCCCGTCTTCGGGAAGCAACCGCAGCGGCACCGGCACTAGCACCGCGTCCCGTACTCGTCCTTCTAAGCAATCCGACGGTAAGGATCAGGATGGCGAGGGTGTTGGAAAGTCTGATGAGGGTGATGAATCTGCCTCTGCTCGCATTGGATCCCCTACTGGCCTCTTCGTGGCCTTTGCTGTCGTTGTCGCAGGTATGATGGCTGCTTGATTTGACGCATGGATGATTGATTTTTCTTCTTTCGTGGATGGATGGATGAATTCGTGGTATTGAGGAAATTTCTTTTCTTCTTCAAAAAGGATCATTAGGAAAAGGGTAGATATAGGTTGTCATCCCCTTTGTTTTTAAGCAGGCCTCAATCTTAAATTGAAGGCAAGTTCTCGTTCATAATTGGCTTTGAAGTGCTCTGTAGGCCAGGTTAAAAAGATAACTGTGATGTAGTCCCTCAGTGAAGATCTCAGACGAATTGAAATGGGTATCCCCAACTCCCTTACTCCATAATAAAACTAACGCTCATTCAAGTCCATGGACGGACGAGTATCAATCATACCTTTGACCACATTTAAACCCTATTACCCAAACCCTGCTTCATTGACTCAATGATGGTCCCCCACTGACTGCCTAGCCCCCTCTGAGCTACAGCCTCATCCAACTTCCCGGTTACTATCCTCCTCATAACCAGCGTATCCTTAGCCTTCTTATGCTTAGCAAACTCCGTCGTAAGACACTCCTCAAACCATCTCTCCTCATCAGCATCCAGCGGCAAACTAATCAGCTCGACGCCCCGCTCACCCGCCTCCTCGCCCGCACCGGACTCCAATACCGACCCAACGAGGCGCTGGAAGAGAAGCTGGCGCGTGTGCTCGGGATACGTCCTCGAGTAGTGCAGCGCCTGGGAGATGCTCGCGTCCGCCAGGGCGGAGAAGAGGAGCTCGAGGGCCTGCGGCGTCTTGAGAACGGGTTGCACCGTGTGGAAGTAGGCGAGGGCGAGGGTGTCGTCTTCGGCGTGGCGGATGAAGGTTGTGATGATGTCATCGGCGAAGTCGGGCATGAGGGAGGGGTGGGCGATGTATTCTAGGGCGCTCTGAGAGGGAGTGTTAGGCGTGAGCTTTTTTTTCTGTTTTCAGGAGAGTTCCTGGCGGGACTGTACCTTGAACTCGTGCCTGTCGAGGAGCCACAGGCCCCGCATGAAAATTTGGTACTTCTTGGGCACACCGCTAAGAGTGGCAAAGTCTTCGGTAAAGGCGGTTCGCTTGTTGGCGTATTCGAAATCGAGGAGGACGTAGTAGAAGATGGAGAGACGGTGGTGCATCGTCATGTTGGCCTCGCAGACCTGCTGGTGGAGTGTTCGGAGGGCATGTTCAGTCTTGGCGGGGTATATCTTAGCTGGAGAAGTTGCAAATCAAAAGTATTAGTATTTTTTTCCCGCATAATTTGGCTCCGTTGATAGCTGTTTTGGGTCGTGAGGAAGCTCTCACCTTTCCCTACACCCAGAGCTTTCAGCACACGATCGATGAAGAGGGCGCCGTCGAACTTGCGGCGGATGGCTTCGGTCTCTTGGAAGAATTCGCGGCTGGGAAACGGCTTCACGTTGTAGAATACATGCTCGAATTTTCGGTAATCAAAGGTCGCCATGGCTGCGTCTTGTAGCTCTCAATGCTTCGTGATATGAGAGTCGGCGGTTTGGAAGAGGTTGAGAGTGGAAGCTCTTTGCAATCATGGCTTGACAGCTGTTGCCGTCCCGTCCTTGATTCTAACTTGCGTGGCTTACCTTGCCCCGCGTGAAGTGGCGGCGGATTGTGGATCGCGACAACACAAGTCAACAAAAGTGTGGCTGATTTGTTTACAACCCCCAATCGGGAAAGAACATAATACAAACAATACATTCATGGACAACCACAAGTCAATTTGTATCTTCCATCCCACTCGACTCCAGATATCAAGCTTCAAAGTCGTTTTCGGAGACGTTCACCCACGTAGTTGGTGCGCTGTTTTAATATTTTGTTTCTTTCCTTTGACCGATCTTTTCAATTGCTCAGTTCTAGCAAGGCCAAGCGGTCTGTAGAACACCACACACACAATAATCATGTCCACTGCCGCATCGTCGCGTCCCTCGCGGCGCGCCGCGACAAGACGAACCGTCGTCGACTCCTCAGACGACGAAGAAATGAACACCACGATGACCAAGCACGCGGCCGACGACGAAGAAGAGTTTGCGCCCCAGACCAGCAGCCCCCGGAGGCAAACGCGCTCACGGAGATCCATCGCGTCCGCCGCTTCCACCTCCACCGCCGCACCCCGCGCTCGCGGACGGCCGAAGAAGAGCATTGCTCCAGTGGAACCTTCCGAGGTGCTGGAGCCGGACACTACGATTATGTCAACGGCTACTGTCGAAGAGCCAGTGAAGAAGGCGGCGGCGACCAGGAAGCGGAAGAGCGTCAAGCAGGAGGCGGTTCCAGAGGAGACAACCCTACCAATTCCAACACCAGAACCTTCCCTGTCTCCTGAGCCGTCGGTCTTGCAGGGCGCGCCTTTGGCCGATATTACTGTTACCGCAGTCAACGAGCGGCGTCCCGCGACGGCCGACGACAACACGATAAAGCCTATTAAGCCCATGGACACAGTGCTCATGCGCCCCATGGATATTGTCCTCAAGTCGCGTACCATGGCGATACCCCAAGCCGAGGATACGGGACCGAAGCCCCGAATTGTCATCACCTACCTTATCCTCACAAACTTCAAGAGTTATGCGGGCCGCCAGGAGGTCGGACCGTTCCACGCGTCGTTCTCGTCTGTTGTCGGTCCCAATGGTTCTGGAAAGTCCAACGTCATTGACTCGCTGCTTTTCGTCTTTGGTTTCCGAGCTAGCAAGATGAGGCAGGGCAAGATCTCGGCTCTTATCCACAACTCGGCAGAGTATCCCGATTTGGATCATTGCGAGGTCGCTGTCCACTTCCAAGAGGTCCTTGATCAGGTATGTTGGAGCTGAAGCCTTCACCTCCCACCTATCTCAGCCTCCATTACTAACACTAAACAGCCCGGTGGCGGCCATACCGTTATTCCCAACTCCGATCTCGTCATCTCGCGAAAGGCCTTCAAGAACAACTCGAGTAAATACTACATCAACAACAAGACCTCCGACTACACAACGGTGACGACTCTGCTCCGAGATCGCGGTGTTGATCTCGACCACAAGCGATTCCTCATTCTGCAGGGTGAGGTCGAGTCGATTGCCCAGATGAAAGCCAAGGCCGGCAACGAGCACGAGGACGGTCTGCTCGAGTACCTGGAGGACATCATCGGCACATCCAAGTACAAGACTCCCATCGAAGAGGCCGCCGCTGAGGTCGAGACGCTCAATGAGCGGTGCATCGAGAAGAGCGGCCGTGTCCAGCTCGTCGAAAAGGAGAAGAACAGCCTCGAAGACAAGAAGAACAAGGCCATCGCGTACGTGCGCGATGAGAACGAGCTCGCCATGAAGAACGCGGCCCTCTACCAAATCTACATGGGTGAGGTCGAGGACAACATCGCCGTGACCGAAGAGGCCATCGCGCAGATCCAATCGCTGCTCGACGCCGAGCTGGAGAAGCACCACGGCAGCGAAGAGGTCATCAAGCAGCTCGAGAAGGCCTACGCGAAGGGCAGCAAGGAGTTCTCGGCGCAGGAGAAGGAGACGCAGGCCCTCGTTAAGGAGATGGCCAAGTTTGACCAGGAGCGCGTCAAGTTCGACGAGAAGCGAAAGTTCCTCGACGACAAGCGCAAGAAGCTCGAAAAGGCTATCGCCAACGCTGAGAAATCCGCCGCCGAGGCCGAGCAGACGATTGAGGAGTGTGGCGAGGAGATTGAGTCTCGTGCGGCCGAGATCGCGTCCCTGGAGGAGCAGGTCAAGGCCGAAGAGGAGGAGCTTGCGCGCATCAGGGACAGCCTCAAGGGCAAGACGCAGGCATTCTCGGACAAGATCGCCGCTAAGCAAAAGTCTCTTGAGCCCTGGAACGAGAAAATCAACCAGAAGCAGTCCGCCATTGCCGTCGCTGAGAGTGAGCTCAACATTCTCCGCGAGAAGGCCAATGCCGGAGCTGTTGCGCTCGCCGAGGTCCAGGCCAGGGTCGCTTCCATCGAGGAGAACAAGGCTGCCAAGCTTCAAGAGCTGGAGGAGTGCAAGGTCGAGAAGGCCAAATTAGAGGAGGAGGCGAAGCATGTTGAGTCCGAAATCAAGGATCTCGCTTCACAGGAGCCTAGGATCCGGACTAAGGTCTCCAACGTGCGGCAGAGGGCTGAGGAGGCTCGCTCGAGCTTGGCCAAGAGCCAGACTCAGGGAAATGTCCTCACTGCGCTCATGCGGATGAAGGAGTCTGGTCGTATCGATGGGTTCCACGGCAGACTGGGTAACCTGGGCACCATTGATTCTAAATATGATGTTGCCATTTCCACTGCTTGCAGTGCCCTTGACAACTTTGTCACCGATACCGTCGAGGCTGGCCAGCAGTGTATCGAGTACCTGCGAAAGACCAACCTTGGTCGTGCCAACTTTATCTGCTTGGACAAGCTTCGAGCCCGGGACATGTCTCCCATCCAGACCCCAGAGAATGCCCCTCGCCTCTTCGATCTCATCAGGGCCAAGGAAGACAGGTTCCGGCCCGCCTTCTACCATGCCCTTCAGGACACCCTTGTTGCGGATGACCTAGCCCAGGCTAACAGGATCGCCTACGGTGCAAAGAGGTGGAGGGTAGTCACACTCGCTGGTGAGCTCATTGACAAGTCGGGTACCATGACCGGCGGTGGAACCACTGTCAAGAAGGGCCTCATGTCTTCCAAGCTCGTGCAGGAGACCACCAAGGAGCAGGTTGCCAAGTACGAGGCCGACCGAGAGGCCATCGAGGCCAAGTTCCAGGAGTTCCAAGATTACCAGAAGGAGCTGGAAACGAGGCTCCGCTCCCTCCGCGACGAGATCCCCAAGCTCGACACTCGGATGCAAAAGATCGGCCTCGAGGTCGACAGCGCAGCCAAGAACCTTGCCGATGCGCATCGTCGTATCAAGGAACTCAGCAAGGAGCATCAACCCTCTCAGGCCGACGACAAGCGTGTTGCCGACCTAGAGACGGGGATCGCCAAGCTCAACAAGGAGGTTGACAAGCTCCACGCGGAGACGTCGAGCGTAGAGGCGGAGATCAAGCTGCTTCAGGACAAAATCATGGAAGTCGGTGGCGAGAAGCTCCGCGCACAACGCGTCAAGGTCGACTCCCTCAAAGAAGAGATTTCCTCGCACAACGAGGAGACATCCAACGCCGAGGTGCGCAAGGCCAAGGCGGAGAAGTCCAAGATCAAGCTCGAGAAGGACCACGCTAAGGCGAGCAAGGAACTTGGGGCTGCGGAGCGGGATCTCGAGAAACTCGAGAGCGAAATCGAGAATCAGGGGCAGATCGCCGACGAGCTCAAGGCGAGGGCTGAGGCGGCGGAGGAGCAGCTTGCTGTCACGAAGAAGGAGCTTGCGGGATTGAAGGCTGATCTTGATGAGAAGACGAGCGAGCTTAATGCTACAAGGGCTGTTGAGATCGAGATGAAGAATACTCTCGAGGAGAACCAGAAGGTGTTGGTGGAGAACAAGAGGCGGAGGGAGTATTGGACCGACAAGCTCTCTAAGCTTAAGCTCCAGGACATTGAGGACCTTACCGGCGAGTCATCACCTGCCCCAGCTCCCGTAAAACAAGAAAAGGTGCAAGAGGGTGAAGACTCGGAGGAGACCTCAGAAACTTCTCAGACTGAAGAGGACGAGGGCTCCGAGGAGGCCGACTCCTCATCCGTGGAAGAGCCTACCAAGCCCGCAAGGAAATCCCACACCCTCGAGATCCCACGGTACACTCGGGACGAGCTCTCAGGCATGTCCAAAGACAAACTCAAAGGCGAAATCGCCGCCCTTGAAGAAAAGACTCAAAACGCCGTCGACCTCTCCGTCCTCGCCGAATACCGCCGGCGCGTCGAAGAGCACGCCAACCGCGCCTCGGCCCTCGCTGAGGAGGTCGCCAGCCGGGACGCCGCCAAGAAGCGGTGCGACGAGCTGCGTCGCCTCCGCCTCGAGGGCTTCATGGAAGGGTTCAGCATCATCTCGCTGCGGCTTAAAGAAATGTACCAGATGATCACGATGGGCGGGAATGCTGAGCTGGAGCTCGTGGACTCGCTAGATCCGTTCAGCGAGGGCATCTTGTTTAGCGTTATGCCGCCGAAGAAGAGCTGGAAGAATATTAGCAATTTGTCGGGTGGTGAGAAGACGTTGAGTAGTTTGGCTTTGGTGTTTGCTTTGCATCATTATAAGCCTACGCCGCTTTATGTCATGGATGAGATTGACGCCGCTTTGGATTTCCGAAATGTGAGTTTTCCCCTTCCCCCCATCTATCTTTGTCTCTCTCACAGAAAACGACTAACATGGCTACTACAGGTGTCCATCGTCGCCAACTACATCAAGGAGCGCACCAAGAACGCCCAATTCATCGTCATCTCGCTCCGCAACAACATGTTCGAGCTCGCCTCGCGCCTCGTGGGCGTATACAAGGTCAACCACATGACCAAGAGCGTGACGATCGAGAACAAGGACTACGTCCACGGGCGGGCGGCCGCACCTCAGCCTGCGCCTCTACCGCATCCTAATAGGGATTACACTACGATGTTGGTGGGGCCTAGGCCTGGGGGGATATAAGGGGGGTTGTTAACCTCGTTTCTTTCGTATGGGTTGATGGGATGGGTGTAGATCGGTCGGGTTTACTATATACGTGGTCATGGGACATGGGGTCTTCGTTCAGGGTGAAGTTGGGGAATGGTTTGGGTTACATGGCAACTTTTTATATCGTTCTGTTCACGTCTTTTTGCTTTACGAGATTGATAATGATACATGTCTTCGAAACTGAATCTTGGTTCCGCATATGAGGAGCGGGACGATAGGAGTCTCTTATCGAGGATGGCACATCACAACGTCACATGGGAAAGAGAGACAACCAAGATTATGGGAGGTTCAAGTTAAATGCCTTTTCCGTTTCCCTGTTTTTCCCAGGTAACCGTCATTTATTTTGAGTTCATAAACTAAAAACCCCGTCCCATTTTTTAAAAAATGTGATTTTGAACAACGAAACGCCTCATCATTAAAGAAATGTTGTTAAGCTGTTTCTTTAGGACTTGCCCTGGGTGGGGACAATCTTCTTGCCGTCCTTGTTGTATCGGACCCTCGGGGGAGGGGCGCGGTTCTTGCGGCCTTCCGTGGATCGGACACTAGAGAATCCAAGTTAGCGCTTCAACGTACCTCTTTTTGTTATGTCCAACCTAGCTTTGGGGAAAGACCGAAGGACATTTGGGGGGGAGAAACGATTCCCTCGTGGGGAAAGGTTTTTGAGGGGGTTGTTCTTCTGTTCATTGAACAAGTACAACCAAGGATCGTCTGAAGCGCATGCAACGCGTTGAAATCTTTTTGCAGCGTGCAGTCGTCACCCCTCTGGACAAACGTACCGTACAATCTTGCCGTGGATAGCGCAAGAGACACAGTACTGCAGCTTCAGGTACATCTTGGGTACTGGGTAGTCGGAGCCGAAGACAGAGGCCTCCAAGATATCACCTAGGAGAGAGAGAATGTTAGTAATGCAAGGCTGGCTGATGGGCCTTTCCCAGTGCTCAAATTGTGCCCATCCCACAAGGCAGTAGCCGCGAGGTGGTCATAATTGAAGGGACTCCAGATTCGGCCGCTCGGTAGGTGTCCAGCGAGAAAAACGTACGGGTAGCAGCAGACTCGACCATGTTTCGGATGGTGAACCGCTTGATGGCCTTATCCTTAGGAGTGCATCGCGAGCAGTTAGAGCAGCGGATGGGCTTGACGTGGCCGCGGCCCTTCTTGTTGCGACCGCTGTTGAGAAGACTGTCAGCAGCTTGCTCGATCGATTGGAGCTGAGGACTTGAGGAATGGAGATATCGTACTTATTCTTTCTCTTCTTAGGCATGTTGACGATGTCTTTTGGCTTTCTGTTAGCTACACAGAAAAGAAAAGAAAAGGAAAGGAAGAAGAGGAACTTCCAAGGCGGACGTACCGAAGTTGCTGTTGTGGTTAGTAGAGGGACGTGGGAGAAATTCTCGAGGTCAAGAATTGGCTGGGTCAATTCAAGCAGCAGGAATAGTAAATTGGCTTGCTGACAACAGTGCATCTGCATGGCGGGGCTCACAAACCTGCCCCCATGATTTTTTGGAAACCCTACATCACGTGACGTGTTGACGAAATTCTCAGATCCTGATCCACACACTTTGACCCAAGCGCACCCAGCAAGCTTTGACCAGCAAGAGGGGGAGGGCTGGACGCCGGTCGCTTACTCACCCAGATCACAGAACCAATATCAAATTCGCAGACCCTCCACACACCACTTTATAATATTCTTCTCTTCCCTCCACCAAACCACAGCATCTGAAGATTTGCTTAGGAAGGCAATTTCCAATTGTCGAGGTATGTCTTGAGATGTTGTTCAGTTTGCCCACGGGGTTCAAGGACTCTACTGCCCTGCTTCTTTCTGCCACGATGCGCTCGTCGTTCTCTTCATTCCTTTCACTCATTCATTTGATTTGAAACCCCGAATTCGTTCGCATCGCATCGTGGCCAGCAGAAAAGGCTGGGACAGCAGGCCCCCCCATCCCCGTCCACCCCGTGGGCACAAATAGAGAATCCAATCTAACGCAAGAGCCTCTGCTCTCTTTCCCAACAGGCAAACATGCAAATCTTCGTCAAGACCCTAACGGGCAAGACCATCACCCTCGAGGTCGAGTCCTCGGACACGATCGACAATGTCAAGTCCAAGATCCAGGACAAGGAGGGCATCCCCCCCGACCAACAGCGCCTGATCTTCGCCGGCAAGCAGCTCGAGGACGGCCGCACCCTCTCTGACTACAACATCCAGAAGGAGTCGACCCTCCACCTCGTCCTCCGTCTTCGTGGCGGTGCCAAGAAGAGGAAGAAGAAGGTCTACACTACCCCCAAGAAGATCAAGCACAAGCGCAAGAAGGTCAAGCTCGCTGTGCTCAAGTACTACAAGGTCGACTCCGATGGCAAGATTGAGCGCTTGAGGCGCGAGTGCCCCAACGAGACGGTAAGTTATCTCTCTGCCTCTCTACTCTATTGGCGAACGGGCAACTAATTCTATTCTTCCCACAGTGCGGTGCTGGTGTCTTCATGGCTGCCATGGATGACCGCCAATACTGTGGCCGCTGCCACCTCACCTACGTCTTCGACAAGAACTAAAATGGGGTTTGACGACCAAATAAAAAAAGTACATGAAAAGTTTGCGGGAATGACGACGGAATGCAATTTTTTGGGCGAACTTGAGGATTTGATACCGGCGTTGTAGCATTAGACTCAATTACTGCTTGAACAAAACTTTCACGTCTTTCCTGTGATTCATTTTCTTCATGTCGTCACTTGTTCTAAACTGTAGCCTTGCATACCCAACTGTCGCCCTATTATGACCATGTCACTGCTTGGAACGCCCAGGTCAATCGTGATGTAGTCATTACTTTGTTGATGCTACTGTATTATGAATACTCATCATCGCCATTACAGTTCCGCCAATTAATCCATCTTTTCAGACAAGTCTAATCACCACCTCTCTCTCACTGGCCAGGAAATCCATTCCTCAAGTTGTCGTACTTGGAGTGGGGATAAGTGATGCAGTTCTCACCCGTCAACAAACCGCCTCCACTACCAAACGCATCCGCCACGTTCCCAATGATACTCTGATCGCCCGACTTGTCGGCGCTGCTCTCCCACCACATCGCACCTCCAAGACCCCGCTCCTTGATATACTCCGCTTTCGTCCTAGCCATGGGCACTGTGTCGTAACTAACGAAAGTGCGGGTGTTAGGATCGAAGCAGTAGCTCGCGCCAACGGAAGGATCATCGACTTCCTCGGCACTATCGAGGGGCAACTTCTTGAAGTCGTGAGCACCCTGCTCCCAGGTGCCCGGGCCGACACCCTGATAGGGCCGGCCGACACCGTCGGTGTTTGCAAAGGATCGGCCGTACAGCGGCATTCCAATGACCAACTTGTTAGGGGGGATGCCCGCGTTGACATAGTAATCGACGGCGGCCTGTGTGGAGAATGGGGTGGACTCGGGCTTCTCCGCGCAGTGGTAGAGGTTGGCTTGGTGGGCCGTAACGGGGTTCCAGGCGCCAGCGTAATCGTAAGCCATCATGTTCCAGAAGTCCAGATACTGGTCCATGCCCTTGAGGTCCATCCTTTGGTAATGCTCAGTTCCGCATGGACTCGCCACGGTCAACTCGAAATGATAGGGTGTGGGTAGGCTGTTTCCGTAGGCATCCAAGGCCTGGCGGCATACCCGGAGGAGCTCAACATAGTCTGCGGCCTCAGCTTCATTTGCAGGGTACTCCCAGTCAATGTCAAGGCCGTCAAGGCCTAGGTTCTTGAGAAGGTCAATAGCCGTCTCGGCGAACTTCTGGCGGCCTCCGGGGGTGCTCGCAGGTCCTTTGAAGTTGGGGGAGTAGGTCCAGCCTCCGATGGAAAGTAGAACCTTAAGGTTGCGGTGGCGCTTCTTCAAGAGATTGAGCTGCTTGAAACATCCGTAAAGGTTGGTACCGACATCGTTCCACGAGTCGCCGTCCCAGTGAATGTCGGTATCAGCCCAAGCATCGGTTAGATGGCTGGAGAGCAGAAAGTTAGTATAGTTCGAACCCGTTGGCCATCTTCGTGGCCACACTTACACTTCACCATCAGGCTTGATGTTGGCAAATGCGTAGAGTACATGGGTGAGGTTCTCGGCGGGGAGGTCCTGGGGTCGGTGCGAGCGGGCATAAATGGCCCTTCATCATTTCCGTTAGCCTCTAGAGATGGGATTGTGGTTGGAATTGGGAGGAAATATCCAGGATGGAAGCTTACCAGTTGACGAAGTAGGCGACAGTACGGTATCCCATGGTGATGGGGATGATGTTAGATTGATTGGTGATCTGTTGATAAATCTGGAAGGGTAGCGAAGCGAGAAGCGAATGAAGGTTAAAGCCAGCAAAGAAGATGTCGGAGTTCGTGAGATAGGATGATGCCGGAAAGCTGCCGTTGCTCGTTGCTCTTAAGTACTCGGAGCTTGATGATCGGTTTGTCGAGGACAGCTCACCAATGAGACAGATGAAGAGGAGAAGAAGTCATAAGATGAAGCTCACAAGCCACGATGACATACTTGAAACACAAGAAGTGGACCTATAAATGGGAAAGAGGCACACACGGGGATGACAACAATTGGAAGGTGTCGCCGATCCAGAAGAAGTAATAAGAAGCTGCCCTCGACCTTGGCTGAGAAGGAGAGGGGTGGTGGGGGTAACTCAGGGAAGCTGCCACCAGGGTTCATCAGTAGCTCAGCGCGGGGCTGGCAGGTGCAACTGAGTTTGGGTGGTTCCAAGTAATACACTCTAGCTACTCTCCTAAGGCACAGACACGTAACCGCACTTGACTGAGGCCTCGCATAATAATTTGCTACATCGGGCATAGCTGGCCTAGTAGGGCTCATCACCCCTTTCCGATTCGGTGCGTGGATGGGCATCCCGATGCAGGTCTTAGTGACGATATCGATGATCTGGAGCTCGGCCTCAGCCGATGACTTCCGGGTGCCAAGCTCAGCAGGCCGGTGCGATTGGGTATGGGCAGGCGGTTTGCGATGAGGGGCATGCTGATGACGACGTGCTTCGCAAGCTGAACAAGGGTTATGGAGATTGGGATCGTTTGGTTGATTCAAGAACTACGGAGTTCGGATGGCTTGCCAAGAAGCTGTTTCTGGGTGAGAGAGATGTTGACCGCAGGGTTTGAACAGACTTGGACTCGGATTGCAGCCACTGAACGCCTGGCTGAGCGGACTATCGAAAAGCCTCACACATTAGAACAGCCTTCAGCCTCAATATCTGTCAACGGTTTCATTGATCAATTGATAGATTGAGTGTGCATGCCAATAATCAAATGATTGCATAGATCTATTTTTGTGGCTCTCGCCTAAGGACGAGGATAGACACAGCAGGAACAATAAGCCTTCTAAGTCTCACTCAACGACAGCAATTGTACGCAGAAATCGCCTTGTACTGAGGCTTCACAATGCGGACGCAGTATCCATCTTCTGTTGGACAACCACATTAATTCTCAACCAAGCGCCTCTCTCCGCTACCTCGCCATCCAAGGCTCCATTATACCCCCACCACGCTCTCAACCCCGTTGTCGTCGAATGAGAATTCGAGGAGATGCATGATGACGGATTCTCTACTTGTATGGGTTGCCTCCTAGTTTAGACCAGCTAAAGCTAACGGATCTCGATGACCTCTCCGCCGAGCCGATGATATCAACGTCTACTTTCCCGCACGGCAATGGAAACAATGTGGCAGACGGGCATCTCCTGCACGCCAGGATTGAGCGCAACGATGAACATCTATGCTCTTCATGTCGCTCATGTCCAGTCCATGGTGCTCTCCGTGATTATTCAGGATGTTGGGGGGCGATGTAAAGTAAGCAGCCGTTTGTGGTTCGTGCAATTGTTGTATTGCATCGATCCTCTACTTCGGCGATTGAAAGCCACGATTACCAAGATCAAGCAGGTCTCGAGGTTTGCCTCTTCCGACTTTCACGTCCTAAAATCACGATTGTCAAAAGACAAAACTCAATTGACGCAAGAGTGCTGGACTCCTATTCTTAGAAGCCGGGCATTAGAAGCCGGGAAGGGATGCTAGAACGATTTGAGCGACAGGCTTGTCTTCTCACCTTGATCCAACCGAGTCCTTAACAGAGCATCTTCACATAAGGCTACGATTCTAGAGGCATATTTTACCTGAAGCAAATATTCCTCTCTCGAATGTCGATTGCCAGATCTTTGTTTTCCTGCCTTTGTACGTCATGTTTGGCGTTTGAGTGGACGAAGTCTGTCTCTGGGGACCAACTTCGACGATGTTAGACCTACCGGCTGGCAACACCTGTGAGAAACACCAACGCACGTGTTGATAAGATAACGGATTTTTTATGCTCCACACTTCCAATGCGGGACAGGCACCTCACAATGCTGCTGTACCTTCCAAGGTCGAAAAAAAAAAAATTCAGCACACTGAGTGGGAAAAAAATTTAACAAAGCTTTTGTTTGAAGCCTTCACCAACCTCACCGTTCCTCCACCCAATTCCCTACTACGGAGAGCTGCAATTGACGCAGTTAACTTTCTGGATTTGGCCCATTACTTCCTTCTCCGACTAAATTTCCCGGCTCTCCTTCGAAGCCGTACGATTCGAGCTACTTGAGGCGCAGGATAACTTCCCAGCCTCTTTCGAAACCTCAATTCTTGGGTTGGCATTGAGGCACGTCCAGGAGCAAAAATGGCCGCCCAAATCGATTACATTCTCTACGACTCGTCGCTGGGTTACTCGGTTTTCCAGGTTTCGCACCAGATTGACGGGGTTGCTCTCCAGAGCGCCGAATACCAAAATGCTGCCGCTTCGCTAGACAAGTTCGGCAAGCTCGTGAAGCCTGTAGGCTTCTCCCCTTTCCGGTAGGTTTTTAAGGGAGGATGTGCTTAATTGGGCCCCGAGATGGATTGAGAAGAAAACTGTGGTATTTCACCGATTTAAGTCTGGGTTCCTCTAACGCACCCCATTTAGAGGATATGCCGATGCGTTCGATAATGCCAACAAGATTGCGGAGGGTGTCCTCTCCGAGGCTCTCGAGTCCTGCATCGCAGCTACCCTCCCCGAGACGAGTGGAAAGAAGAGCAAGATTACCCTGGGTGTTTACGACTCGGCTACCGCCCGTGTGTTGAAGGAGCGATTCCCCGGCTACCAATATGAGAGCCGTGAGACTTCTCAGGCCGTCGATACGCTCCTCCGCGGAATCCGACTCTACTGCGACAAGATGGTTTCGGAACTTAAGTCCGACGACATCAACGCCGCCTGCCGTGCCCTCGCTCATGCCTACTCTCGAGGACAAGTCAAATTCAACACCAGCCGTGACGACGTGCACATCATCCAGCGAAGCGCCGCCCTCGAGGCCATCGATAAGGGTCTCAACCAGTGGACGATGAGGCTTCGAGAGTGGTATGGCTCGCACTTCCCTGAGCTCGCCACCATCGTGTCGGATAACCAGACCTACGCGAAGCTTGCTCAGGCCATCGGCGACAAGGCCACTCTCACCCAGGACCGTCTCCACGAGATTGCCGCCCTCGTCAATGACGACGAGGAGAAGGCGCAGGCCATCATCGACGCTGCCGCCACCTCCATGGGTCCCGAATACACCGAATACGACATGCAACAGATCATGGATCTCGCTACGCTCACCGTCGACACATTTTCTCGTCGCTCGACCACCGCAAACCAGCTTGACACCAAGGTCGGGCTCGTGGCTCCCAATCTCCGAGAGCTCTTGGGCGCGCCCGTCTCTGCCCGTCTCATCTCCCAGGCTGGTTCTCTCGTGACCCTTGCTAAGTACCCCGCCTCGACTCTCCAGATTCTCGGTGCCGAGAAGGCGCTCTTCCGAGCCCTCAAGACCAAGGGAAACACCCCTAAGTACGGTATCCTTTACCACAGCAGCGCCATCGGCAAGGCTGGAGCCAAGAACAAGGGAAGGATCTCGAGGTATCTCGCCAACAAGTGCAGTATCGCCTCTCGTATCGACGCCTTCTCCGGCACGCCGACCAACCTCTTTGGCCAGGCCATGAAGCAGCAGGTCGATGACAGGCTCGAGTTCTACGCCACAGGCAAGAAGACCCCCAAGAACGCCGATGTGATGGCTTCCACCGTCCAGGCCATGCAGGCCATCCTTGGCGACGCCGCCGACGAGATGGACGTCGACGAGCCAGAGAAGGCGACCAAGGATTCGTCCAAGGATGACCGCGCCGCGAGGAAAGCGGAGAAGGCCGCGAAGAAGGCCGAGAAGGCGGCCAAGAAGGCTGCCAAGGATGCGAAGAAGAGGGCGGCTGAGGGCGAGGCGGCTGATTCCCCGGCCGGAAAGAAGAAGAAGAAGAGCAAGAAGGCCGAGGCGTAGTTGGAAAGCAGAGTCCCAATCCTATCTACACATCATCGCAGTGTTTTTCTCTCTCGAGCTACGGTCTTTGTTTTGTTCTATCTTCTATCTTTTTCATCTTCCGCCATCCGGAAAGCACTGGGGTTCGGCAAGGGCGCGAGAACGGAGTTTTTGGAGTTTTCTAGGAGGTTCATGTTGCAAAAGAGATATGCGATTCCCGTTGTTGCTGTTGATGTCGTTGTTTCTTCTATGTTGAATGGATCCTCCAATGTTTTTCGTCATCTCTCTGTAGTATTACAGAACTTGTTTACATAGTAGAGTCGGGGTGTAATGCATGAGATTTTGCGTACAGTTTTCTTCCCCTTTGCTTGTAGTGATCGTGTCCTAAGAGCTGCCAGTAGAGAGCAGCGCTGCCCAGCAAGCAGAGATGCAAAGGATGAACTTGCGAAGAGCATCGTAGTTTCCAGACATGACCGTTCGTTTCCTTGTGATAAAGTTGGGAGAACAGTGTGTGTTGAGTTTTATTTCTACAATTTACAAGGTAAATAAAAGGTTAACACTGTGTAGCAGACATCGCTAGCGTAGGTCCGAAAAATTCAGGGGACCGTCCACCAAAAGGCACGCTGAACCAGCCTGTGCCTGTTCAAACCGATACTTCGTCCGAAGTACTTGGACTTTTGCAGCGCCACCGGGCAACCGCCAACTTCGTCCATTTGTTGTGCATCGTCTCCCTCCCCTCCCCCGCCTGGTACCAAAACCGACCCAAAGTAAACAGCACCTTTGGCGATCAACGCAGATCTTCAACGACGACACCCCTTCTTTGGCGACCTCATTTGGATCGCACTCGCTTTGCGCTTTAGAAATCCAAGCGTTAACTCTAGGACTTGCGGCTGCCTGCTGTTCTAGTGGCGAAGTCCCTACACCTAGTGCGAGAAAAGGTCTGCTTTCGGAGACGACCAAAGTTGTTCTTGCAGCGAACAAACGGAGACGAGGCAAGCGGGCGACCGATAGCCGACCTCTTCTTTCTTTCTTTACCTTCGTCTCCCTTCTCCCCACGTCTTTTCTACGTTCACGCACACGACACACCCACACAGCGTCCGATCGATCGATCCCACAACCATGTCGGGCATCACAGACTTCCTCGGCCGAGCCATCTCGACGGTTAAAAAAGCCATCGACGCCGACAACGCCCAAGAATACGCCAAAGCCTTCCAACTCTACACCAACTCGATCGAGCTCTTCATCCTCGCCGCCAAATGGGAGAAGAACGCCAAGTCCAAGGAGATGATACGGCAAAAGGCCGCCGAGTACATGGACCGCGCCGAGAAGCTAAAGGTGTACCTCGCCGAATCCGAGGCCAAGACGAACGGCAACGGGAAAGCAGGAGGCGGTGGTGGTGGTGGTAACGGCGGAGGTGCGAATGCTAAAAAGGAAAAGGCCACGGGCGGGTTGGACGAGGATACGGAAAAGTTGAGGAATGCGCTGCAGAGCATCGTGGTTACGGAGAAGCCGAACGTTAGGTGGAGTGATGTCGCGGGGTTGGAGGAGGCCAAGGAGACGTTGCAGGAGGCTGTGGTGCTGCCGATTAAGTATCCTTCCATGTTTACAGGGAAGAGGCAGCCCTGGAGGGGCATCCTGCTGTATGGACCTCCTGGTACGGGTAAGAGTTATCTTGCCAAGGCGGTCGCGACGGAGACGGGCGGTGCTTTCTTCAACGTCAAGAGTTCGGATCTTGTATCGAAGTGGATGGGAGAGTCAGAAAAGTAAGTTGGGTTTCTACGCCCATAGATTCATCTTTTTCTTGATTATGCCTGGACAACCGTCGCTAACGTCTTCTCCTTCTCTCTCCAGGCTTATTCGACAACTATTCGCCATGGCCCGCGAAGCCAAACCCTCCGTCATCTTCATCGACGAAATCGACGCCCTCTGCAGCGCCCGCGGCGAAGGCGGCGAATCCGAAGCCTCCCGCCGCATCAAGACCGAATTCCTCGTGCAAATCGACGGCGTCGACAACGACAACCAGGGCATCCTGGTGCTCGGTGCGACGAACCTCCCCTGGGGTCTCGACCTGGCCATGAGGCGGCGATTCCAGCGCATCGTGCACATCGGTCTCCCGGGCCCCGCGGGGAGGGTGAGGCTGTTCCAGCTGGCGGTGGGGGATACGCCGTCAACGTTAACGCCACAGGATTTTAATGCGCTGGCGGCGATGTCAGAGGGGTATTCTGGGAGTGATATTACGAATGTTGTGCATCAGAGTTTGATGTATCCTGTGAGGAAGATTACGCATGCGACGCATTTCAAGAAGGTTGGTTTTCTTCTTTCCTCCTTTTCTAGAGAAAACATTGCACCCCGTTTCGCCAGACAAATTGAGGAAACATGAGTTTAACTTGCCATGCTTTATCTAGGTCAACATTGATGGGGTCGAAAAGTACGCCCCCTGCTCGCCTGGGGACCCCCAGGCCATGGAGATGAACTACCTGGATATCCAGGACGAGCAGCTTGCCATGCCCCTTGTAGAGTTCCGTGATGTTGTCAAGGCTCTCAAGCAATCCCACCCCACATCAACCCCAGATTCGTTGCAAAAGTATGTCGACTGGACAAAGTCGGCAGGCACTGATGGCTCATAAGACAGGCACTGCAATTGGAATGGCTGTTGTTGGTTTTTTTTTTGGAGTGATACAAGTCAGTGATTTTAATGCTGGAAGGGCTTATGATAAGGGAGGCACACAGCATCTGGGAACACGAAACATGAGCATGGCGAGCAGGAATGCCTTCTTTTATTTCTTTTTCTTTTCTTCTTGTTGAAGTTGGAGGGAATGTCAGGGCCTGGTCCAATTTTTTTTCTGGCTCTTGAGCACAGGAGTGTTGGAGTACATATATACATCTTTTTGAGGCATTTTGTATCTAGGAAAGATACAAAAACGTGAGGGCAAAACAAGCAAACTGCGAGATGAAGTTGAGGGCAGTTGATGGCGTTTTGAGAGCTTTTAAGAAGTAGAGACGGCATTTTATCTGTTGGCATCCCTTGTTCTAGTTAGCTAAGCCCTTTTTCTGGTGGTTAGATTTTCAAGATTCGTCGATGAGCAATTGCTCATGTTTTCTAGAGCCTGATATGAAGTGCTAGAAAAGCTCAAGATGTCTCGATGTTGTTTTCGCTTCGACATTGTTTCTCGTCGTTTGAGCAGATGTGAAGAATCGGCCCTTTGTACTCTATACAATTTGTTCTGTGTGACGAGGTGCTTTAATTCCGTGTATCTTGTACCTCATGTTACCCCTCCAAGAAATTCATCTCGGAAATTCAAACCCAAAATCAACGACCACCGCAGAACTTGGCGTCAACAACACAACTCGAGCAGCACGATCAAAAGTCCCTCAACTCCGTTAGAGAAGGGCTACTTTGAACCATATTAAGACAAGATGGATGAATTACAAGCGCATCTCCAGCAGCTGTCAGACGAATACACCAAGCTTCAGCAAGGTGAGAAATGGGTTTCTCCCCCCACCTTTGCCCCTTCTCTCCCCCGCGCGCTATCTTAGGCATCACGCGATAGGGGCAAGATACCCGCGATGATCTTGTTCTAGGAGATGGGATAGGATATTTGCATTTCTGTGGTTTATGTGCTGACCTGTTAAGTAGATCTCGACGCGGCGGTTCAGTCCAGGCAAAAGCTCGAGAGCCAAAGGCAGGAGAATGAATCGGTTAAGAAGGTAAGGTGAAGTGGACAGACGGAGAACGGCCTTGCGCTGGACACCTCACAACTCGGGACGATCCAGGCGCATGGATGTGGAGAGATGAAAAATTTTCTCACTCTGTTTGTTTCGAGGGAAGAGCAGGACGGCTAACGATCGCGCTTTTGGGTTTCCCGCGCTTTCTTCTAGGAGTTTGATAGGCTGAAGGAAGGCGAGACTATTTACAAGCTCGTTGGTCCTGTGTTACTGAAGCAGGAGAAGTTTGAGGCTGAGGGCACGGTGAAGGGACGGTTGGAGTTTATTGGAAAGGAAATGTACGGGCTTGGCTACTCTTTCCCCCTTCCCCCTTCCGCCTTTTCTGCATGGCATTCGACCTGGCCAACTAACGGATGTTGTAGTGACCGGGTGGAAGACAACATCAAGGATATCCAGAAGAAGATCGAGTCTAAGAGGGCAGAACTGATTCAAGTCCAGGCGGCAGCGCAACAAGCGGCGCAGGGTGGTGCCCCCGGTGGAAAGGGCAAAGAGGTAGCGACATAGACGACGACACGAAAAAATCACACACAAATACCTCATTTTCGATTCCCCCCATTGGATCTCATTCTTAGATGTCTCCCTTCATATATACCTCAACTTCACGGGATGTACCATGTCGGCAAAATGTGAGCGGCGAATTGTGTTTGTATTCTAATTATAAGTGGTGATTCGATGCTCGATTCCCTTCCCTTCCCCCGACACCCTACGCCCTGGATTTTCCCTTTCGGCATCGACGCGCAGGATCTCGGAAGAAGACGCGTATGTGTATATGCTTTCGTTTGCGGTTCGTATCTCATTGGCGCTTTGTTTCCGTCTTGATATCAACCTTCCCCCTTTCCATTGTCCCACTGAAGTTTTTATAATCAAGTAATCCAAAAGCAAGGGGTATCGTGACAGCGCCATGAGATGAAGAATAACAGGAAAAAAATCAAACAAGAAAAAAAAAAAAAAATACCAAATCCAAAACCGGATCCCAAAGAAACTAGCAAGAAATTCCCGAATATCCAAAACATGTATAGGCCGTTAAATGCAAGATCTCCACCCCTCCTCTTTAGTTAACAGGCAAGATGGAGAACCCCCACGGAAGCCCCATGTTCCGCGGCCTCTCAACAGCCCAACCCAACATCCCCACCGAATCCTCATGGACATGAGCATCCTCAATCATATCGGACAGCTCACTCTCATCATCAGCCCTCTCCACAACCCTCGAAACCAAAGTAGCAATCTGCCCGCGGCCCCTGCACCCCGCGAACAAATCGCTAGCCTCAACAGCAGCCAAAGCAGCGATCCTCTCCTCGCTGTGCCTAAAGGACTCAAGCTCCTTGGCGAAGAGGTAAGGCGTGATGAAGGGCAGCTCCTCGTAACTGAGGGCGTCAGACAGGCGGCGGAAGAAGATGACGAGTCCCGTGATGGCCTGGGCGAGGAGAGAGGACTTGAGGTCCGGGGTGAGGTAGGCGAGGAGGGGCGCGTCTTGGAAGAAGAGCTTGGCGTCGGTGTCGAAGATGGCGTCGATGACGTGGGAGGGGGATGTTAGGTCGGAGAGGGGCTCGGAGGAGGGGTCTTCGGGGAGGGCGAAGGTGCGGTGGGTGATTGTGTAGCAGGTTTGGGTGATGGAGTAGAGGGAGATGTTGGTGGGGATGGAGACTTGGTGGCCGGGGTTGACGTTGAAGTAGGTCGTCATGGCGGCGATGGCGGCTGAGATATGGTTAGAATATATATGTGTATAGAAGATATAGTAGTGGTGATGGACATACCCGATGTCTTCTCCGAGATGGTGGTTGCTTTCTTGGGAGCTGTGGCCAGGCTCCTGGTAGGTATGGCTTTTCCGTCTGCGTTGATGACCATGGTTGCGGATGCTCTAATATACGATTGCTTGGACTTGTTGAGATATCGTGACGATGAGTGAATGCTTGTGTAAAGCAAGGATGGTGTTGGTTTAGCAGATGCGAGGCTAACACGACTTAAAGATTTGCAAGATCTATAAAAGACGAACTGACATCACGGGAAGATTTCCAAGACAAGAGAAGGGGAGGAATCCTTGGCTAGATATAGTTTCCCAGAAAAAGACGAGGACACCTCAAACACACACACACACTTTACTTTCTTGGCTCCGCGCCGGAGCTATTAGGTAGTACTTTTTTTTTCCAAGCTCACCCACGCCCTCGTCTCATCTCCGGATTCAGCCAGACATCCTCGTCCTATTACAAGTCGTAGCACGAGTAGCATGTACGTATAATCCCATAATCCCAGCATTGGGCACCTGCGCCTCAATTTAAAAAAACGACCGGTTCTCCGATGCTACGATGGGACCATTTACAAACGACGAATCCACATTTGACCGCCCACGTCCGGATCCACCTGTGTTAAAGATAAGGAGTCGGGGCTTACGAGGTACGAAAAGTGCAATAAGGTCCAAAAAGGGGATGGCGAATGCCAAGAGAAAAGGAAAAAAAGCTGCGGTGGGTTGGGTGGGAAGGGGGGAATGAATGGTAAGGCAAGGTATAGCCGTGTAAGCCTCTCGCTGGTGTTACGACTTCACTTGTTGAACGTTTTTAATGAGGATGGGATGCACAGTGCCGATATTCCGCGGACGGGATGGTCCGCCCCTTTCGACGAAGGATCAAGATAGCCTGGGAGAAGAGTGGGAGGGGGGCGAAGCGGCGAACTGGATGGCGATTTGCTGCCCTCCTCTATTACCGACTCTACTGGTTTACTGTTTTGCCTTCACTTTCTTCTTTCCCCTCATCCGAGAGCCATTTTCTTGACGATGTGCTGGTGGCCAAGAGGAAAAAGGATTCAGCCTCCTGCCGCGGACTCGTCTTATTCCCATGCCTGCTCCTTGCTAGCATCGGAAACCAGGAGCCGGCTACGAGCACTTTGTAAGGAATATGTATACGTCGGTCGGATTATATGCTAGATCCCTGAGAATACAGGCTAACATGGTTTAGTCTTCGACCAGGCTCGTCATAGTACAGCGGATGGTTGCACTAAGAAAGATGGGGGAGCCAAAAAAGGAGCTTCGGAATTGGTCAAGCTTCGACGGACCAGCTTGATGGAGCTGGCTGCAGCGAAAAGGCGTCGACTGGGCAGATCTGCCGTTGGGAAGAGGTGGAGAGGTATTAACGTCATTTAGTGCTGGCGCCATATCTTTTTCGCGCTCGTCTCGATGCGTATAAGCTTGATAATGCGAGTTTGCGAGAGGGAGCAAAAAAAGAGGGAACGAACCGAGCCGTGCCCTTTCCCACGTAGATTACTTCGTACACAGTTGTATCTCACATCTCAACGAAAGAAGAAATCAATATCTCGTCGGGACGCACAGGTCAGCTTCCGTTCTTTGCTGCCTTTTCTTTTTACGAAGCCCCCCTGCCGCCCCTTCGTCGTTGCCCGATATCTTCCGATAAAAAACCTCTTCCCTGCTCTTATGCCAGCAAGTTTAAGCTACAAACTCGGAGAAAGCGGGAGCGGGAAGCGGACCAGCACATCAAGCATATCGTCCCGCGTATCCTCTACCAGAGAAAAAAAAAATCAGAATGGAAAATAATGACGAAATACTCCGGAAGGGGAAAAGGGGGTGAAGCTCGTAGCGAAAAGAGGAGACCGAGCGGAGGAGAGCAATGGAGCACGGGATCAACTCTTTTTGCCTTCGCCTGCCTGGTTCAGAATGTCCAAAAGTCCACGCAAGTCGTGTCAAGTGTTCCAGTGCCGTCTCATGCGTCGCTCATTTGGTAGGATCCTGGGCCGATGAGCGGGCTGAAAACGGTCGATTTTGGAGGGCTCATCTCGCCATATTGGCACCACTGTATGGTGAACTGTGCTGTTTTTTTGGCCCAGTCTCAGTGTCCGGGCAAGGAAAGCCAGCCAAAAGTCGGCCAGCGACTGGGCAGAAATCAGAGACGCACACAGGCTGGGCTTGGCGGTCCAATGCGGACCTTTGCCAGGTGCAGGCATTCAACCAGAGTCGGTGCTGAGAGTCAGATCGAGAATAGCCTATCTCGGACTGGGCAAATCATTGTTCTTGTTTAATCCCATCAAATTGTACAGTTTATGTCTTGCAGGCTTATATCGAGTAAACTTGAAGGTTGATCGAACATTTTTTCGTCATGAAGCATGAGCTTCCGCTTCACCCTTCTTCACACCACACCTTCCTCACATTCTTCCATCTTGGTCAAGGGTCACGTGCCTTGGCACAGAATCCGTGAGGTCTTGGCATGTTCAACATTGTCCTTGGCGGGGGTAATCTCCGCCATTTCTATTGGCTCCGTTTTCGGAACTGCCCCATTACTTGCCCCACCAAGACGAGCCATTTCGGCGCCGAGTCGCGACCGGACCGGAAATGGCTTTGTGAGGGAGGGAATTCTAACACTGCTGAGGACGAAGCATTGAGGCGTTGGCGATGCGTTGGCACTCTTACTAAATAGCGCTGAGAGTCCTGTGGATTTCTTTTGCGATTCGAAGGCTTGGCGCCCCCGTCTTGGCACCGGTGGATCAAGTGATGAACACGATTCATTTTCCCTTCGGCCTCGGAGGAGATTCGGGTTGCCTAGGGCCAGGAGAGTAGAGCCAACAGAAAGGAGTGAATTTCCCTGAAAGAGGGCGTAATGGCACGGCCGGAGTTGGTTCTTCAGGCTGCCTGACCGACATACATGTGGAGGAGGTCGCCAAGCCCCGAGGACTGACTATCCTTCCGTGAATTGCTGAATCCTAGGCAATTCGAGTCCATCCTCCACTAGTGCCTCTCCTGATCGCCTCTTAAAAAGTTTGCCTGGATGTGAGAGTGAAGTAAAGACCCAAAAGGCCAGGCTCTCTCTTCTTCTTCTTTCGATTTCCACTGCCCCTCAACGGCAAAGCAAACGGGTGGACACGATGTGTCGAACAAACGGGTCACGCAGTCGACGCTGCGTGGGAATCTCGCACAAACCTGACACGCGCTCGCTCAGTACGAAGTAAGACCCGCACACAATAGAAGACTGCTTAACCTTGCAGAACCGGAAGGGGAGCAGAGCTTGGACGTCTTCGGGATCAACTTTTGCGGGGAGAGAAAACGTTTACTTTCATTGCGGGTGTACTAAAAGTGGCTGCTTTTAAAAAGCAACGTGGCAGTTGATATTGATCTTTGTAATCGCAACCAGGACTCACCAAACAGACGAAATCAACCTGCTCAGTTTGGGGGAACCACTGTCCGAGGGGGTTGAAAAGATCTCGGCAGATGGACGATGCTGACCAGCCAAGTTCACAAGGACCCTGTTGTCCCCAGACCCATCGACCTCCAATCGATGTCGAGCTCCTACCCTGAACCACATGAATGTTCCCATCAAAGGTTGGCCAAGTCAAACCTTCTTTTCGCGGGTGCCTGAAATCTGTGAAGCTAGAGGTAAAGTCGATTGATATTACCCAGTACCTGATTTCCCACTCGAGAACGGCGGGGTCTCGAGTATATCTTGCCCCAGGGTACATCGTCCGCGTAACCCCACCATGCAGTTCGCCTCAGCACGTCGCGCCAGCTGCCAGGCACCAGTTTACAGACTCTAGTTTCTCTTCTTTGTAGTGAGGGGCAGACATCACCCACTGAAACCGCCGCAGCTTCCCCGTCCGAACCGAAGGACAGGAAGTCACGACAATCGTTTCCATTTCCTCGCAGCCTTCCCCATTTGATCCTATTCTCCCTCGCAGTCTACGTACTTGACAAGCCAATCTATCTAAGGATCTAGAGGCAAAACCCCTCTGTCCTCCCCTCAGCCATCGTCACCTGTCTTGCTCCCGCCCCTCGTTTCTTTGTTTGTCACCCCAAACCTGCCTTGCATTTCACCCCACCAGTTGCACCTCTGCTGTACCAGCACCATGACGCAGACACCCACACAGCCCGCCACACCCCTCCTCTCTTAGCCCTGCCATTGCCGATCCGGAGCCTCGCCCTACAATCAACCTGATCAACTCCTCTCGAACGTCGCGGGTCATATCCTCTACCTCCACATAGCAGCCAGCAGAGCGCTGCAAACGCGATGAGCTTCATGCCGACATCCCCTGGCCGCGGCGGTCGTGGCGGCTTTGATGCTCCCCGCAGTATCAAGGAAATCACCGATCGCGCTGAAGACTTCTACTTCAATACCAACATTCCCTTCAAATACTGGATCCAGTCATGCAAGACTCTGCGCCAGGAGGTAAGCTGCCAGTTTCTCTCTTTTTTTTTTTTTTTTTTGTCTTTCCTTTCTTTTTCGATCTCTTAGCTACGTCTGTAGCGACTTCACATGCCTCTTTGCTAACCTTACCTCTCCCCCGTCTAGGCATCCTTTGCTCTGCGCGATGGCGACTACGCCCGGGCCTACCTCATGCTCTACCGCGAATCTTCCCTGGTTATGAACCATCTTCGAATCCACCCCGAATTCAAAGACCCCGAAAGCCGCCGCCTTTACAGGCCACTGTTGGACGACCTCGACAACGTCGTACAGGAACTTGAGCAGATCAAGCCTATAATCAAGGAAGAGTACGATGATTATCAGCGCATGGTAGCTTCGGCTGCTCGCAGGGAGTCCGCTGCCGAGAGGCAGAGTTTGAGACCAGCTCCTGTTCGAAGCGCACCCCGCATCGTCGAAGTAACTGATAATGTGGACTATGCCGTCGACCTTGCTCGGGATGAGCTGCGCAGACGCAACGGCTCGAGGCGAGTGAGCCGGCCTGCCAATTTCGAAAAAGGACCAGCCCAATCGCGCAAGGAATACTGGGTAGAGCCTGATGCTGTGGATGACCATTACTACGACCGCGATGGCGATTACCGACGAGACGTGCGACCCGCTCGCCCAGTATCTAGACCAGGCTACGAACCGCATGAAGGTTACCGAGATAATTATCGAGACGACTATCACCAAGATCCCGATGACGACTGGAGAGCTGGCCTTGAAGCGACTAGGCGGACGCTAGATTCTATGACGAGCAAACGCCGGTCATACGAGCCCGAGCCGGAGATTCCGTCTCGTCCTTCTAGCCATGCCCAGCCGTATTACCCTACCACGTCTCGGTCGAGGCCTGTCAACTACATCGCCGAGCCGCCTACGACCCATCTGCCGTCGAGCCCACGACCGCAACGGCCACCCAAAGAAGCTTACCGTGACGACAACCCATTCCTACCTCGGCCTACGCCGCCCAAACCGGACCCTTACAGGAGGAGCAGCGAGAGGACGGATCACTACGACTATCCGCCTCCTCGCCCGCCCCCACCCCCACAAACTAGGACCCCAGACTTGGAACCCGAGTATTCTCACTATAGCAACAACAGCCTTCCCCCAAGGCCTCGAAAGGAACCTCAAATTCGAGAATCCGATCCTTATCGAGGTTCTGATTCTTACGAGAGACGTCCCTATGCCAGCCGAGAGGAACCACCGCCCATGCCACCCGCCAAATACGCCCCCCACGACCTACGTCCGCCCGAAGATCCACCATCGTCAAAACGCGTCTCGTTCCGTCCGGCGGCATATCTAGAGAACGGCGACCCCGTCCGCTACGTCTTTCTCCCGGACCAGCTGCGCTCGTCGTTCCTCAAAATCGCCGCCCCGAACACCGCCAAGGGCCTGGAGACGTGCGGAATCCTGTGTGGCACACCGGTAAATAATGCTCTGTTCATTACCTGTCTCCTGATCCCCGAGCAAAAGTCAACTCCCGACACGTGTGAGACGATAAACGAGACGGCGATGCTGGACTATTGTATTTCTGAAGATCTTCTCGTCATCGGCTGGATCCACACGCATCCTACACAGTCGTGCTTCATGAGCTCGAGAGATTTGCACACACAGGCCGGGTACCAGGTCATGATGCCGGAGAGTATTGCCATTGTCTGTTCTCCAAGGCATGAACCATCGTACGTTGTTTACCCCTAATATTCCCCTTCTTCTTCTTCCGTGGTCTTCTTATAAACTAACATCGCCTTTGCTAATAGGTATGGCATCTTCCGACTGACCAACCCACCCGGTCTACCCTACATACTCAACTGTAGCAAGACCGAAACCTTCCACCAACACCACATAGATAACATCTACACCGGCGCACTGCGGCCGGCAGGACACGTCTGCGAGGTAGCTAAGCTCGCCTTCAAGGTGCATGACTTGCGGCCGTAGTGGGCTAGGGTGAAGAGGTTGAGACGGCGGGAGCGCTTGGGATGTGTAGTAGGGGGCGGCGGTTGTCTTTAGGCTTTGGGCAAAGGTGGGTTGCATTCTTCTTTCTTTGCTTTGGTGTTAGAATCGGATATACATGGGTGGAAAGTCTACATGAGGGGAAATGGTTTACGAAGTGCTTGCTGTAATGAGTTTGCATAGCAATTGGCGTTTTCGAGATGTCTATTATATCCTAATCTCATTTTTCTCCCCCAGCTTCCTGTCCAGTCTTACATGCCCTTTCAGCGTGTTCATTCTGCATTCGGTTTTCACGCCAGAGAGGGGATTCAAATATATAACATATTGAGGTATCTACTTAGCAACGATATATTCGCGTCTCCCTAACTATTCTATGACACTGCCTCCTGCTTCGTAAGGCATCAAGGAAGGACTTGAGTTGAAGTTGAAATGTGATGTACAAATAAGAATCTCCCCAAAACAAAACAGTGAAACCGGCAGTAATAACAACAGAGCAGAATAGAATAAGGGTGAATGATCCGACCACAAGAAACTTTGAAACGAACCAGACTCTTTTCTTTTCATCAACAGAACAAGCAAGGAAAGAAATAACAGAGGGAAAAAAAAAGGCTGGCCATCTAATATACGCCTTCGATAACCTCCTTGTCCCTTTCGTTACACATCTGACCTCCATGCGCTTCCATCCCTCTTTTATACTCCGCACGATCCATAGCCGACATAAGAAAAAAGACATGACAAAGGAAAGAAAGCAAGAAAAAAAAAAAAAAACAAGAAAGAAAACCACCTAAGCGCTCACCTCCCGAAAAACATACCCCTGCTCATGACTCTTCCCATCCTCCCCCTCCCACAAAACCCCCAAATTCAAAAAATCCCCCCCGGGACTCAGCGGCGTAAGCGGCGTCCTCAAACTCCCGAACCCCGTTCCCGTTCCCGTGCTCGCGCCGCCCCTCGCAGCACTCCACAGCGTCGTGACTTCGCTCGCGGATCTGGGCGTGATTGGTGACAAAGGGGACCGCGGGGACGAAAGGCCCATGGCGCTGCTACTGCTCGCTAGGACTGAGGAAGGAGACGTAGGTGCCTCTGCTGTGGGGGAGGGGGGCGAAGACAGGCGGGAGAGGGTGCGGAGGACACGTTCGAGGGCGAAGCGGGCGGGGTATAAAGGCGTAAGGAGATCTTCAGCCGATTTAGACGCGGAGAGGATGGTAGAGGGCGTCGTCGCCCCGAGGAGGGACGTCCATCTCCGCCAGAGACGGGAGCGGTTGGAGGACAGGAGTCTGAGGAGAGCCATCTGTGGGAAGAAGTAGCGGAAGGGTAAGGGGGAGAGAAGGTGGTAGAGAAGGTTGTCGACGGCGTATTGCAGGAACGGGTAAGACGACATGACGAGGTTCCGTTGATCCGTCACGTTCCTGCGCCAGAATTTACTCTCGGCCTCGTATGGCGTCGGCGGTGTCTGCGGTGACAGCGGCCCATTGCCAAGAGATTCGAAATCCGACATGTTGAGGTAATCCAGACAAGCTCTCAGCAGGACGTAATGCGCGGCGTCGGGAAATGTCGCGGTCGATGCGGCTTTTTCACCCGCGAGACAGGCGTATCCCCTGCCCGAAAGGAAGAAGCTCCGTACGGAGTCGTGGATGACTTGTACGCGTTGCAGACCGAGCGGTTCGTGCGTGACGCCGTCGCGGGTGTCGGGTTTGAGTTCGAGGAGTCCGACGGAGCGGGAGCGCATGAAGCGGTGGAATTGGTAGGGTGATTCGAAGGTGGCGCTCCCCGGGCGGCGGATGTGCCGGATCGATGTGGGAGGTTGGTGGACCTGCAACGCAGCGAGGGGGGACGATTTCTGCGGGTTCCAGGGCCGCGTGAGGCGCACGGCTACGCGAAGGTCGTTTAGTCGTAAGGGCTCGGAGGCGAGGATGACCCATTGCATCAAGCAGAGTGCGTCATCTTTCTCCTCAGGAGAAAGCGTGCTCAGGATCCACTCGTACAGCCCGTCGATCTCGGCGGGGAGCTCAGCAATGGTATCGTCTATAAGCTCCTGCATAGCGCCCTCCTCAATAGCGGCGTTGAGAATATTGACGACAATCTCTGCCCACAGAAACACGCCGTTGGCTTTATCAGCGATCCGATGCACTGTGATGTTCCGGTCCTCCCACTCGGCGATGAGGTTGAGGCTTATGTACCGGAGGATGTCGTCCGTGTTGTGCTCGCGCATGACAACCTCGATGGTGTCGTGGTGCTGGACGCTTGCGTAGTGATTGGAGGCGATGCAGATGCTAAAGTCGGAGTTACGCGCCATTTGAGCGAGGTGGCCTAGAAGGTCTTGGAGATATGCGGGGCCGCAGTCGTCGGCTACGTCGACGAAGATAAAGGTTCGTTTCGTTGGTGTTTCGATGACTTGGTCGATGTAATCGTCTAGGAAGAAGGATACGATCTGGGCGTCGCTGATGGGCGTTTCCGCGCCGGACTTTTCGTTGCGCTCATATAGCGCCAACATGGCTTTGCGCAACTTCAAATCCTGGGGAAAGAGCTGGCCCAATAAACTGCGATACACCCCCGCTGGGTTAGGTCCATACCGCCTGTTCTGACTAGGTAGGTAGAACACCGTGTCAAGGTCGCGGCCCTCAGCCACGCTCCAGATGACGCTGCTGCCGGCCGAGGTCCACTGCTTGTCCACGCGGTTCCGGAGGGACTTGAGCAGGATCGTCTTCCCCGAGCCGGGCTTCCCCTTGATCCAGAGGAGCTTGTTCTTGTAGCCGCTTTGGCGGTGGTGCCAGGCTTGGAACTCGGGGATGTCGTAGAGCCAGAGGCAGGTTCCAGGGTAGGAGGCGGTGGGTTGCGTGTCTCGGAAGGCCGAGCCGGGAGGAAGGAGAGCTCGTAGGCATTCTATTGATTGTTAGCTGGGAATTCTGCAAGTGTCACGGAAATGCCCGGGCTGGAAACGTACCCTTTTCTTTCGAGTTTAACTCGCGGCGTTTGTGGGTTTCGTTTAATATAAAGGAGGACAGCGAAGAAAGCAATATCTTGTAATTTTGATCCTGCGATGATCGGAACTTGCAAATGTCAAGGTGGGTGGCCTGGAAAGTTTCGGCACTCTCCCTCGGATCGCCAATGGCGCTCGACGCTCTCCTCACCTCCTAAAGGAAAAACACAAGTCAGCTTTATTCCCACCCTTTCTTTTCACGTATAAAAATTCGTGGTCCTCGGGGGGGCATGAAATTTACTCACAAAATCAGCGGCAGACTGCCTCTTCTTCTCATCCACCGGCAAATTCTCCTGAAAGGTCTTAACCCTAAAGTTATAATCATTCCACATGCGCGCAAATGCTTCCCGCCCCAGATCGATCTCGAACCCGCTCGTACCCGTGAGATACTGCAGCGCGTGGTCGCCGGCAGGGATATCCAGACACACGCTGGCCATGGACCGCACGGCGTCGGTGAGCTTGGCGTGCTCGCTGGCGCGGTGGGGACAGGCGAGGAAGATGACGGCTGAGGTGGAAGGGAGGAGGTCACGCGCATGAGTTTCAAAATCGGCTTCGGAGCGGCGGAGGACCTAAAGAGTGTTGTGTTAGTCGAGAGAGTGTGTGTTGTGTGATGGATGTTTCCGGAACAAGACTTTGACGACGCGTCTTCTCGACGTACCTCTTTCACAATTACACCACCAAGCGAGTGGGTAACAAAAATGACCGGTCTCGTCACCGTATTCGTCTCATTGCGCAACAATGTAAGCTCCTGCAACAAATCCTCGGCATGCGCAAAAATATCATTCTGATTCGCCTGCAGCCGCCCATTGGGCGCCACCGTACTGCACCCCCAGGTGAGAATACGCGTCGACGGGCACGAGTGAGGCAGCAGATCTAACGGCCAATAGATTTCCGGCGCCGGCTCCGCTGAGGAGGCCTGCTGCTGCTGTTGTTCCTGTTCGGTCTGTGTCTGGATGCTGTCTTGGGAGAGAAGGCGGAGGTGGGAGGAGGACTTGGACAGGGCCGGGTTAAGCTTTGTGAGGACCTTGGCGTCTTTTGATCGGAAGGAGCGTGCTCTCCGGGGAAGTTTGGAAGCTGGAGGTAATTTGGGAACTTCGGTGGGCGGTGTGTAGAGCCATGTCTTGACGGGGTGGCCACCAATGCCGGCGACGAATACTACACTATGATCGTGTTAGTTTGAGGCAGCTTCTTAACAGCCCTGGCATTGCATTCCGAGCTTGTAAGCGGCGACGGTACGAACAACTTGAATACCAAGCAAACAAGAAACAGAAAAAAAGAAGTGAATAGGAAAGGACTTACTCGGCGACGGCAGCGTTTGGATCCTCTGGCTCATACAGGACAGTAAGCCCCACGGCGGTGATGATGTCTCGACTTGCTTTCATGTTGACGGCATGTTATCGAGAGACGAGCCACGTGTGTTGTACTTTCGTCATGGTTCAAAAAGAAATTCGATGATTTCGGGGTATCAGTTATCGATTGCTTGTGTGTATCAATGGAAGGCTTTGTGTTGTTTACGATTGCATCAGAGGCGAGACGGGGTAGCTTGTGAGGACCTCGTATATATAAAGTTTGCAACGGAAGGGAATACCTTGCTTCCTGCTTATCGGCAGGTGGAGCGCATGCAGTCTGCAGGTCCCTGTTTTCTTTTCGTGCTTGTCCTTACCGCTCTCGACGGGCGAGCCCGAAAGCTTGGTACCTGCGCGTCGGTCGATGCGATGCACGATTGATGACGATATGGTTGTGGAGTTCTTGTGGGGAGAGAGAGAGAGCGTGAAGACCCAAGCAAGGAAGACAGATGATCAGGTCAGATCTGAGGGGAATGGGCAAGGAGATGATCTTCGAAGGACAGAGCTTTCAATGCGGATCGGTGTTATGAGGAGACCCCTCCAAAAGGATTAGCTCGACAGATTTTTTTCTCTTTTTTTTCTTCTTGTTCTTTTTTTGCTGCCTTTCTCTTCCCTCCTTCACTACTCAATTGAAATCGGTCCTCTTCCCTTTTGGGAGAAGGGCATGTGTTGGCAGACGCAGCGTCTCTCCGTGTTCTGGCTCGTCTGCTTGTTTCTCCCGGGTCGGTGTCCTATAATATAATTAGGCTGTTTATTACGGGGAGTTATTGAGGCGGAAGATAAAGTGGAGGAAACTCTGAAACGAGGTCGAACAAGTTGGCGCGCTCTCTCTCTATCAATATCACGCAGATGCAGTGCGGTATAGATGCAGGCGGAGACGTAAGGGTAAAAAGAAGGAGGCCCGATATGATATATATTCAAAGTATGATGTTTACTAGGACGAGGCGTTGTAATACCGGCTGCGGGCCGTGGCAAGGTGAGAGCAAGGCGCAAGGTAATCCTCGGTGGCTACTCCAAATAGCAGGAATTGGGGTCGGAGCTGAGGATTGATGGGATCCGCGCTGAGGGGAGGGCGTGCGGAGGCAGCTTGGGGGAGGTATACGACAGAGATTAAGACGGGGACAGTAATAGACCGAGAAGATTGGAAAGATAGGAACAGGCAAGTGCAGTTTGCCACATGCAATGCTTTCCCCAAGCTAGGGAACACTTGCCTAGGGGAGCATTAACTACAGACCTCGTGTTGTGCGGGTGCGTGGCTGCGGAGCGTGCAGCGGGGTGTGCATAGAAGGAAGAGATCAATACTATACAATACAATCAAGGTGTCTTTCTAAGTCGGGTAGGCGAGCGCGGCTTGTAATGGAGAGTAGATTGAAATACCCGAATCGGCTGTTTCGGGGTTGTGTGCTTCACGGGCCAACTTTCAACGGGATTGGGAGACGATGATGGCGACGGGAGAGGTAGCTGCCTACATCTGGCCGCACAGATCTAAAGAGGGCGGAACAAGATGCGAGGAGTCAGATCACATCGTCCCGAGGTGATGTCATGGAGAGATTCTGTGTGTGGGTGAGCAATTGAGCTTTGCGTGCTCATTCTGAGGTCCGAGGGAAGATCATGAGGGCGGCACGTGGGACGATGAGTGCATGAAAGAGTCAGACTCACAGCACTGGAAGAGCAGGAGGGTCATGGAGGGAGGGTCTGAGAAAACAGGGATGGGAAGAGAGGGAACAACCAAAAAAAAAAGAGGCCAGACGGCCTCGGCTGTAGAACCTCGACTACCCCAGATTCTCTAGAGCAAGGAGGCAAGAGATGGAGAATGAAAGCCGCAAGTGCTCAATGAAAGCGGCAATCCCAAGCCCAAGGCTGGCTTGGCCCCCACGATCAAAAGCCCAGACGCAGAATGACGCGAATAGAAAGCAACCACGGCCTCTAAACTGGTCACATTTCCCACCCGTCTGGCCATCTGGCCATCCGCACCCCCTCCTTCAATTGTTCCATCTTACCATTCCATTGGAGTGGTGTTCGGCAGGCCCATGAGCCAGTGCCGACGTATCGAACGTGTGACGTCGACTCATAGGGCGAGTGAAAGGGATTGCGCATGAATGTTTGGGAGATCCCCTGGTGGGTTTGTTGCACACGCATTGACAAATCACTCGATTGCAAAGGAGCAAGGGCCGGGCGGCGGTGGCGGAAAAGGGCAAAAAAGGAACAAAGCAATGGTTTCTAGCTCCACGAGCAGGGCTCAAGCCAAGAGCTGAGCGAGCCGGCATCGACAGGCTGCCGTGGTGTGGTGTGGATCGAAGTGTTCCTGTTCGATTCGAAAACATCTTGGTCGCATCTTAACAGACGGCGTCAAGATCATTCATCTCTGCCTAATAATAATACCGAATTATCTTCGGCTTCTGGCTCGATGAAGGGGACTTTGGATGATGAAACGTCGAGACGCCAATGCGCCACACAGACCGAGGAGAGCTCTCCCATCTAAGTCTGACGGTGCCGCTGCAACTCCGACTGTGGCCTTATGATAGCATGTGCAATGCAGCCCCTCGCTTGTGCTTCGTTTACCTGAGTCGTCCACATGGCTTGTGTGTTCATGCCTCGAAATGGCTAAGCCGAAGTTGATTATTGTTCTCTTCTTCTTGGTCTCGGTCCGGCAAGGACGGCGAGATGACGGATGTGGTGCATACAAATACCGGGTGCCTTGCATAAGGTTCCTTAGCAGACATGGGGTATTATAGCAGGCGTGGTACTAGCACGCAAGTAGTGGCGGTTGCAGGGCACGATACGATAGCAGAGGGCTTGTAATAATAGCAGGTGGCGAATTGATTCCGAGAGTTAAGCTACGCTGCTGCATTGCGCTTGTTCTCGTCTTGCCTTGATGACGATGCCGATGCGGGATGCAGGTGCGATGGGAGAGACAGTGTGAAAAACAACAACATACAAGACTCAGTACAGCACTATATTCCTCAACGATGGGAATTAAGCAATTACCGGGGTCTAGCTCTTCAAGGGCCTTAGTAATCCGGACCTCTTGTCGAAGACGCATCGCATCTCCGCCTTTGCTTCCAGAGATGTCATGATGCTCACATCTATTATTGCCTCAGGTGCGTGCACCTTCGCCCTCTGCCCTCTCAATGTAGCCCGAAGCGAGTAATCCTTGCGAATTCGAATACGCCGAGTTTCTATTTATCGACTTCGTCGCATTGATACGGCTCCCGGAATAGCAGCAAAGTCAGAATCGCATACGTCAACGAGCTTTACAATTTCAGCCACTCCGCGCCTCCGAAAGATCGAAAGAATCTGATACACGAAGCCACCCCCCATCCTTGACTTCCTACGCCTTTTCTCTCGCCTTCTCGTATCAATCCGCGGTCACTCAGATCCGTGCTACTATTGTTAGCTATTCCTTTGCCAGCCACCATGTTCCGCCCGCTCCTCGTTCTCCTCATCCAATTCGAGGTACGTCAACTAGCGTCCTTGCGGCACTCTTCCCAGTGTCGATCTCCTCGCACCATTCATGGCCCTACGCCATAGCTAACAAAACAAATCCAAACAGGATCACATCATACAAACAGTGAGTCTTTGTCTCGCGGTTCCACCGTTAGCCGTCACCTGACTGGCGCTGGGACCGACCTCGCATAATGCCGCGCCGTCGATCATCGGGCTGACCGCCTCGTGATCCTTATCGCAAATTTTAGATCCTTAGACGTCCAGGCTTCCATCGGTTTGTCGGTCGGATACAACGTTATGTAGACGAGAAGCAGAATGGGCGACATCCGGATCAGCCATTACACCCGGGCGAGGCAACCGGTGGGTTCACTTTTTCTAGTTCATTCTGCATTGGAGGCGTGTTTTGAGGCTGACATATGGGGGAATACACAGAGCTGCCGTCGACCCCGGAATCGTCATTCTTCCGGCATTTTGTCAGCGAGCTGAAGAATCAGGCCAAGGGGAACCCGACAAAAGATGATCCGCCTCATAGGTGATGAGAGAGTTGTTGCCGAGAGAGTTCGCATGCGATAACGATTCCGTGGCGATATTGTCCCGAAGGCTATGCGACCCGCAGGCACACATGGACTTGGATTCGGGCAAAGTTCATGAGAGGGAATGATATTGGGAGGAAGAAAGCTAGGAAGCTTCTCCTTGAGCCCTGGGGACTTTGTCGATTTGTGTCTGGCTACGAAAAAGGGCTGCTGAAGGTTGTTCGGGTATGGCGCAGCACGGAGAGCCGAGTCTATTCCTGGGCTTGGGTGCGACGCTACGTGGCGAGCTGCTGCCCGACTCGATTGTAGAGCGCCAACATCCCCTCTCCCCTCTGGATATTGAAGATTTGCTCAGATGGAAAGAGCAGACAGCGACATACCGACCTGGAAACCCCCCTCATACCTGTAATGAATGGTGTATACACACAAAATTATGTAATATTAACGATACAAACGCGATCTACGCAATCTACGGACTAGGCTCGAACAGTTGAATACAGCCTCTTGACAACCCTATTTCTTCTAGATGGGTCATCTTCGCGTCGAGTGGCTGTTTACCACGGCCCACGACGGGGCGGATTCGAACCACAGGATTCCTTCATTCATTCACTAAGCTGGAACGTCAGGACAAGACGCTGATCCCGGGCGGCGTGCGCCATGAATGCGTATGTAAATTCTTGTGATTAACAGATTATGTACATCTTTCACTCTCAGACCCCATGCTCATCTCCATGGCGGTGTTCATCTCCACGGCTATTCCATCAACAACGAGAGGACCTCGAAACCCCCAGCCCATTAGGGGTTAACGCACTGAGGATACCCATTAACAGCCCCATACCTGCAAACCTTGCCCGTCTCACACCTAACCTTCTGCACCCACTTCCCGGCCTCACAAACATTAATAAACCAACCCTCACTGTCCTCGACGCACTGGAACAAATCAGGCGAGCACTCCTCCGGTTCGGCGGGGTACGGCAAGCAGTAGGGGCTTCCGTTGAGCGGGTTCATGTTGCAGTATTCGTTGGCGGCGCAGTCTCCACCGCGCACCCAGTTGCCATCGGTGTTGCAGACGGCCCAGCCCCAGCCGGCGGTGGGGGACTGGTCGCAAGTGTAGGTGCCTGGGGTGCAGACGGCGCGCTTGGAGGAGGCGGCGAGGGCGACTGCGGGGAGGAGGGCGAGGAGGAGCTTCATTTTGTTGGTTTTGGAGAGAGAATACTTTGAGGGTGGTGAAGTTGAGAATTTGTCTTTGGAGAAGCGTGGTGTAAAACGAGCGGAAGCTTGAAGAGCAGTGGTAGTTGTCTGGCTGTCTGTATGGCTTGTGGGAAACGAACGGAGCGGGTGGATATTAATGATTTTCCTTCCTGTCATGAACGGGACCAACGTGCCCCTTTTATATTTTCTAATCACCCTCTTCATCCACAGAGCCTCTGTGATCTCCAGCCCAAGATCCACCCAAAATAAAGATCATCCACCTGTCTCGCCGCAGAGAGAACCAGAGAAGGAACCCAAAACCTCGTGTTTTTCTCGAAGTGGGCCAGCATTCCCAGCGCATATCCTCGTATTTCGTCGCGTTTCCTTCCCTCTCCTGGTCAACCTTGCCCGGTCCGCTGAACGGCATGACATCTGCCAAGTCAACAACACCCCTCTCTCGGAACCAGCTGAGTCTGCTCCAGTCACTGGACCAACCTCTCAAGGACGTCAAAGACGTGTCAATGTCTTACATCGCGACCTGACGGCTGCTAGCTCGTTAACACCTGCTTGTTGGACATCTGCTCATTTGGCTTCGGAAGAGTGAGAAGAATAACCATCCCTCATCGGTTACTCGTTTGCTTCCTGCCATCATCGAAGGTAATCAGCTCTATTAGGCTCGACAAGTAGATCGGCATTTCTTAACCCCCTTGCCCAAGCTAGACCTTGTCTTACTCCGACTCCCTCCAGCCACACATGTCCGCCAAGGAACCATATCGCCGATCAACTGACATATTTCCCGGCGCCAGCCCCCGGAAATTTACCAAAAATAGAAACAATCTTCAACAAATGATTTCTCGTCCTCGTACTGCAGGGCCAAAACGAGGGTGACAGGTAACCATGCCCAAAGCTCGATGACTGAGGGCTTGGATGAGTGAGGGTAAGAATTGTGTCTAGCATTCTGGAGCGGCACGTCTTTAGGCCGTCCCGTATTTTCTGCTTGTGCCTTGGTTTCTCGGCATCTCCACGTCGGACCGAACCATTGGATCTGGGCTGCAATGCGACCATGTATTGATTAGTATTTCTCCTTCTCCAGGTCTCCATGGCAAAGGCGACGGATGCGTTCACGTTGACGGAATCATCTCCAATCCCTCAACTCGTCCCTTTCCATCAGTAAGTCCAGGTCACAGTAAAACGTTGAAGCGGATTGATTTGGTATCAGATAAAATTTAAGAAAAAAAAAAAAAAAGGTTCCTTATTCACAGTCCTGATGTACTACCCACAGTTTCCCATCTCAGCCAGGATTCTGAATCTCAACTAGGACTGTCAGTTTCTATGATTCTCCCTCCTCTCCCAGACATATCCCCCAACTGCTCCTCAAGCCCACCCATCTCCTCCTCCAACTTGTCCTTGCCAACCCCCCTCCCAGCATGGTCGAAATCAACAAGCGTAGCCTCCCCATCATGAACAAGAAAATTATGCTTATTAGTATCCCCATGCTTAATCCCCAAGTCGTGCAACTTCCCCAACGCCTTCCGACACAGCTCCAAGTCCTCCGGCCCCGCGTGGCGAAAGTCTTCAACGCGCTCTACGATGAACCCGATGATCCTCGCTTCCTCTGCCAAGTGGCCGAGAAAAGCAGGGCCTATGCCGTGACCTTCTATCCATTCGTACGCCTCCGTCTCGCGCTCCAGATAGCCCACCTCCCAGTGAAACCGGGCAAACTTGACAATCACCGTCGACTCGCCCAAGCGAGGACACGTAGCCTCGTAGACATTAGACCGTAGTTTCCGCCCCATACGAAGCTCTAGGTAATCGATCTCGACGGGATGCCACGTTTTCGTAACCCTCGGGAGATTCGCTTTCGATACCGTCGCGAAGTGAGGCTTTCCAGTCACGGCATCACGGGAGACGTAGCCCGTATTCCAATCGCCCTGCGGAAGGGGTGGGAGCAGGGAGATGAGGGCGGGGCCGAAGCACATGTCGTCGGGGTCGTAGAGGCCTACGTCGATGGTGATGTATTTAAAAGATTTGTTGTCGACGAGGAGGCGGAAGTAGCTTTCGTCTTCTGGGTCGACGCATGCCTGGAGGAGTTGAATGTTGGGGGCAGGGTCCGCCATGGTTAAAAAGCTTGACGCTTTTAGCTCAAGTGATGTGTGAATCAATCTCGCCAAAGGAAAAAAAAAAAAAAGAGATGTAGGATATAGAATATACAAAAAAGTAAGGTAATAGTTCCGGAAGCTATCCGTGGCCATTCCGCAGCCGGTTCGTTTGACGAGAAAAAGTTCAGTGACGGTCTGCCAACTTTCAAGGTGAGGGGGGTTGATCCAACGTCAAGGAATGTGTTGGTTGCCTGGGCTCCGACCGCCTTCTCAAAATGAACCCGCGCCGGGAAGTGTCGTCCGTCTCCAGAGACGAGACTTCTTCGGCGGTATTGAAGCCCAGATTTAATGCTGATACTGAAGACGGTGATCAACGCCACTGTGCCTGAAATCATCCAGTGAGAGTCTACAAAGTGTACGTGAGATATGCTTGTTCGCCAGGGAAATAATTCATATTTTCTATCTCTGTAACGACTGACTGCCTGGCGAGCTTTTAAGAGCTCTCCCTCCAGACAGAATCGGCCAGAGAGAGAGCCCGATTTTCTGGTTCCACCCAAAACATTCCTATCCCCAAAAGTGTAGCAAGACTTGCGATACAAAGAAAACTTCGCCATTAGGCCCTCGTCCTCCGTTGTTGAGGACACCGGGGGTGCTCCGTTCACGAGCACCCTCTCATCATTATCAACACCACCGGACTTTTCCGATCCCCCTTGTAACGCCGCCACCAGCGAGCCAAAACACGACGTCTGTGCTGCCCACCATCCCCTCTGGACAGCCGTCTCCGTCTCCTCTTCACCGCACCCCCAGACTCCAGCCACTTCCTCAACCACCTCCTCCCCTCCGCAACAGGTCACAGCTGATTCGCAAGACTCACCCTCACGCTCAACAGCCGCCACCAAAACGCACACCTGCCGGGGCTTCCAGCCCCTTCGTAGTCATTCCACCGGGTTCCTGGAAGCCGCAGCCTTTTCCTCGTCCGAAGCCGGCCCCGAATCGTGCTGGAGATACTCGCCGAACACTCTCTGCTCGATGTCCATGTCCTTCCAAGCAGTGCCTTGCTTCTTGACCGCCTGGCGCCTGAAGTACACGCGCTTGCAGAACTTCCAGAATTCCACGCCGCCGAAGAAGAGAGCCGCGCTGACGAAGACGATGCCCCACTCCCACGAGATGCCCTTATGCTTGAAGACAACCTTGTTGATGACGGGGATGTAGAGGAGGGGGAAGAGAGTGACGAAGCCGATCATGATGGCCCAGAAGAGGAACTGGTTGCGCCAGACGTCGTGCATCCACTGGGTGAAGTACTTCTTCGAGCCGGGCTGCATGCGGAAGAACGAGCGCCTCATGTCAATCATCTCCCAAGCGAGGAAGAGAGCGAACCAGGTAAGACAGGCGAAAGTTGTGGCGCGAGCTCGGAAGACCACGTCGCAGGAGTCGTTGTAGCTCTCGTTGCAGTTCTCTCCGAGCTCACCTCCGCCCCATCGGTAGACGACGAGGGTGAAGCTAGACAAGCAAAGGGCGGTGATCCAGAGGCCGTAGACAACCATGTCGAGCAAGAATTCGGGGGTAAAGATACCGGTCTTGAGGGACTGCGGGGGTCGTCGCAAGATGTCCGGCACAGCTCGTTCGAAACCGAGACCCATGTCGGGCATACCAGAAGTAGCCATGATCTAAAGTGAATTAGCTTTTACTTCGTCTTTTTTTTTTGAAACAAATCTGGGTGTGTAGGTGTGAGCAAAACTTACAATCCAAACGATTTCAACAGGAGCAAGAGGGAAGACCGAGAGACCGCGCGCATCCTTGAAAGCAAGACCGACGAGCAGAGTTCCAGCCTGGGCAATGTTCTCCGCAAGCACGTGAAGCACAAACTTTTGAATGTTGTCAAAGATACGGCGACCCTCCTCAATGGCGGCGACGATCGAGGCGAAGTTATCATCGGCAAGCACAATATCGGAAGCGTCCTTGGCGACGTCAGACCCAGATTGACCCATGGCAATACCGACATCAGCGCGTCGAAGAGAGGGAGAGTCGTTAACACCGTCACCAGTCTAAAACGCCCATGTTAGTAAATACTACTTTTTCCGTTTTAAAGTCGATCGAAATGGAAACTCACCATGGCACAGAACTTCTTCCTACGATGGAGAGCCTCAATCATCCTAACCTTGGTGCTAGGAGCGCAACGAGCAATAACAAGAGGGAGCACTGGAAGTTCATCGACCTGGTCATCCGTGAGGGCATCAAATTGCGTGGCGGTCATAACCATGGCAGCCGCAACGTCGCGGGCCACGCGGTCCATCCTCTGAGGAAGAATACCAACTTCAATGGCGATGGCCTTGGCAGTCTCGGGGTGGTCACCAGTAAGCATGTGGACGGAGATACCGGCCTCGTGGCACTGTCGCACGGCGGGGGCCGATTCGGGACGGGGAGGATCGTAGAGTCCGATGAGACCTCGGAAGGTAAGCTCGCACTCGACGCTTGCTCGATCAACATCGTCGCCCTTCTTAAGGACACCCTGGAACGGCTTGCTGGCGAGAGCGAGCACACGGAGACCCAGGCCAGCAAAGACTTCCATGTTCTGGAGGATCTGTGTGCGCATCTCTTCGTCCAAGGGCACCAATTGAGTGCTGTCGGCGGTGGGGAGGTAGTTGATGCACTGGTCGAGGACCCTCTCGACGGCGCCCTTGGTGAAAACGTGAAGTGCGCCGGTGTTGTTCTCCCTGTAAATGACAGACATGCGCTTGACGTCCGAATCGAAAGGCATCTCGGCCAAGTCAGTCCAGGCGGGATGCTCGCCGCTGGTGAACTTCAGGCGGTTCCAGTCAAACCTAGAGGCGAAAATCTGGATGGCAATTTCGGTAGGATCACCTCGAGCATTCCACTCGCCGTCGGTATGTACTACGGTCGCGAGATTGGCAAAGGAGCAGATACGGAGGTAATCGACCAAGGCATCCCTGCCCTTCTCGATGAGATTCGCAGCAGCGGTAATAGGGCCGGTTTCCGCGTCACCACTCTTCTTGAAGTCGATCTTGGTAGGAAGCTTCTCGGTGAAGCGGATATCGCCGGATTCGGGATTGAAGGGCGAGGAGGAGTTCTCGACAGTGAAGGTACCAAGGGCAGGGATCCATGCGCCTCGAGCCAACATCCTGCCTTGCGTAAGCGTGCCGGTCTTGTCGGAGCAAATGTCGGTAACGGCGCCAAGGGCCTCGAGAGACCTGAGGTTTCGGACAATAACGTTCCTCTCCACCATCCTCTTGGTACCGGCCGCCATGGTAATTGTCAAGACGACGACAAGACTGGCGGGAATCATGGAGAGGCCGGTGGCGACGGCATAAATGATGACCTCGGTCTTGCTATCGAACTTGTTGGCGGCAAGGACAATGATGGCGCAGAGAACGGCGATGCCGAAGAGGAGAATCGCCAGGCGAGACAGCTTCTTCTGTAGCGGGGTACCGGTGTTCACACCGAGGAATCGGCCAATGGCATCGGTGATGGTGAGGGTGAAGGCCTCGAGGTATCGGTAAGATTTGGCGGTGCCGTCGGGGCGGCGCTTGACAGGGCGGCGCTTGGAGTCCTTCTTTCGAAGAGCCGAGGCGATGGCGCCGATTTCCGTGTGTACACCGGTCGCGAAAACAATTCCCTTTGCACGGCCCTTAGTAACAGTCGAGGAACTGTAGGCGACGTTCAGACGATCGCCGGGTCCGGTGTGGTCGGGGAAAACCTGATCCTCATCCTTTCGGACGGGGAGTGACTCTCCGGTGAGAAGAGCCTCGTCGGTCTCAAAGTTGATGGCTTCGGTAAGTCTAAACACAATTTGATGAGTTGTTAGACCAATATCAATGAAAAGTACCATTGGACTGAGAAATGATGTGAGTGGAACTTGCCTGACATCAGCGGGGACGGTGTCACCCATCTTGAGTTCGATGAGATCGCCAGGAACAATCTCGCCGGAGGGGATGACATGAGACCGGCCTTGACGGACGACGTTTCCGGTGGGAGAGCTAAGCGATCGGAGGGAATCCATGGTCTTTTCGGCCGAGTATTCCTGGAAGAAACCAACGACGACGTTCAAGAGAATGACGAAGGTAATAACACCTCCCTCAATCCAAGACTTGAAGCCATAGGACACAGCCATAGCAAGGATAAGGACCTATTCCGCAGGCACGTGTTAGTGAAACTCACATCTAATGCCAATGGGGTTGAAATTGAAGAACATATCAGACTCAATTGGGCTGAGGAACCGGGCACGCGAGTTTTGGCAAGGCTCGATTCTTCACAACAGAGCATAAACATAGAGATGTACCTACCATTGTCATGGCATTTGCAATTTGAGCAACGATAATCCGAAGGGGCTGAACGCCCTCTGCCTCGCCCAAGTCATTGTTACCAAATTCCAGCAACCGAGAGGCGGCTTCCTCGGCGGAAAGACCGCTCAGGGCGTCGGATTTGAGCTCCTGCTCAACCTGTTTGAAGGTGAGGGCGTGGGCGGGCGCGGTCAGCGGCTTGTTTGATTGGCCGGAGACATGGCCCTCGGCGGGCAAATTGCCTTTCTTTCTGCCCATATTTCGATGGGGTCAGGCAAAAGAGCGATTGGCAGCTAAGACAAGAGGCAGTCGGAGTATGAGTCAGCTTACGATCCGAAGACGTTGGATAGCTATGATTCGAAAGATGGTCAAGAGGAAAAGAGCAAAGGGGGAAAGAGAAAAGAGCAGAGATCAAAGTCAAATATGCAGAATCGACGGAAATAAAGTCGGTAAAGAAATCGCCCCTCGACATCAACATTCGCCAAAGTCTTATTTTTCTTGAGCTTCTTGGCAAAGCCTCTAGGACCGCATGCTCCTTCCTACACTAGACTCCTCGGTGGGGCCCCCACATGAAATAGTGTCAAAAGTCGCGGTTTTGAGGCGGCAGTGGGCAAATCAAGGTCAAAGTTGGTACCTGTACCCAGCAGCTCCCCACTATGCTACCCCCCTTCCTTCCCAAACCGCCGCACGGCGTGGAAAATTTGAGTTGAGGAAGGTGAGTCTAGACCCCGGATCATAGGATGGACGTTTCGATCCTGATCCATATCCTGACCACATCCATGAACATTTGATGTATTGGGTATGCACAGCTGCAGCTGTGGCCGGCTAAGGAAATTGGGATAGGTGCGACGGGGATGTGGGAATGGCTCAATGTTGGGGAAACGGTGGGGATTGTGTACTGTGTTGATGGTGTTTCTGCCTAGGGTATCAAGAGAAATACATGGGGTAAGAGCAACGGGGCAGACGTACCTGACGATAAGCCTCCGTCGAATAGTGTAATGCAGCTGTAATGAAGTGTGAGTTGCAGTCCGAGATGACTGAGTCCTGTGCTCCGCTATCTGGGGTTGATTCCGGGGCTTTCCGGGCTGCAAAGTTGGGTTTCGGTGGAGGGAACGAAACCAACCAAGACCAGCCCGGTCGACGGCACGGCGATGTTATATGGTATGGGGAATATGCCACCGGGCGGGCAAGGTGATCGACTAATTGGCAAGTCGGAGAATTGATCAAATGATCAAATGTTCAATGCTACGATTCATCACGTTCTATTTATTCATCTTTTGCCCTGAACAAGGAAGGGGATCTCGATGTTTTATACTGAGACTGGCAGGTCCAAGTCCGTGATGGGATGTGAGGCGAATAAGCTTGTTCTCGGTGCTCGCCTGAATCCCGCCCGTGTACCGGTACATCTGGGAGTGACGAGGTGTACAAGCGTCGGGCGGCGGCATCGATCCTGTCACGCCGAATGGAAAATTAGTGATATTGATATCAAGAGAAATGAAAGTGATCTGCGAAGTCTCGAGTAAAATCGGAATTCTGCGTTCTGAGGTAGGAGTTATTTTGTCTTCTCTCTTTTCTTTCTGTTAAAAAGAAGGAAAAAAAAAAAAAGTGCTGCCGACGCATCCATTGGCTTGTCGGTGATTTTGCTTCACGCCCGGTTGCAGAGTCGCAGTGCGTGCAACAGGCCTCGAAAGCCGAAGGAAACATGAATGGAAGATTCGAAATCAGGCACAGTACATGCGTAAAAACGTAAACTGATCAATTGGGAATGTTTACTTGCCAGCTTGCCAAGGCGACTCTTGGGCATGACGCCTCAACCCAAATTGACGGGTCAAAGTGGAATTGGGCGGTGAAAAAGAAAGAAAATAACTTCGTAGATTAACTTCGTAGATTTTGTGCCAGAGCTCAACCAAGCGTTTACTTCGTACTTCTCCAGGTTTTGCTTTGTCTCATCGATCGCCGTTGAATTACGCCCGGACCAGAGGGGTCACTGTCACATCAATTGATCTTTGCATCGATGAATATCTCAAATGCCGCATCCTGACAAGGGACAGATCTGCACGAATTCTCGGCATTCTTGTTTCTATGAGCAGAACTTATTGCGTAAAGATACATTTCCAGTGGTCCGAACAATTCAATGTTGGAAATTGAGTCTCATCCTCTTCCCGAGACGAGCGTCAAATACTGACTCCAAAATAGAAGCAATGACCCCCTTCAATCTTTACCGACAGGGGGGATTAGTGAAAATCTCAGCCTTTGGAGGTGAGCACGCGACACCAAAATTTAAGCTTGAGTTTGAGCGCCCTTTTTTCACAAGCAAATTTCCTGGTCTCTCCGCAATCGATTGATCAATCGAATCAATTGAATTGAATTGGCTCCGTCCAAGGGACACCCAAGACTTCCCGGGTGCCAGGTACCTGCCCTGGTCCAAGCTTGTACCCCGTACATCAGGGATTCAAGCCCGGATTTGCCGTCAGTCACGGTTAGCGCCGATACTAGCCTCCACCCGTACCAAAGTACCATTGACTTCTCGACGAACCGCAGGCTTCCTTTGTGCCACGGGCTCACTTGTTCTCAAGTTTCTCAACAACATCAAGGAAAGTGGTGGGGTCAATTTTGAGCGCTTCTCGCCCTGCGAAGTACCAAACCTCCCCCCAAGTTGCATCTTCCTTGTCGTGGGGCAACAACGAACAAAGCAATTTGAAGATCAAGGGCCGAGTTTTCAGTTCGTGTCCGCTTCCTCCCGCCACCAACAGGCGCCATCTGCACGATAATCAATATTAGGCACACCACGAACTATTGCAGTCGCCCGCTCGTGGCGTTCTCTAGCAACTCGCTTGCTAACTTGCTACCGTCCACGCGGTTTCGCCGCGATGCACGCGGCGCACGAGGCAGGACGAGACGCTGAGAATCGCAGCTACGCTCGTGGGGTGACCGATCTGATAAATGTTCATGATTGGCGACCGCGATCACGTTCAGCCGTGTCTAGTGTGGTGGATAATGGATGATTGATGCTGAACTTCCTCCATCTCTCTCACCTCACAAGTGGGTCGGCACCAACGATACCCGACGATGTCTGCGCGTGTATCAACCCCGCATCGTAAAGGGAAGGATATGAGGTCTTGGCGATAATTTTTTTTTCCACTTCATTTCTTGAGGTGACCGAGGCTATCAATAAATTCCTTTCATCCATGGGCTGGAGTCTTGGCATTGCAAAAAGCGCCGAGAGCGAAAGCTGAATTGCCTCAATGCCACGCACGATCCATTCCTCCTTGCCTCTCATCGAGTCTAGTTTTATTTTTCTATTTCTTTTTATTTTCGTTTAATTTATTTTTCCACTTTTATCATTCTTCGTTTTCGTTTTTCCAATTCTTCTCTTTCATTTTTTCCCCCCCTTTGATTGATTGGCTATCGAACGCCTCTTTTTACTTCTTTCTTCCATTTTCCTTCTTCTGCTGTCTCGCATCCCCGCGAAATCTTGGCGCCAACCCCGCCCCGTTCCGTCGTGAGTTTCGCACCGAATTAGCCCGGATCAAACACCGAGCGGAGCCGGGAGGGGGGAGCTGAGCATGGGGGTCCTGTTCCCTTTTATGGCGCACACCGAAGACAGGCCCCGCCCGCCAAAAAAAAAAATCGGGGACCGCCCAGGGCCGGTCTCAGCCGATTTTGAGTGGGCGATGGGGGCGATGGGGACGATGGGAAATTAGCCTTTTGTGGAGGAATTGGTATTGTATTGTCTTGGTGAAGAAATTCCCAAATGGGAAATTCTTCCTGTCAAAGCCAAGAACTATTGGCGGCTGCATTTCAAGCCAATTGGCCACAGCTGGTTCGGAGTGCCAACCTGCCAACAGCTTTTTGCTCGCCGATTAACCAGGGACCGAGGACTTGCGGTGTGCCCGTGCTTCTCTCGGCAGTGGACGCCAAGTCCCCGCTCTCATAACCCTGGCAGGTCAAGGTTTGCAGGATTCGGTGTAGGAGATTGGGGTCTAGCTTACTAAGCTGTACCTAAAACAAAAGTTTGACTTGCCGATGGAGATAGGATTTAAGCCTCCCGTCGTATCGCGAAGGAGATGCCAGAAATGAAAGTTGAACTTGGCTTGGGATTCGGGGCTTCCGACGTTGTTCGGTGTTTACTCAACCGGGCCGTTAACCTGACATTGGCATTGTGGATACTACGTTAATTCAGAATGACGGCTGTTAGCTATTCTTCTCTGCATCGCTCGCCAACGTCGGTCATGGTAGGTCCGCTTCATCGGTGCTGTCTCCACTGCCTCGGCAAATTATGGGCAACATCCATCCATCCCCGTCTCTATGGCGTGCTAGCGCCTGCGCCCCCTTTTCATCTCTGCTCCATATATATAGGCTACACGAGAGATTTTGGTTTTGGATCACCTCTTTTTGGATCACCTCAAGAACTTCCCCGAGGCAAACGGCAGCCAAACAAGAACGCCATAGGCTTATAAATGTCGTCTTTGATGCAATCTCAGAAGCTTGGGCCTCAACGGGGCGTCAAGTCTCACCACCCCAACTCTGTGATGACAAACGAGTTCGTTGATTGCTAATCCCCTCCTCTGATCAAGGAATTCCTCGAGGTTCTCCGCTCATAGAGCCGAGGCTGCGATGCATGTTCTGGGATTACACCGCGTCCCCGACGGGCCACATGGGAGGAAGATAAGCGGACATCCGTCGCTGCGCCGTATACAGAAGATCTAGTGACGCGTCCTGTCAGCAATATCAATACTTCCGACTTCGTGGGCGTCAATTGTCCCAGGCTCCGGTGGTCAAGCGGATGAATGTTCATTCCACCGGAGCCTTCCGTTGCTCCGTGCACATCGTCCAAGATGTTTGAAGTCCCCTCTTTGCGTGTCAGCCGGATACCAGGCTGCTCCCAAGAATTACAAATGCGGCTGAAGGAGGTTGGAATGAACAGGATCCGCGTTCGTGAAGTTCCCGAATTAAGCTTCTTGAAGCTAGCTTCCTACGGCTAGACTCAGGAGCACCCAAATCTCGGGCAACCAGGGAATCTCGGCTAAAGGTACAGCAGATCTGGATACCTTCCCGAGAGGGACCATTAGATCAGGCCAAGACAACGCATGCCAGTAATACCCGTGCTTCGTACAAATCAAACTTGGGTGATAAAAAAAAAAAAAAAAAATTGAGCGCAAATCATTGGCCGACAAAGGGACCATGGCCGTTGCGCAAGTCAGCGAGGTCTGGCCCTTCATCTCCTATCATTCCAGTTGATCGCCGACTTCCCTTGTTTGTTGTCCAGTTCATGTCGTACCTGCATGGATCTTGATCCAGAGACGAGGCGGGAAATGCCGCTGACAAATCCAAGCTTCCCACGGGGTCGATTACAAATCGACAATACCAAAAAGGGGAAACGCAATGGGAAAATCTCCGATTCAGATACCCAGAAATAACGACAGGTCGCATCGACACAGCTCAAGGGATGCCCAAAAGGATGTGAGGGGTCAGTGCAAACGGGCCGGGAACGAAGATCTGGCTGATTAGATGACCAGTAGAGTGTTTCACAAGGTACCTTCTTGATGTCATGAACCTCTACTGAGCTGAACATGATTAGTGAACGTGTACATGTAATATGTCGTCCATTCCATCCTGGACGTTAACTTTCAGTGTGGCTTCGGTTGGAAGGCGGGGTAGTTTTTGACCGTCGTGGAAGCTCTCAAGCTGCTTTCTGCCAGCTGCTTCGGCGACTAGCTGCGTTAGGTGTCAAGACTTCCCTGTGCTCCCCATTGAACGACCGTTTCCAGAGCACCGTCTTCCTTGTCCGACGAGGGAACCCTTTGAGTCGCCGACCTCTTTTGGAAGCTCAGACCTCTTCAACCTTGCTCTCACGAGATATGTGCCCCCTCCTCGTACGTCAGTCAAAGCTCTCGAAAGCTTCGGGGACGTTTCCAACGGCTTCCACGGCAAGCTTCAGGGCACGGCCCCGCATCAATCCCCGTTTAATTGTCTTAGTTTACTCGTAGTTAGTAAATGGCATCATGACGTTGCATATCCCCCCTCTCCACTTTCTCACGTCCCCCCCTTGGAACGAGCCGGACTGATGCGAGCTTGTCACCTCGCCAGTTGCGTTTCAGGAAAACGCAGGCTTCCTATTGGTATTCCTACGTATCGTACTATGCGCGCCTCTTGTCTCGTTTCCGTTCTCGACCATTTAACGGTAGAGCTAAGGCGGGAGGGGGAAGGAGGGGAGTGGGGGGGAGTGCTGATCCATCGACGGAAGGTCAAACCCAAAAGCTGATCTGTCTAGAACATCGCCCGGATAGAGCGAGATATTTAAAGTCCAGCTTGCCCCCATCTCCATACCTCTCTCTACCCTCCTCTACCAAACACAACCTTCAAGCAGCCTCAACCAGACCAAACATCTAACCCTTTTTCCAACCCATCATCTCTCAATCACCAAAACTACCAAAAACCCCAAACCGCCAAAATGTCCTACACCTTCTACGACGCAACCGTCCCCCTCCTCCAAGCCTCCCTAACCGCCCTCACCGGCATCCTCAAAAAGATCGAGGCCCACGCAACCGCCCAATCCATCCCCCTGACCGACGTTGCCAACTGGCGCCTAGCCGAAGACATGCTCCCCCTCACCTTCCAAGTCCACATCGTCACCGACACCACCATGAAGCTCGTCGCCCGCGTCCAGGGCGAAGAGCCCGTCCAGTGGTCCAAGGACGACCTCGCCACCCTCGAGGCCTGCCACGCCCGCATTGCTGAGGCGCAGAAGTGGGTTGATAAGGCGGATAAGGCTACTTTTGAGAAGAATCCCGATACGGAGGTTACTATGGCCATGAGGGAGCGCTCTGCGACGCTGCCCGCTAAGGGGTATGCCGAGGGGTATTCGCTGCCGAATATTTTCTTCCATTTGAATATGACTTATGCTATTGGGAGGAATAAGGGTGTTCAGCTGGGCAAGATGGATTATCTTGTGCCTTTTATTGGTAAATGGGTTGGCATGTAGGCCTAGGTCAGGATTTTAGGGGAGGAGACATAGGAGATAGAGGAGAGAGGGGGGAACATAGGATCATTAGCAAGGGTGGAAAAGAAGATGACTTTTGCCAGTTTCGAAGCTGTATCCTCCTCGTTAAGTGATCATCCCCAAGCTACCAAGATGAAGAAGTGAACAAGCTTCTTTGAATGAATGCATTAAACAACCAATCACGACCCCATTGATATGTGATATGTGTATAATACATAGAAAAAAGGTGAAGAAAGCAAACACCACCAAAGCACACATCGAACACTCCTCCGCCATCAAAATGCTCAACTCCTAATAAACGAATACAAGTTAAAAGACACACCAATCGTAGTTTTATACACATCAAACTCACACCTTCCTCCAAAAAGAGAAGAAGAAAGCGAGAAGGGGTTCGTTCCGCCGGATATAAAAAGAAGGAAAACAATTAAAAAAAACTCAATCCACCTCGCTCAACCTCTTCAACCTCCCATTCTCTGACCTCAAGTCCCTATTCTGCGTCTCCAGCTCCCCAAGCCTCTGCCGCGCCGCCGTGCGGTCCTGATTCCTTCCTTCCCTCTCCACTCTCAACTTCCGCTCCAGGTCCCTCAGCCTCAAGAGTAACGCGTGGTCGTTGCCCGAAGAGCCAACGCTGCCACTGACCAGGTGCTCTGCCGCAGACATCACCTCCTTACCTGACGAACCGGGCCCGACGCCATGGGACGACGACGAGGTCCGGGTCATGGTTGTCGTCCGCCCGCTACTGGTATACACCCCCTTTCTGCTCCTGCTACTCTCCCTATCTCTCGGCCCCGTTGGAATCGAAGGCGCAGGGCTTCCCGACACGGCATCAACGATAGCCGCCGTCCCATCACCCGGAACACTTCCGTAGACCGCCCTAGCACGCACATCATTCGCCGTCCTCAGCGTCGCGTTCTCGACCCTCAGCTGCCTAATCATGTCCTCGAGCCCATCCACGCGCGCCTGCACCTCAGACGACCCCAGCCGGCCCAGAGACCCGGACGCGATGCCATTGCGCACCATGGTCTCGAGACGATCCAGCTTCTTCGTGCGCACCTCGAGCCCGTTCTCGAGGTTCTGGTACTCGCGCCAGAGCTCCCGCTCGACGGACTTGATGCGCGACTGGAACCCGCCCACCATGCCCTCGAGCGTCTTCACGGCGCCCAGAAGATTCTTGCTGAAACCGGGAAGCATGGTCGCCACGGCTTCGAGGGAGGGGAGAGCACGTCCGTTGATGAGGCTGTTGTCATGCGCCCAGTCGCTTCCGCATAGCGTGCTGAGTCGCGACCAGAGGATGAGGAGGAGGTTGTTGCGCTCCGTGAGCTGGTCCTTGAGCGTGTTCTCGAGCGACATAAGCTTCTTCTGCGACTGCGCTCGCTGCACCTCGAGCTCCTGGATGCGCGTTTCTTGTGTCGCGGCCGTGACGCTGACGTGCTGGTGCGTCTTTTGGAATGTCTCGAACTGGCTCTTGGTCGTACGGTGGGCTTGCCTTTCCTTGTCGAGGAGCTCGGCGAGACGGCGAGACTCGAGACCGTGGGATTCGAGTAGACCGTCACGTTGTTTGAGGAGTCGGTCCTTTTCGCCGAGGTCTGCCTTTGTGGCGTCGAGCTCGCGGACCGTGTCTTCGAGTTGTCGTTGAAGGCCAGAGATGGACTATTCTGATTGTTAGCAAAGTCGCTGATTCTTTAGCGGGAACATGAAAACTCACATTGAGGAGGCTTGACCGGGTCCCGTTCAAATCTCCAAGCGCCACCCTCAAGTTACCCTCCAGCTCCATCAACCTCTCCTTCCACTCAGCGGCCTCTACCTCGCGCGAAGTGAGCGCCTTACGCAACTTGCGCGCCTCGTCCTTAGCCGCCGACGCCTCCCTATTAAGCCCGTTGACGAACTGCTGCACCTCTTCCTTCTCGCGGTTCGCCACCATCTCGCGCTGCCTCCTCTCGGCCTGCAACCTCTGCTCGAGCTCCGTCACGCGGTCCTTTTCGTCGCGCAGGCTCTGCTCGGCACTAGCGAGTTCGGCCTCGAGGTTTCCGATGCGGATCTTGTCGGCCTCTTGCTCCTCGCGCAGGAAGGCGATCTCGCCCTGGCTCGATTCTTGTTGCACGCCGAGGCGGTTGGCTTTGTCGTTGGACTCGTTAAGCTTGGCTTCGAGCTCCTCGAGCTCCGTGTTGGCTTGCGCCGTCTCCTGCTCCAGCTGCTGGATGCGCCGCAGCTTGTTGTCCTGCTCGTCTTCGAGTCGCAACAGCGCGTCGCTCATCTTGCGCATCTCCTCCTGCAGCGCCGCGAAGTTCTCGGACCGGTCCTGCAGGTCGAGCTGGAGCCTGTGGATCTCGTCGTTGCGCTGATCGACGTCGCCCTCGAGGGCGTCGATTTCCGTCTGGGCCTCCTTGCGCAGCGCCTCGAATTCCGATTCCATCTCGGCCTGCTCCCTCAACGCCTCGTCGCGCTCGGCTTGGAGGGCGACGAGGTCATTCATTGTCGTTTCGAGGTCTTGCTGCAGGGCTGTTGCGATCTCCTCGGTTTGCCTCTGGCTCTCGATGGCGGTCTCAAAGTCCTGCATGCATTTGTCGAGTTCCTGTTGTAGTTCTTGGTTCTGCAGTTTGACCTCATTCATCTTGTCGCGCACTTCGGCTAGTTGGTTCTCGAGCTCCTCCTTCTCGGCCTCGTCCTGGGGATTGGTAACTCGAGTTGTGCCGCTATTTCGAGACATGGACCGCTGGTGGTGGTGGACTCCGGCACGAGAGGCAGATCTCTCGAGAAGGGTGTCGACGGTTGAGGGCGCAGGGCCGCCTCGTCGCTGCGCCATCTTAAGGTCTTCGATCTCTTGGTACAAACGCTCCTTTTCGCGATTCCTTGAAGTAAGCATCGACGTCTGGGCTCCGACCTCTCGGCGAAGCTCGGCATTTTCGTGTCGTAGCTGCTCGCTCTCGCGACGCAACTCTTCGATAAGGGTGCTCGCAGTGCTCATACCGTTCGTGCTCTCCATATCTCCAGAAAGCCCAGACATAGGCCGAGATGGGGATCCAGCTTGCCCGTGCTTCTTGGTAATGTTGTAAATGTTGGTGGTGTGGTGCAGGCCGCCGCCAGAAGCCATCTCCTGCTTTAGCCGGAATATCTCGTCTCGCAAGCGTCGGTTATCTTCGTCGGCCTGTTCACGGCGAGCGGTTTCCTGCTCAAGGAGATCCTTCCACACGTCGGTCTCATCCTGCCGACCGAGAGATTCGCCCACGTTGCGCTCGCCGAGGGACCTAACCATTTCGGACATTTTACGCTTCTCGTTCTCCTTGTTGATGCACTCGTGCCTAAGTCTCTCGATCTCGACAATGTACTCCTCGACTCGCTCCCGGAGATAAAAGAGCTCCTCCTCACGTTCGGCCGCCGCGTCGTCAGATGACTGGTTCGAGTTTGACGACGCTCCGCTCTTCGCCGTGCTTGGCCTCTCATCTTCCTCCTTGAGCTGCTTCTCCAATTCCTTCACCCGCCTCCTCAGCGCCTTGTTCTCCCGCTGGATCACCGCCAAGCTTGTCTTGAGCTCGACATTCTCCGAGATCATCTCCTTAACACCTTCCTCGGAGAGCTTGTCGAGTCGGTCGCTCAAAAACATGACCTTGAGCTTGAGATCGAAATTTTCCTTGGACAGACGCTCGATCGTGCTGCTCTGCTCCTTGAGCGTCAGGTTCTTACCCGAGCGCGAAGGGCCGATGGACGACTTGAAACTCGAGGGCTGCCGGGGCGTGACGAGACCGCTGCGGAATTTGTATTCCTTGGCGAGGGACTCGGGGACCTGCACATTTTGGACGTGGCGGGCGATGACGGTGTCGGTCGGATCTTTAAGGTTCTGCTTATGCGGCGGCTTCGGCGTCTTAAGGAGACCTTCATCGGATTCTCGGTTGCCATGCGCATGGTAACTGGCATCTTCGTCGAGGGGGTCGAGGTGGTCGTATCCCTTAGATCCGCTGCCCTCGTTAAGATCATCGATTCCCGACGCCATGCTGCCCATGCTAATTGATCGGTTAAGAAAGCTGCTCAAGCTCCTGGGCATCAACATGCTGGGGACAGCGCCACCAGATTGTAAAGCGTAATCCGTCGCGAGCCCAACCGTAACGTCACTATCGGCATCATCTTGGGATTCGGGATTCGTAAACGACGACGTGGAAGACCGCTGACTCGAGTTCCTGCTTCGCAAGTACTTGGGCCTCTGGTCGGTTCGAAGGGCATGGCCCGGAGTGCTACCGGCATCTAGAGCATATTTCGAAGGGCTGGGACTGCGTCTCTGGCGGGGGAGAACGCCGGAGGGTACGGGTAGGGAGTTGTTTGATGGCGAGGAGCGGGAGAGGTCGAGACTTGATGCATGTGGGTCTTCGTGTGTGGAGGAGGTATCGTTGTTGTCTTGCTCAGATGTCCGAGCAGCAGTAGCCTGGGTGCGTGCGCTGGCTGACGAGATGGCCCGCGATATCGTGCGGGCAGCGGCGGCGGCTGTCGGGGAGGAGGAGAGGTTCTCAAGGGAAGATGTGGTATTGGAAACGTCGGGTATGTTATCAAGTGGCTCGAGTGCGGGTAGTCCGTCGCTGTGCGTCGATGGAGGAGGGAGGTTCGGGCGGTTCAAGAGGGTTTGTTGCTTCTGAGGGGATGCAGACCGAAAGGAGAGATCGTCCTCGAGTAATGGTGGGAGATTTGGCGACGGCGATTGGGCTGCCAGAGCGCGAGGACCAGCATCGAAGAGGTATGTATCGTCGATACCGCCGGCAGGATTTGTCGTCGTCAAGGGAGATAGGGGTGCGTGGAAACTCGACTCGACGTCTAGAAGATGAGCATGCACCGCCTGCTCGTGGAAGGAGTCTAGGTGGCTCTCGTCAGGCCTCGCGTCGGTAAACGTCGTCTCGAGGATTGAGGTCGCCAACGGCGGAGGAGGTTTATTTGTCGAGTTCTCGGGCTTTGATCCGGAGGTCTCTTGTGATGGTGTGCCGGTCGGTGTCGAGCTCTGTCCAGCCTGAGGCTGCAGGGACGCAGGGGCTCTTTGGGGATCCTCCTCGTCCATAGCGGACTAGGGAGGTTTATTCTCTATGGTTTTGAGAGGATGCGATAGGTCGCCGGTTGCCGAGTTTGCGTGGATGTAGGATAGTAAGAAACAAAACAAGCGGTCGGTTGCATTCGCGGATCGTCGTGGTTGCGATCAAAAAGTAAAAAGGGCGAGACTGCTTGGGAAAGTCGCATTCGACAGGACGGGTTTCAAAAGCGCATACTAGCGTATATTTTGTGTTCCGCCAAATTGAGGTAAATCTAGATAAACATCCAAGAGTGTTGGATTCCTCGATTGGTTGTTCGTTTCGTGCCTGATGGATGTTGGTTGATCGGACGAGCCTCGGGTGGAGCTGATGGGCCAACTTTGCCGGACTGGCGCCTGAGAAGAATGATGTGAAGAGGCAGAGCCTCGTCCAAGTGCTCGAATGCAGAGGGTAAACAACTGCTAAATCCTGTCCCACAGACCACAGGGGTTAGCAAGGGTCGTGAAAACGGTTGACCCTGCTCAAGGTCAAATACAACCGTACAGAAGCAGGGGAAAGGGTGAGTTGCAACGCTGAGGATTGAGGATTTCGAAAGATTGTCAGGCGGGACGGTTCGACCTTGATGACGCGCTTTAGGTTGTCCGAAAAGAGAAAAAGTGTTACACTCGGGGTTGTGTTTTGCTCCTGGTGACTGGAATGGACAATGGCCTGACTTACTTTTTTTATCTTCTTCTTTTTTTTTTTTTTTTTTTTTTTTTTTTTTTTGTGCAAGCCCGATATCCAGAACAGGATTTTTGCTTGTGTCCAGACGAAGAAGCGACAACAATACCCAGGCAGAGGAAGGGACCAAGACCGTGCTTTGTGGAGCTGTTCCTGTTGCTATTGCTACCACTATTGATGTTGAACAAAACACCGAATCTGTAGAGAGGATCAAAGTTTCGCTATTTTAGCTTAGAGGGGGGTTCCTTCCCTTCCCTGGTCGAAAGCGAACCCACTGTTCCTGCCCGTTGTCATTAGCCTCAAGCTCAGTCAAGCTCAGGTCGGATTACCAAATCACGGGATGTACCTTTGTATACACTGGTGTATCTTGATGTACTTGTCGCTCGGCCCTGCTCCTCCATCCCTGCCGAATTCTCTCCCTGGTCAGGTCGGGCCTTGCAAGCCTGTCCTTGCTCGTTGCCATGACACTGAAGAAGAATAATAGGGGCGACTCTGATTAGAAGACACTGAGAGGCAGCACAGGTTCTTGGTCCTGAGCATTATCAATTCTCCTAGTGCAGTATTGAGCTCTCCAAGCTCAAGCTCATACTCCGTCCAAGCGATCAATTGATGATTGTCTTCGCCTCGTGGAGATCAGCCAACGGTTTCTGATCCACACCATTGACCACTAAACGAGACGCAGATCCGCGGTCGGACCCCGAATCTAGAATCCGGGCTCCGTTGCCCAATGGACTTGGGCGATGATCCATCCCAGACCAAATGCTAGACGGGCGTTTTAAATTGTCCTTGCCACTAACTTCGAATCAAGGTGATATCTTCAAAATGTTGTAAGTTGGGGGGTTAGAAAGGTCACTGCACTGGAAGAGTTCGTGTCCTCGATCAAAGATTTATTTCAAATCAATCCTTCTCGATAATACCTGACTTATATACCGAACACGCGAAGCAAGTTGCTCGTTCAGCAAGAAACAAGATCCCCTTCCCTCCCCCAAAAGAAACTCCGCGCTCGCTCCCAACTATCATCATTACATTGATCAACCCAACGAGGCCAATACATTTGAATTTCGTCCAAGCAGCCAGAAAAAAATAAAGCAGAAAAAAAAAAAATCAAACGCTACTCTTCATCCTTGCAGAAATCAAAAACCATCTCATTTCGAACACATTCCATACCTTTTGTCCTCGTCCATCCCCAACAATTGAGGTATCGTACACTCCAAAGGTTAGTAGGTAGCACGAAGTACTCGCGGCTATAACGACTCCACAAACACCTCGTAGGCCATCACCATGATCCAAATCAGACAGAGCATGCCGACCAGTGCAAACGAAAAGACGGCATGCCACGATTGACCTACAGAGAACTTGTTAGTTTCACAACTTTCGCAACGTCCCCAATTCCACATGACGATTGGGCATCCTCGAACACTCACATATACTCCTTTCCTGGAGCCACGCAAGGGTCTCCAGCGTATCGCCCTTCGGGTGCCTGTTAAACACCCGCAGGTTGCACTTGCTATTGACGGAACCCTTGGGACCCCACAACTCGATCGACACGACGATAAGCCCGACAAACCAGAGGACGAAGACGAGGAATGCGCCTATCATGACGATGGCGGGGAGCAGCCGGTGCTGGGACAGTAACCACACGAGAGTGGCAACGTAGAGCACCGTGAAGGAACCGACTGTTATGTAGTAGGGGAAGTACCTGCCAAAGAAACAGTGTTAGCGTAGGAATTATACCACCGTTCCCTTCCTCAGCTTCTAAATAGATTCGGTCGCTGGTATGTGGATGTGTGCCTTACCATGGGACGGGCAGTAAAAGCTGGTATTGAATGTTGATAAACATGGAAAATATGCCGACGATCGAGCACGAGCAAAGGAGCATGAGGAACATCCAGATGTTGAAGGGGATCCACGGCCACTTGTACGTGTGGACGTGAGGCACCCTCCGCCGCCTCGTGTATACCGTCGTCGTGTCGCCGCTGACCGTCGAGACCGCCATTGTGAGAAGAGGAAGGGTATCGGTGGGAGGAGGAGAAGGAAGATAAAGGAGGGGTTTGTCGAGAGGCTAGATTTGGAGTAGGGTCGTCGGGAGGTATCGTCGTGTTGAAGCTTCGACGAGGATAGCTCGGCAGCTACTCGGGGAGGTTCAGGGAGGTTCAGGTATAAGTGGTTATAGCGGAGTGCAAAACAATAAAATCGTCGCCTTCTCGATCGTCGCGATCGATCCGATCACGCGGAACAAGAAAAGAGAATCGTCGGTTCAATCGTTTCGCAGGATGTCGAATTCGCCCTGGTATATTTATTCCTCCCACTCCTCATCTCCCAATAACTCTTCTTGTTTTCTTTTTTTCTCTCCCAAAAAATGACCCTATTCCGGGCACATGCAAGGCAAATCAAATCAATATCGACCTTATCCTTTATCAAAAACTCGCCAGGGCTGTGGCCACCCCCTTCGATTCGACGTTGGCAATCCGCGGGCCTGCCACGTCTTTTAGCTTGGCCCCTCTCTCTGCCCAGTCCCTCAGGCGATTGGGCTCTTCGGAGTCCCGGGTCTCTTAAAGCTTCTTTCAGGTTTATCCCCAAAACACCGTCCGCAGGGCCCCACGTCAGCGGGCAGGAAATAATTCGCAATAGTGGGATGGGCTTGCGATCGATCGAGGGCGCGTTTTCGCTGTTTTTGGTAATTGGATGACGAGTGGTGCTTCTTGAGGGAATGAGGCAGCGAATTTTTTAGGTAACGGCGTCTGACGGGAATTTTTCATTGATTCTGGGCCCTGCCCAGCCATGTTCTTTCATTTGGCTGTTGCGGGGGTTGGGTTGGATCTTCGGTTGGTCGGCGAGGCAACGAGTCCCGAGACACGAGCGCGGAACGTGGCGGGGGAAACTTTAATGTTGGGTTGGTATCACAAGGGAAGAGTGAGTGCGCGCAAACGGAAGAAGATCAGTCATAGAATAAAGGAGCGTGAAACGAATAGTAAATTTAAATTACATTTTTTGTCGCCGGGTTCAGTCTGGCGTACTTTTTCGGGTAACGATATTGTACGAAGTATGAAGCGAAACATCAGAAGGAACTCTGGAACTTCAATCCTGATCGTAGACAACGCTTTCTCACAGGCTCTTTCTCCTTGATCTTGAAGGAGAGCCTCCCCACTGCGATTATGTCAACAGCCATCAATTCAAATCGTTGGCAATGGACCGATTGATCCTGCGGCATGACCATGACGATGTGGAGATTGGAGATCGAGATCGAGGCCTGCATATTTCTGTAGAGGTCTTTGTTGCCATTTAGCAAATTGATCCATAGATTTGTTTGTTCGTCTCTCCATCATCCCGACTCGCCATTCTTGACCACGAAACCAATGTCCTCCTACGACCTTGGACCCTTGGCCGGTGGGAGATTCCACCAGTATGCAAATTCCATTGGCCAAGTCTATTACGTCGATAACATCACAAACACAACAAGCTACTCTATTCCAACGGGGTTTGACAACCGCCCAGGCGTGAGTCTTCATCTTTAAAGTGGGCCAATGCTCCCAATCGCTGGATCACTAACCACTTAGGCAGGATTCTTGGGCGCTTGACGAGTCAAAGTCTTGGCCGCAATGGTGAGGCGTTCAATACATCAGACAGGCGATACCAATTATACAACTAAGTAGGTCTCTGCGGCTTAGGAATAACAATCGAACCGGAAGGGCAGTTCTCATCGACCCCAACCCTCCTCCTCTGCAAACATACCTCGATGACGCCAACGTGCAGGCCGCTCTTAACCTCTTAGTTAAAGTGCCAGACTCACCTGAACGCGTTTACCGACGGCCTATGGTAGGCATCCTTCACTTCCTCTTCCCACCGACGGAAGGATACGAGGTCGTCCAAGAGATTCGGGGCCGCCCGGGCTTCTGTATACTCAAGCTTTCCCCAACACCTGGAGGAGCTTTGCATGAGTTCGATTTCTTGTTGGCCGAAAGTATGAAATTAAACGAGCCGTGGGGCGCTACGGAAGATCAGCTTCGCGAGCGTCTGGCTGAGAATATGAACGAGACCAAGAACTGCTACGGAATGATTCATATTGGTTTGGTGGTGCAGTTCTATAAATATGAGCAGGGAGTGCTTGAGAAGATTGGGCAGAAGATGCATCTTATCACAGATGTTCACGATGTCATCCGCTGGGCCCAGTACCTCAAGGAGCACCCGATGCCGGTCGTATAAGTTGGTAGATCACTTTTCAGCGGCGGGGGGAACGAAATACAACATGAAATCATTCATGAGTTTCACTCTGATGGTTTAGATTGCCGCGATTTTTCAATGTAAAGGTGAGAGATTGATAATCCATGCCAGTAGTACCAGATATCCGAAGCACCAACGGTCTAATCATTGATAATATGTTATCCCGCGGAAGGAATCACCAAACCAAATTTCCCATCTCGGAGGCGGCGCCAGCTTCTTCTTCGGATGACCATCCTTTATTAATATATCCTTGCCGTCGCATCTCCAAGTGAAACTCGATCCGATACCAAGGACACAGCCAACCCTAGCTCTCTCGATCGGTCCCGACGACAGATGGTCAAAGATCGTATCGCGAACTTCCGTTGGGAGTTTGTCCAAATGTGTTTTCGCAGAAGCGTCGGTGTGCGTCGCTTCAAGAAGCAGTTCAATGGCCTCTTCGGAAGGAGGGTGTTCGCCGTCGAAGAGACGTCTGGGTTTTGTGTATTTTTCGGAACCGCGTCTAACCTGACATAAAACAATCTCCCGCAACGAGAGAATGAGGTAAATGACAGTTTTGTTAGGTCTTCTGAAAGAAGAAGGAGAAGAAGAGCCCGCGTGGTGTTCTCTATAATCGGACTTAATCATGTCCATAGCGTGTGGGATGTGCTGGCACATCACAATGGACGTCCCTCCAACCCGAACAATATGCCCGGGGAGCGGATCCCACCCCGGAAGATCATATATGGAGACTGGGTAACCCCTCGTGCCTGGAAGAACTCCTTCGTGAACGTGAAAGTCCAAAACAGCAATTCTGACAACTGCACATGCAAGCCTTCGAAACGTAGAGCTATTGAAACGGCTGCAGAGGATATGTCTCCATTGATGCGCAAAGTCGGAGAGTATTCGGGAAACCAAGGCCCTCCGCCTCTCCAGGGCTGATCCACGGATTTTAACCTTCAAATAGGGTGGTGGGAAGAGGGATTGTGAGTCGTGCTTGGGCGGTCTCGGGCTCGTAGTCCTCGAAATCGCTCCTGGTGATCGGACGCTGGCGAATGACGCTGAGAGGAATACTCAAGTTGACGTCCTTGGTGTCATACCGTAGAACATCGCTATCAAGGTCAAAGGTCCGTCCAGATAGCTTCGATGTCATCACGCCCACGACGATCGTCGAAAGGGTTGACTGCATCATACTGCTGAAACCAGCAATCGCCAATGTGTTCATATATGGCGTCAAAAGTGCAATCTGCGTTAGTTAGTACTCTGTCATGCAGGTTTCTTTCGACAGGAGGGGGGATACTACCGACCTCTTGCTACGCCTACAAGTTTTCGTGAACATTGACGTGCCATATCATTCACGTCTATGGGAATGGGATCACATTGGGCAGAAATGTAGACGGTCCCTAGACTGCTTGGTGAGTCTCCAACGTTTCTCAGCATTTAGAAACAACAGACAACTTACCCTGCAGATTAATTCTGATGGACGAACTCATGGCAACATTAAAAACCTTCCAAAGTGTTTGATCGATTTCAAGTGCGAGAAGTAGCGTCGAGAATGGGATGTGATTCGGTTGTTGTTGTTCGGGATGGTTCTATTACGTTGGGAATTCCCAGATCAATCGATATTTGACCCTGAGTAGTTGGGTCTACAAAACATTGAACAATTGTATGCGAGATCTGGCCAACCAAAGATGGATCTGGAGGACACTGCATTACTACAGAGGTGCATTAGCAAAGCCATAACGCAGCATAGGAAAGGGTAGGCAATAATAGACGCGAAAATACACAGGTACTCTATTTGGTATAACTACCCGGGTGCTCTATGTCTGAAGCCTGATCGCCCAAACCCGCCAGCTTTCGCTCGGCACTCTGCCATCCAAGACCCCTACGCCTTGAGATAAATAGAAACATTGTCCTCCCTCAATTTGCCTTGAACTCTAGCCACCATTTACCTCACAGCAGCGACTCACCCAACGCGCAGCGCACAATCGAGCTACCCGCCCTAACAGTCTCGGTTGGTCCAAGGGGCGTATCAGCCGCAAGCCTAGGGTTGACCTCCACGAGGTCGACGGCGACGAGATTGCCGGTTTCGTGGAGGGCTTCGCAGATGTAGTCGCCCTCGCGGATGGTGAGACCACCTCGGACGGGAGTGCCGGTGGACGGAGCCCACATGGGGTCGAGGGCGTCGACATCGAAGGAGAGGTGGATGGGAGTGTCGTTGCCAATGTGACCGAGGGCCATTTCGACGACTCTTCCAATGCCGTGTCTAAGATCAATTGATGATTCTGTTAGTCGGCGGGTCGGCGGGTCATCGGCCAGAAATTGTAGAGAGAAAACTTACCGATCAATGTCAAACATGCTGAAAGCCTTGATGCCATTCTCCCTCAGGATCCTCTTCTCCGCCGCATCCACATCCCGAAGGCCAATGTACACCAACTTCCTAATGCTCAGCAAATTATCCTCCTTCAACCATCCAAAACACTCCGGCCTCTCCTCCTTCGCCAACCCCGTAACAAAAGCCACAGGCATCCCATGTATATTTCCGCTCCCGCTCGTCTCGGGCGTGTTGATATCCGCATGCGCATCGACCCATATCACGGCAATCTCCCTCCCCATCCTCTCCCGAATAGCTTTGGCCGTCCCCGCTATCGTACCGATGGCGATGCTGTGGTCTCCGCCCAGCGTCAGGACCATGCGGCCCTCGCGCGCGTGTGAATACACCTGGTCGGCGATCTTGGCCGTCACGGCCGACACGCTGCGTGGGTTCTTCATGTTGCGGATGGGAGGGTCTTCGGCGGGTACGATGTCGGAGTAGGAGTGCACCTGGACCTCCTCATCGCCGTGGATCTTGTACCCTAGGTCTTGGCTTAGTTGCGAAATAAGGCCGGATTCGATGAGGGCGACGGGCCCGTCGTCTACGCCTGCTTTACCCTATTCGGAAGGGAAGTAAATTTGGTAAGCCGAGCCATTTTGATTCAAGAGCTGAAGGGGAAACAGCTTACCTGTCCGCCGGAAAATCCGACGGCCACGACCCCGAGGTCATGGGGGTTCGACAAGAACCTCGACTTCACCATTGACGTGCACATGTCTACGTGCATTAAGGCGGCGGTGTATAAGTGGGATGAGAAGGAGCTAGGGCAGGGGGGGAGCCTGGGGATTTGGGCAAAGATTCAAGGGAAGAGAGAAAAGGAGGAAGAAAGAAAATATATATAATTAAAAAATTGTAAGCACTTGAAGCAGAGGAGAAATTTGTCCTCTAAATAAAGTTTAACTACGAAACTGGCGAAGTGGCTGGCGGCGGCAGATACTAAACCGAAGACTGAAGCTAAGGAGCAAGTGGCGACTGCTTATTGTATCTTTATAATTGCATGCAAGGCTTAGTAGGTCCGATGATGATACCAGTGGATACTCGAGGAAAGAACGAAACACTAGCTAGGCAAGGTCTTATCTTTATAACTTCGCCCGGTGCTACTGATCGATAAATGGGGTCTGGGGTCTAGTCCCCCCTTCCTTCTCTCGTGGGCTTGCCTCGTGAACTATCTTGACACACCTTGTGGCTCCCACGTTTGGCACAGTTCGGCTGTACTTGGCATGGCTTCAATCGGCTTCGGGGTCTTCTACTTTAGAGGCAGGAGCTGAATCCGAAAATACCCGCTAATGTCACAGAACAGGGAACAGGCAGAGAAGGCACGGTGTGAGCAACGAGGACTGAGACTCGAAGGGTACCAAGGAAACGAGGTATCGAATTGTCCCGACGCAGGTGCGACTGGCGACGAATGGTGACGATTGGAATGCGCCTTCTGTTCCAGAAGCATTCTCAAACCGGGAATTTGCCCCGCGCTTATCTGAGATATGGGAAGGGGAAAGTGCCACTGGTACCCATCGATGATGCAACAAGTCTACCCCGCGATTGTAAACGACGAAGTATTGTGGAACCTTCTCTTCGAGATAACTCTCCGACTACGGAGGAGACAAGGGATGTCCCTAGACTCCCTACTTCCTCCTTGATCCTTGAATTTCGAGGAAGTGGTCAGCTGCTCACCCAGAAAGTAAACTATCTCTCCAGGCTCGCGCTCTTCCTTGTGGCGGGTCATGGGTATCATCGGGATATCCATTCGGCGCTGACCGCTACCTCCGATCCGCAAATCCCCCAAAGGTTCTTCCTTGCTGTGCCCCACGCCGCGGAGCGACTATGCCAGATTAGACGTGCATCCCTCTGAGCCATGACGGGATTGCGCAGGGTCAAAGAGTCCAGCCTACGGATGATCCGGCATCTTTCGGGGGCGGTGTTTGTGGGCCTTCGCCTGCCCAGCACCGCTTATCTTTCCCCGTCACCCCGATATCTCTCGGGGGAAGGTCGACAATTATGAAGGAGATTCTCTCCCCCGATAACTACGGAGGTCCGGCCCTTGCATCTTCTCTCATGTGAGAAAATTTACATGTCCGCGGATTATCTATCTTCATCCAATCGATGGAAAAGTACACTGGGGCTCTGGGAGGTAGTATTCCCCACGTAACGTACGCGACCAAGCCCCTCTTCACATTCAATGCAGAAAAAAGCCTCTCTATTGAGCTTTACCTCTAAAGGCATCTCGAGCCTCCAGCTTTCCCCCTAACGGCATCTCGCCCGAGCACTTTTCTAATAGCTCAACTTGACGGGCCAACAAAGAAAGGAGAAGAAGAAAATTTCATTTCACTGTAGCCTCGACGCTGCCAGCGACCGACACCGCAACTAAGATCGGCCCATCAATACCCGGAAGGATTGTTTGATCAAGGATTGTTTGATTTCGACCGAAACCCAGCCGTGAACGCCAAGGTAAGCTCGTTATACATGTAGATCTGGTTGGTGCACCGAGACTTGGCCCCTTCTGCCCGCCTTGTGAGGCCCTCAACCTCGTCCGAAGTTTCCGGAGCACAATGCACTCCATCTTCTCTCACTTCTTGTTGTTGCATGCGATGTGCTTAATAAAGGCTGTCCATTTCAACATCGCAGGCGGTGATCCTAGCGCGAGCGAGATGTACCGTTCTGTTTTGTTTCTCTATGCCCTGCTGATCTGCCCTTTGATGGGCTGGATGCTTCTTGTCTTGAGAGGCGGAAGCCCAAAAGCATTCAGATCTCACCACCACCGACTGTTCCAAATCAATGGCAAAGACAGCGAATATGGATATTCTATTTACTTGTGTCCTGCGCATCGCCAATATCAATGCGCAATTCCACCACCGGGCCCTTCGTGACACCAAGAAGAAATTCAATCAGACCTGGCAGGAAAAAGCGTGTGAATTAATCCCATCATGCATCAGATCCTCACAGCACTTTAGGCGAGACGAGTGGCCCGCACCACTTGATAGATATCAATTGACATTTCCCGGGGTAGACTTACCGGCTTTCCGACTTTTATTTTTCTAATATAACGATTCCACCGGGTTCGTAAGTTCCGTTATTTGTGCCAACCATCCACGTGCGGACCTGCTTGCAGAACATATAGTAGTTCAATTAGTTGTTAAACGAGCTCCAAGCCTTGGAACGGGCTTGGGTGCTTGGGTGTAAAGACTCTGGGAACGCTGGAGGGCTGGATATATATGGATGATGCTGGACGCAATCTTTTGGAAGTAGAGAGGCCTCTTATTCTGTCCAGGAGATAAATTCTATTGACGTTCTTGTCCATAATTTGTAATTCGTGGTCGGCGATCCAGTCTCAAAGAATGAAGTTCAGCATCGCTGTCGCCGCCTTTGCGGCTACCCAGCTCGACTTGGCTGCTGCCCACTCTTACATCTACGGAGTGTTCCTCAACGGTGTTGACCAGGGCTCATTCAACGGTATCCGGATACCCGCTTTCAACGGGCCTCCTCCAAGGGGCTACGCCAACTCACCCGTCAAGGACGTCACTAGTCCCGATATACGATGCAACGTCCTCGGCGACCGCGCTGTTCCTTACACTATTGACGTTGTTCCCGGTGACACTCTGACACTGGACTGGTAGGAAACCCTTCTAAAATATCCAACTTGGGCCTGGAATGAACAAACTAACACGCCATTCAAGGCACCACGACGAGCGAACCCAGAAGGACGATGTTATAGACAAGTCCCACCACGGCCCTGCGCTGGCCTACCTCTCCCCCGACCCGCCCACCGAGAACTCCTTCGTCAAGATTTGGCACAAGGGCAAGTACGAGCAAGCTTCCGAGCCTCTTGGTGAGGGCAAGTGGGCCATCACCTCCGAGATCAAGCCAAGGCATGGATTGATGAATGTCAGGATCCCTGCTGATCTCAAGCCTGGACCGTAAGTTCATAAGCGCAACCTATTTCTCCCACATTTTAGACAAGGCCATCGAAATCAAACCATATGACGTTCGTCGCTAATCGCAACAAAGGTATCTGCTCCGCGCCGAGATGATCGCCCTGCACGAGGCCGACGCCAAGTTCAACGAGAACCCCATCCGCGGCGCCCAGTTCTACCCCAACTGCGTCCAGCTCATGGTCGGCGGAAACGGTACCGTCGAGCTCCCCCAGGGCGTCTCCTTCCCCGGAGCTTATAGCTTCGACGACCCCGGGGTGCATCACGATGTCAGTTCTTTTTCGTCAATCCATTTTCTTCGCCTTTATTTTTCCACATTTTTGAATGTAGTTCTAATCGGGAGAAAATAAATAGGTCTACTGCTCCACCAAGACGACCACCACCGTCCCCTGCACAACGGAGTACATCATCCCCGGCCCCACCGTCTGGTCCGGCGCCTGGCCCGAGACCACCGACGTCGAGGTCGGTCCCACGACCGGTGCCACCCGCATCACGGCGTGGTCTTCCTGGGTTCAGAACGGAGTCGTGACCTCGGGGGTGTACGATGGCGCTAGTGTTAAGATTGAAGGGTCGGCGAGCTATGTACCGAGTTGGCCGACGACTTACGAGGCTCCGCAACCCACCAGTTGAGATGGGTGAACGAGTGGCAGGCGGATGACCCTACCAGGCGATGCGCCTCCAAGGATACCATTCTGACTCACGGAAGAGCCACGGTGGGCTCAGCATTTTTTTCCCAACAAATACAAATATTAAATAGAATAGTATCAAAGAAGTTCAAGACTTAGCCCCGTTTCCACAGACGATATGTAACGCTCCCTGTATCTCCCTCACTTGAACTTCTCCATCTCCGAACTCTCCCCTTCCTCCCGGGGAAACTGGCATTTCAATGCTTTATCAAGTATTGCGTAAACCTCTTCTCGCCACTTCGTCCAAGTTGCCTGCGTCTCGAGCGACTTTGGCAGTGCCACGGTGGTGTATTTGACGCCTTCTCGATCCAATTCCAATTCGTCATCTCCGGTAATTGAATAACCCCCCACCGGCCCTTCTTCTAACATGAACGGATTTTTCTCTTCTGGGTTCACGCCAATGAGAGTATCGGCGGTGTCAAATGCTAGGAGGTAGCTTTTTAACCTCTCCTCCGCCGAAAACGGGATGAGTCCGTCGATGGTATCCCTGAGCTGTTCTCGGCTGGCCCCCAATACCCTCTTAGTCCGACCCAAGGTCTGGAAAAAGGCTCTTCTGGCATCTTCGACAGACACACATTCCTGAACGTGCCTGATGACTTGTGGAAGAGTTTCCGGCGAGAAGCACTTGCGCATCACTAGAGCTCCGACCGAGATTAGGTCTGTGATAATAGAGAAATCACAAGCTAGGTAGATTGCAAAGCGCAATGGTAAATGGGGTTCTCCATTTTCCATTTTACCGTATATGTCAACTCTTTTGCAGAACTTGGAAATGAACTCGTTGAGAATTTTTGATTCTGAGCTGAAGTAGGCGTAACGGTACCGGCGGTGAGTAGGAAACGCTCTCGCGGAACGAACATATAGATCGACGTTTGGAGCAAGGCAATTATGTTCTTTCATATACCGAATGATATCCGGGTCGAATGTGAGTAGCGCAGGCATAGTCCACTGCGGGTCAGGTCTTCCTCGGTAGACTGAGAGGACACACTTCACTCCTTCGGGAAACCGAAAACTAATGGCACGCAGCAGGAGCTCGTGGAGGTGGGAGTCCTGATTCATGGACTTTGGTATGTTTGAGAGAACACGGCAAACTTCAAGATCCCTATTTTCAATGGCATCTCCTAGAATCTCTTTGAGGCCGGCTAGAACTTCACCTCGTGTAAGCTCAACGATGGCATCAAAGAGACCTCTGTGCTTTCGTTGAAGGGACGTCCAGAAGAGAACAAAGGGCCCGGCCAGTTCCTTTAAAGGTCCAAGGTATTGAAGTAAAGTCTTGATGAACGTGTCCGGAGGCCCAGAATAGGATTTGCCGACAGGCTGTGGGTGGATTCCAAGTTGTTTGAGTGTTTCTACCAAGAATGCTTCATCTTGGCGATATACTGCAGCCTGGACCAGCTCACCAACATACTGGGCGTAGCCCTCCGATCCTTTGGGAGCAATAGAGTCTAAAGCAGAAAGGGAACATAGCGCTGTTGGCGAAGCCCAACACACCACGGACAACAGTGATATCGGAATTCCACCATGCTTATGTCTCGGGGCTTCGAAGCTCGGGGCGCGACCGGAAAGCTTCGAAGCACGCGTTGCAAGATCCCAGAGATCAAAGAGGTCTTCTTCGGAGATCGAGTCCGTGGTTTCCTCGCTGAGACGCTGGATATCTGCGTTAGCCTCTGGTTCGGAAAACTGTCTTCCCTCTTCTTGAAGAAGATGGAGGTACTGAAATAAGGCGCCTCCGCGCAACATCCGAACATCGAAGCTCGATGACGGAAATTTTGATTTGAACAGCCGTATTTGCCACAGCAAAAGGTTGAAGACTCGGGCATCTATGGCATGTTAGGAATATGAGGCGCTTTTTCCGGAGACATAACAAACCTTCAAAGTTGAAGAAAAACAGCGTTTCCATGTCTCCTCTATCACCCTGAGTCGGGGTTGGAACGAAAGTGATAGAATATAGCTCGTTTTGACTAGAGCTCATAGACAAATCGAACGGAACTATGACCTCGTTAGCGAGGAGCTTACATACAGAGAAATTGAACGACGTGCCTTTCCATTTGAGAGCATCGTGTCGGAGCACCTCTTGGCCCTCACAGGTCTGGGCAATGATGTTAAGTGCCCGGTCATCGGCATTTGCTTCCAGGATTATAATGCACTCGATCTCCAAACAAGTTGACCGGGAAAGATAAATCCCAAATCTAGATAACATGTGGTTAGATCCCGTCTTTCAAGGCATTCAAGTTCCTGTAATACCTTTGATATAAAATTTCGCCCGACTCGGTCTTCCACAGAGACTGTTGTTTCGCTTGCATCGGATGCAGACTTGGCATGAGAGATGTCGTCGATATCGGATTCCAAATACTCAAATTGGCCTTTATGATTTGCTGCGGTTGAGGTTTGCCTGGAAGATGACGTTCGACCTTCTCGTGTTCTGCCTTAATTGCCTGCATGCAAAGAAGCCGTTGGCAAGAGAACCAGAGCAAATAGAGTTGAGAAACACCTGCACCCAGGGGTATACATACATTGCTGAGATGCTGGATTTCAACTTGTTGCGAACCATTTGAGACGAGGATCATCTGTGGATGGGCAGCGATGATGTCCGTCAGTATCCAGGAAGCCTTGAGAAGGTCAGCATAAGCCTGGTAGCTTTCTGGTGTCCCAGGCTTTGCCGAATATAGTCGTGCCTGTGCCTGATATAAAAGCGTCAGATGCCGGGTATTATCGAGGAACTTCTTGCTGGAAGACGGTTCTCACTTTCATCAACCACCATTTACCAGCCTGAATCCAGTCATCGATGCCGATTGAAGACCAAGCCCGACCGTTGACTTCGGCCTTTGCCATCATACCTCTCGTCAGCTCGTATTGGAACTGTTGGTCGAACGGCCCGTCGATGAGGGGAGCATTGATTCTTTGAGATGCCCCGAAGATGGATGCTTTGATTTCTTCAACGCAGCTTAAGAGCTTTTCGTTTTGTGACTTGATTCTCTCGAGCGACGAACTAGATACCTCGGCATTAGATTTGATCTTTGCACTCTCCGATTCACAAACTGACTTGTTTCCTGCGATTAAGACGAGGGTGAGGAGACCGTTCTGATAAGAGAGCTATATCCCAAGTCAGCCAAGACCAGGCATCCGTTAGCCTAAGATCCACTGCACCTTCGCTCGGAGGTCATTAATCGTGCGAACTTCCTTCGTGTATTTAATTTTGTCCCAATTTCGTCTGATTAGTGTTGACAACCTGCCACCGCCATTGCCAGGCGACCGGAGCAAGTCGTACTTTTTTAACAGATTTTGCAGACTGCCAAGGGTCTCCATTGTTCTTTGCATAATGTCGTTGGTGAGCTGGATGCGATCCGACCCTGCTTGAGCTATCGCAGAGTTCGGTTCCTTGACATCCTCAACAAGCGCTCTGATAACATTCGACATGTTGGAGAGCTCGTTGTGGAGCGCCTGCACTTCCGCGGGAGCGCCTTTTGACACTTCGTACACTTGGCGGTAAATCTTCCAACATAGCTCTCCGGCGGCGATGAAATCGCCTATGGCAAAGCCAAAGGACATGCTGAAGACGCGTCGTTTGGAATCCCGAACGAAGCTACTGCGGTTGGTTGGGCTGATGCGCAAGAGGCGATTTCCAGCCTTGGCAAAGGTGGTTCTTGTAATGAGAGCAGGGAAGTACGAAGGATCACTGCTGAACTGTTAATTTAATCATGGTAATCTCGGAGCGCTGTGAATTCTGTGAATTCTGTGTCGAAAGACTGACTGAAGATTCAAGGGGAAAACTTAGGACGCGGCGAGACGAGCTGAGCCACGAACCGTCGACTGACTCTCAAAGCTCTTGCTACCTAATTCTGCATCATCGGGGCTGAGGCGAACCTCAGCTTTAATTGGCGAATGAATCTTTCGCTTCCAGCCCTGCCACGATCACGGATGGCGGGAACGCCCAACAACTCCTGCAGCAATTGACATCACAGCCACAGACCTGCCTGCAACATCCTGAGGCTTATTGCAAGGCTCCATCCCGTCATGCAAGGAGTAACCAACGGCGATCAAAAGGTTTAGATAGTTTTGAACTCGGTGACAAAAACTTCCGTATAGTAAACTAACCGTGAAACGAAAAAATAACATTGAACAAAACAGTCATCCTGTGAACTGAAGAAATGTATTGTTATGGGAGACGCCGTGATAAATTAGACTGTAGGCGACGATGTACAAGGCTGCAGATTAATAAGACAAAACCGAAAATATGAAATCTAAAAACAAAAAGAAAATAGCTTCTCTCCACCCTACAACTTCGTATCCCTCCTCTTCCTCTCATAAAGCTTAACCTCATGCCCCTTCACCTGCCCATCCCTCAAAATCCTCCTCAAAATCTTGCCACTCGGCGACTTGGGAATGGCATCAACAAAGACAAGACCGCCCTGGAGCCACTTATACTTTGTCGTACGACCCTCCACAAGCTTAGCAAGCTGCGTCGCGAGGTCCCTTAGTTCGTTCTCATCCTTCCCTTGCTTGCGCGGCACGACGAAGGCGCGGGGCCACTCCGTCGCCTCCGACTGGTCGTAGACGCCCACGACTCCCGCGTCGGCGACGTCGTCGCTGCTGCAGAGGATGGCCTCAAGCTCGGCGGGTGCCACCTGGAAGGCGCGGACCTTGATCATCTCCTTGAGACGATCAGTGATACGGAGCCTGCCCTCGGCGCAGAGGATGCCGACGTCGCCGGTGCGGAACCAGCCGTCCTTGGTGAGAGCCTCTAGGGAGATGGACATGTCAGGATGAGCGCCGGGATTAAGTCCACCAATGGGGAGGTAGGCCGTCAAGAGGCCGGGACATCGGATGAGGATCTCGCCCTCATCGCCGACGAAGCCAGGGCGCGTGGTATCGGAGTCGTACGTCTCGTCCTTGGCGGCGATCATCACCTGCACGCCCCAGTGGGGCTTCCCACTGTCTCCCGCATGCGCGTGCATCTCATCCTCGCCCACGCCGCGCTGCAGTGTCGTGCTGCAGGCCTCGGAAAGACCGTAGCCCAGTCTGACGCGGAAGCCGAGGCGTTTGTAGACTTCCACGACGACCTCGTGGCCGAGGGGAGCGCCGCCCGTGACGCCAGCGACGACGCTACCGAAGGCATCCTTGTACTTCTCGACGACGGCGGCCTTGGCGAGCATGACGGCCACGGGGGGCGCCATGTGGAAATATGTAATCTGGCGTTTGGGAACGGCCTGCAGCACCGTCTCGAGATGGAAGGACTGCATGACGTGGACGGTAGCGCCGATGCACATGGAGAGGAGAAGGATGTTGCAGAGTCCGAAGACGTGGTAGAAAGGTACGTAGCCGAGCCATTGCTGCTGCCGACCCTGGAAGTAATCGGCATCGTGCCAGATGGACCCGACAGAGAAGTTGAGGGCGTGGTGGGAGAGGAGAACGCCCTTGGAGCGGCCCGAGGTGCCCGAGGACCATAGGATTACTGCGGTGCGGTAGCGGGAGGTTTCGTCGGAGTAGTCAACGGGGCGGGCGAGGGGACTCGCGAGGGTGAGGAGGTCGGTCCAGTCGCGTTCAGATGACGAGGAAGAAGAAGCAGAAGACGATCGCAGGGGGTAGGTCTCGTTGGCGACCTCGACGGTGAAAATGGGAATGTCGGCAAAGTAGGCCTTGTCCTCCTGCTTCGCAACGGCCTCCTTCATGGCCTTGAGGCATGAATTGGCCGTGATGATGACCTTTGGCCTGGCATTCTGAAGGATCCACGAGATTTCGTCGCTTGTGAGCGCCGGGGATACGAGGGTCGCCGTGAGGCCGGAGGCGAAGGCGCCGAGGACGATGGCGGGGAACGAGAGACAGTTGGGTACTTGGACCAGAACGACGGGGGCCACTTCGGGACGGGGACAGGTGGGAGTTGGCGGGAGGACGTGGACGTCGTGGGGATCGAGGCCGAGAGATTGGAGGCTGCCGGCGATGGCGAGGGCATCTTTCTTGATCTGGCCGTGGGTGAGGGTTCGGCCTGGAAAATTGTTAGCGACCGAGTGCTGGTGCAGAAATTATAGAGAATTTGTCTCCTTGTTGCTTGACATCTTACCAGACTTGTGGTCCACGAAGATAGGCCGACTCGGCTCTATCGGGGCCAGCTTGTGAGCTGCGGGTACGTAGTCGCACTCTTCTTTGAAAGGGTCGCCCGAGATATACTCGAAGAGGTTGCTATGGGGAAAGTGCTTTGGAGCAAAGCCAGATATGGCAAGCTGGCTATTCCCCGCGGCAGCCATTGTAAAGGAATGGAGTTTTGTATGAGGTATGAGGGTATCACAAATCGGCCAATTGTCCTCCCGTCCAACTGTCGGAACCCGTGCTCTCTCCCAAAAGCTGCGACTACCCGACCGATATCAAGTCTAAGCAAGCTAGAGCTTTCGGGGCGTTGAAGTGGTTTGTGATAATGTCGCGAAGGCGTTCTATGCCGTCACGATCCCAGGGCTAATTAGCTGGATTTTAACCCTCGTTGGGCAAGGAGATCTTCTCTCAATTGGAACACTTGTCAGTTTTAGACTTGGACTAGGGGCTTCGAGATCGGAGGACGGAAGTAAATCTTAGGGATCTGCGAGAAATAATAACTATAAAAAAGAACTCCCTCAACAAACGCCTCGATTGGTAAATGGGAAATATAACCAACCATGGAATTCCCAGCTTATCCGTATGCAATGCCTTCTGCCGCCATCGCTTCGGCGCCAACAGGGATAGAGCTCTGCCCCCCTTCTCCACTCAAAGGGAGAGAGCAATGATTCGGCAGTTGCATTTTCCCCAGACAGGCTCGCCCCCCACCTTTTTGCCTGCCATCCGCGACCTCGGCGAGTTGAAATGTTGGGGTAAGCGTCGAGGGCATCAGTTGGACGAAGAAGTGCTATAACCACGCAGAAGCGGGCTGATAGTGGAGTCTGTAGGAGACGTGGCGGCGCCCTGGTGTCAAAGAGGCGGCAGGGGATGGGGGCCTCATGGACAGAATCATTGGCAGGATCAACTCCCGGGGAGATAGGACATGCGAGAAACCCCCCCCCCCCCCCCCCCCCCCCCAAAAATGGGGCCGAGCTCCAGTTCGGACGACAGATGGAGCCTTTCCTGATGGGGAACGCCTGAGAGGCCCGTGGATTGACGGCAAATGGGGGGCGACCAGCCATTTTCACCAGTAGCTTGAGAGCTCCCGAAATTCCGTCGAAGTCCTGGAGATTTCATTTGGTTCCATCGTTCCTGCAGTGGCAATTTGGTTCGGGAGTTGGGGGAGCCAATGACAGATCGTGACAGTCTATAGTCACGTGAACCAACTCCGGATAGAGCCGACGGCAGCTGTCAAAGAGCTTCAAGGACGCAAAAGTACCATTTGTAATTCACCATTCTGCATCCCGAAGACTCTGACCGACCCGAGGCTTCGGCCAGAAGCTGCTCGCTCCTTCCTAGGCAAGTTTGTATACAGTTCACCACCTTGACAACTTCACATTTTGGCCCTTGTTTCCTTGGAAGACAGAGGCAAATGCAGATGCAATTCATTCATGGGAGTATCTCAATGGTATTTTATGTGTGAAAAAAAATCTCATAATTTTCATAAAAATTCGGACGACATGCCAGATGCAAAACAACTCCTTCAATCGAGCTACAGCTTGAACTCGACAGATGCTGGGTATCCAACTTTTTATCAAACAGATCTCTCTCTCTCTCCTTTCTATCCAGCCCCTTGGAGGCTGTCATCACCATCGCAATGTCTCTGCATGACGGCATTCAATGTCAATGCCGCATCTACCAGCCATCCTCACTGAGACAACTGACCCAGAGCCCTCAGTGAATCTCAAATTCATTGCTCAGCCTGCTCCTCTCCGTCCTTCGCCTTTCGCCTGCGAAGGCCAACCATCTGCACCATCTCCGTCCAAAAGGTGACCGGCGGCGTCTTGATACTCGCCTCGTACGCGTCGATAATGGGACGCTGGTACACAAGATCCGCGTCCTCGGGCTTAACGAACTTGGTACGCTTAATGACCTTCCAGCCAATGTAAAGCACCGGCGCGAGGATCACCATTGTATAGTTGGAGAAGAACGTCTCGACGTCCGGCGGCTGGAAGCTGCTGTACCCGTAGCACAGCGTGACGACGATCTCGGCCACGAGCGCGATCCACGCCGAGTACGGCTGGAACCAACCGGTATAGGGGAAAGTCTTGCGGTCGACGCCCTGGGCCTTGCAGGCACGGTAGAAGAAAATGTAGGTGACGCACATGACGATATAGTCGATGAGGCCACCCGCCGTGATGAGGCTGACTAGCCAGGTGAGGACCTGTGACGAGCTGTTGGACACCTGAAGGAATGAGAGGAGCGGGAACATCATGACGACGCAGTAGCAGTAGATGGGCACGCCGGACTTGGTGCACTTGGTCAGGATTCTCGGCGCGCGGCCCTCGAGCGCCAGGCTGTAGAGAGATCGGATGGCGCAGTACGTGTACGTGTTCCCGGCCGAGAAGATGGACGTGAAAATGAGCGCGTTGGTGATGTGCGGGAGTACTTTAATGTTCATGTTCTTCATGGCAATGACGTATGGGGAGGCTGCGGCTGTTCCCCCGCCTTCAACAGTGCCGTCGAGGATCCCCATGAGCGTCGGGTCGTTGTACGGAACGACGATGCCGACGCACAAGGCACCGAGGATGAAGAAGATGCCGAAACGCCAGTACACCGTCTTGAACGCCTGCTTGATGTAGACGCGAGGTCGCTTCGCTTCAGCCGCCACCATGGAGATGTACTCGGGACCGACGATGGCGAAACAACCCGTCCACAGAGCCCCGAGGAAGCCTTCCCAGCGGCCCGTGGCGCCGGTCGAGTGGTGCTCGGCGAACGCGCCTGGGTCGCGCCAGTATCGGAAGCCGTAGGCGTCGTGTTGCGGGTTGCCTCCGACCATAGTGACGAAGGTGAAGGCGAAGAGCATGAATATGAGGATAACTTTTCCTCCCGAGAGCCAGAACTCTGCCTCGCCGTAGCCGCGGACGGCAACTACGTTCAGTAAACTAATGAGGAAATATGCCCAGGTGTGTCGGGCCGACGCTTAGCACAAGACTTATTCACGGGGGAGAAATAAGGTAGGGACGGATCTTCTATGAAGTCCAGGACTTGGTGATCTTTGGTCCTTCCGGGCCCGACCTTTTTGAGGCCACAACGGTGAGGAGCTTCTCTTTTCCAATCACATCACGGCGCAATGCTACGGAACGAAAGAAAAGGAGACCGGGAATAGGAAGGCCAGCCGGAAGCAGGAGGGGGATTTCGCGTCTCCTACCCCTTTCTCCTTTCCTACCTTTCACCTGGAGCCGAATGGATCGTGGAAGGGGGGTATTTCACTAGCAGTTGGTCCTTACCCATAAGCAACAATACACGCAGCACAAACACCAGCCGTAGGTCCGGGATTCGTCATATTCTCATTCCAAAACGACAAGACCAGGTTTAGCGCGGTAATCTCGAACGGAATGAGCAAAGCCTCGTAGAAGAAGAAATTCCACCCGGCCATGAACCCGAGGGCGTCGTCGACCCAAAGCCCCGCGAGGCGGATGAAGCCGCCGCTGACGGGCATGAGGGTGGTCATCTCGGTGATGCAGTTGTTGACGAGGGCGAGCACGCAGCTGTACAGCGCGTAGGAGATGAGCAAGCTTCCGGGGCCGCCCTTGGCGAGGCCGCCGCCGATGCTGATGAACATGGCCGTGCCGATGGAGCCTCCGATGGCGATGAGCTGGATGTGGCGGTTGTTGAGGCGGCGGTGGAGGGCGTCCGCGTTGTCGGAGTAGTGGCTGGTGTCGTATCCGTCGGAGCTTGCGAGGCTCGGGGCGCCGTCGGCGGGCGGGGGAGGGCCGACTTTCTCGTTTATCGAGGCCATGATCACGGTGTGTCACACAGGAGGAGCCTTGTTCAGTTACACAAGGAGAAGAGAACCATAAAGAGGAGAAGACGAGAATGGAAAGAAAGGAAATGCCGAGGATGAGAGGTCACAGGAAGGGATCGGCAGTCGGGATGGAGACGAAAAGGTTGGATCTACCCATCTCCCTCGGACAAAAGAGGGTCCGGGGCAGTCGAGTCTATATAAACATCCAGAAGAAACGCTTAAGTGGGAGAGACAAAGGCGACCCGCTCTCCAGCGGGAGAGGAATGGGACCATGCGATGGGGAACAGCAAGCCGGGGACGCGAGAGCGCTGCTTACCCCGTACGACTTACACTCTAGGTTCTGTGGCACTTGTGTGAGGTCTCACCTTGTTTGCAGACAAGAGAAAGAGGATGGGCCATAGTGTCGCCGTCAGACACCGGCGTCCCCACGCAAAGTGCCAAGCCCTACGCACTGCGACCTTCTGGGTAACGAATGGGGCGAATAATATGCAAGATTGCAAGAGAGGACCCTGAACCATGCTCCATGAACTTTTAGTCGCCGGCGCATTTTCCCCTTCTTCACCATCTTCAAGTTGTCAGCTGGGTTTAAGACGGGCAAGAGGTAATGTAAGTCTCTTGCGTCGGCCAAGACGCAGTAATTCCTTGGGAATCCTGCTTGCGCTGGGGCTAAACCGGATCGGGTTTAGCGAGGAGCCGATTGCTTCAAACGTCAAGATTGGGGATCTCTCGATTCTTGGAAATCCCACAATGTGTGGTACTTCGTACTTCATACATAGTGCACTGCGAAGTAATAATACAGGCGGAAAGAAAGCAAGGAGGTGCCAAGACGCAAACGCGGCGTGGGCGCGAAGGCCAAGAGCCGAACACCCTGTGAGCCCCAATCGGAGAGCCGGAGCTGCGCCGCGGTCTAGAACTCGGAGGCATCAATGGAGCAGCCCCGTCGTCTAACCTACGTCATAGTGCAGAAATGCGAGATGGAACCAGGGGCGGGGCTTTTGGATCCTTTTTTCGTTAATCTGTGTCTCTGGTTGGTCCTTGGGATCTCTTGGAATTGCTCTGGGGAGAAGGCCATTCTCCACAAGGACCCGGCTCGGCATGCAGAAGACAGGAAAAACAGGGTTGGCCAAGGAAGTAATGCAGCGAAGGACACTCTTATTTTCTCGATGGAGCCCACATCCTCCTTTGCATGAAGGATTCAGAAGAAGAAGAAGGGGTGGTGAGAGGAGAAAATGTGCGGCGGGCATGGCTGTCCAGGCCAATTTGTCTTTGGCCTCCCAGAGCCTTTATAACAGGATCGATCGACTGTCTAAACCGCTCGACTGGAGAGCACGCGAGATGATGCCTCGTCTGTCTATCTGGGCTCTTTTCACCTCGGCCTTTTCTTGCTCTCATCATCTTAAGACAAACCGACTCTTTTTTTACTTTTTCCACCCCGCTTTCCCTCTCTTCCCCCGATTTCCTACTGGCACCACGAGTAAGTATAAGTGCGCACTAGCTTCACCTTCCTCTCCCAGCATCGCGTGGGATTCCCAGTTTATGGTGGGGTCGCGGTCGATCCTGGGCAATCTACGTCGTAGAACCAAACCAGCACATTCAAGCTGGCCTTCCCTTTGATTGGATTGCCTTGAACGGGCGCATTTTGAGGTCCAGCTCTCTTTCGAACACATCTACCTCGTCCATGTACTCGCGCGGAATGTCGCGCATCAAGAGATGAACCAAGCCAGTGGTTGCGTCAGAGTGGGATGGAACTCGAGGCAGAAACGATCGCCTTCCCAAGTTTGCAACTTACACCGCGGAGTAGTACTTCAGAATACAACACAACAGTGAAAGTGAGCCGATCAATGTTGCCCATCTGGTACTAGGATCCTAGGAACCAGCAAAGTAATGGTCTTGGCCTTCTTGGCGCAGTCTCCGATGAAGCTGAAGGGCCGTTTGTATTTTTAGGAGCCCGCAGGAAAGTACCTCCCCGTTTACGAGGCACCAGGAAGTAGTGAAGAACTGGTCTCCGCAAAGATTACCGGATTTCATGGGAATTTCTTTCCCTCTTCCTTTCCGCTCTGCCAAGAGTTTGGTGCCCGTCGAGGAGATGTTTTCTAATCAGTGTCGTTCGGTTTGGACGTGGGATATCCTCATCAAGAATGGAGAGCGTCACGGTTGGTTATCTATACGAAGTACAGTTGGTAGGGTCATTGTCCTTTTTTCTTTCTATTTTTTCTCTCTTTTATTTTCTTTGGCAGGGTCTACTGTAACGGAATGGTGCTCATGGCGAATGGTGCCGGCCGAATCTAATTAAAGACGCCGAAGAGCTTCATGTTCCCGAACGCGAGATACGATGAAGAACAAGATTCTTTCCTATTCAGCGAGGAGTCGACTCTAGTGCCTCTAACGTTCTCCTTCATCTGCCAAGAAAGACCCGCTCCGGGCTTCAAGCCCTCGGGAAGGCAGAACACGAGGCGTGAATGAACAAGACGAGAGGCGTCTGGCTGGGTCCTGGACCTAACTGGAGTCTAATCTGTTTAAGGCTGGATGAAAGGCTGCGATTAGAGAAGAAAATGGAGGGTTCTCTCGTCCGAAAATCGTCGGGCGTCTGTCTTCTCTCTTGACTTTCCGCGAGAGGAGAAGATGGTCTAGGTTCGGCAAAGATGGTATTAACCTTTGGTCTCAAACCCCGTCCCTAGGGCATTTCTGGGCGTTTCTGTGTACACCACAGGTAACGTGCGGTGCTATGGGAGGAAATGAACGAACGAGTGCTGCAAATACCGGCACTTCTTCCTGAAGATGAACTGAAGGCAAAAAACTCTGCTCAATTTGAGAAGAGCAGACGACGTCATCGACACCCGAACGCAAATTCCGACGATGTGGGGAAATTTTTAAAGGGATTCTCTTGAGAGATTTATTTTTAATTCCGATTTGTTTCAGGCTTTGCCCCATTGGGCATTCTTCATTTCTTTTATTTTTATTTTTAACCATCGTATTTTTCTGTTGCTGAGTCTCCTTTCAAACGACAGGCGGGCCGTCATTGGGCCCAAGACACTGAATGTCGAGACTGGAGTCATCCTACTGCCCAGGATTCAAGGCCAAGGAACAGAGAGGAACAGAGAGCAACGCAAAATCTACTCAGCCTGGCGCGCAACTGTGGGTTGATCACGCCGTTACTGCTATTAATTACTTTTCTCGTCAATCCTAACTAATAAAAGGTATTGGTATCACTCTTTTCCCGCATTCCCACCTGCCCATTTTCATACTCTGCCCAAGTCGCCATCCCAAAGTCCCTCATCTCATTCATCCCACATAATCTTCATCGACACAGGGAAAGGCGTAAACGTGCCCCAGTCCTCCGTCATGTACGCATAGAAACCACCCGGCCTGGGTACCTTCTTCAGCTGGCCTTGAGGGCCCGGCACCCTTCGGAGGTTCTTACGCCGGAACACGGTGCGGAAGAGCTCGGTGATGGCCACCTGGCTGGCCTCCATGCCGAGACACGTGTGGGGGCCCTTTCCGTAGAAGATGTACGAGTCGAGGGGGCGGCGTGGGTTCACCTCGTTGGGGCTGGGGTAGTGTTTCGGGTCGCGGGCCGCCGAGACCTGTGAGAGAGATGGGGATTAGTATCTGGCCATAAGAAAAGGAATGCCAAGGAAAAGGGCAACTGGGCGAAAGGGAAAATAGAAAAACGTACGAAGCTGACGAAAACACGATCCTTGGGCGATACTGGCACTTCGCGACCATCGTCCTCGACAATCACATCGCGCACGGCGACTTCGCGGTAAGAGCCAAAAGTACCCGCTAGACGAATGCCCTCCATGGCATACCCGAGCAGCAAAGCATCGGTCTCTTCAGTCGACGCCATGCAAGCCACGCGGTTGAGCTCGGCCAAGTACGGCGTGCCTTCCGGAGAGAGGTAGAAGTCGACGGCTTGGGCAAACTGCATTCAAATAATTAGTATCCCTCGTTCTCCTACCTAGTGACAATGGGATTACTTACCACTTCGGCCTGGTTGGGAACCATGGCAGCGGCCGTGGGCAGAATCTGGCTCCACGCAATATCATGATTCGACAAACCAGCCTGCGCCAGCGCCTTGATCATATTCTTCCCATACGCCGACAGCGCATCATTCTTATCCAACTTCTGCGTATACGGAATCGGCAAGCCAAACTTCGAAAGCTTAACATTACTCTCAATAACCTTGCCCACCTTCTCCGCCGCGCCCTTGGCCGCCTGTAAAAGCGGGAACGACTTCGCCGGATCGAAATCGAAAAAGATGCATGTGAAAATGACAGCCAGTGCCTTGTAAAGCTCCTGCTCCGTCAGCACGCCGCGCGGGTTCTCCTCCGACTTGAGCGGTAAGGCGAACACCCTCGAGGCGAAGTGCACGTGGACGACGTTGCCCAGGTCTCGGATGACGTCGATCTGCGACGTGCCGCCGAGCTTGTAGCTCTTGCGCAGGAGGAGCTTCTCGGACATGGCGGCGTAGAAGGTCTTGACGTCGGCGCGCCACCCGGCGCGGTAGAGACGGGAGGCCATGCATTGGCGCTGCTTGGCGTGGAGCTCTGAGTCGCCGGCGAGCATGAAGCGGGAGCCGCCGTCGCCGAGGACGGCTGAGAGGCCTTCGCCCCATGTGACGGTGTACTTGTCGGGGTTTTCGAGGATGTACTTAGCCGCGCCGTAGGTGACGATGTTGATCCGCTCGGGGTGGTAACCGGGGCGCTCGAAGTCGAAGCGGTCCACGCGCCCGAGGCTGGTGAGGATCTTGCGGTTTTCCTCGGGGATGACCATGGGGTAGTGCGCGTAGACGGAGTTGGACTTGAAGTGGTTGGGGAAAGCCCTTAGGAAGAGCTTGTAGAGCACGCAGCCGTGGTTGACGTTGAGATCGTAGTCGACTTCCTTGTAGCCCCAGTTCGTGAGCCCACGCGGGTGGTAGTCGATCGTGTAGAACCTGTCGCCGCGGACGAGGCAGACGGCGTCGGAGAGGACGACGCGGGAGATGGTGTACGTGGGTGCGATGCCGACGCCGGGCACCATGGGTTCCTTGGCCGCCTCGGCCACTATGCCGGTGTACAGCTCGACGTTGTCCGGGTGCTGGTACAGTCGGCGGAGGTGCTCGGACACGTCCTCGTCGGGATTGATGTCCTCGAACTTCTCGTAGGGCTTAAGGCCGAAGTGCTTCCTGAACTCGTTGAGGCCGGCGACGTTCCACTTCCTGCCCTGGAGGATGCCGAGGATTTCAATGGGCTTCATGACGCGGGGCACGTTCTGGGCACCGAACGCACCGGCTGGATCCTCAATGGCCGAAGTGATGCACTCGACGAGCTCGTCGTCGTCAAACGTGCCGTCGGCCTTCCTCTTGAAACCGCCGAACGTGCGTTCCGCGGGATCCTCGGGGATGGATTTCTCAAACCCGACAAACGCCTGCATCATTTCTGGCGTGGTCATGGTCTCGGCGCGATCGCCGAAGATGCTGGCGTAAAACTCCCGGATCCACTTGTCGTCTTTGTCCGAGATGCACGAGTGCCACCTGTAGCACAGGCTGAACTCGGCCGACACAATGTTTCCCGTGCCCCGGTCGGTTCCAGCCTTGGTTCCGGCGTTGATGCCCATCTCCTGGCGGGGATCCAGAGTCCAGGTGGTGTCCACACGGTTCAGGTTGACAATGTTACGCACGTAGTCGAGAAGCGTGATGTTGATGTACAGGCCGCTAGTAACAAGCCTAGCCGTCTGGAACAGCTCCTCGTCGTATTTCTTCCACGCGACGGCCGCTTGTTCCTCGGGGAGGTCGGCACGGGGCTTGGTGAACCGGCCGCCTTCGTTGATTGCGGCGAGGTTCTTGGCGATGAAGTTGTGGAAGCGGTTGAGCATGATGAGAAGGACGGAGACGCCGGGAGGCATGCCGATGAGGCGTTTATCGGCATAGGAATCGGCTTTGAGGAGGCCGTCCTTGAATGTTCGGATGCTGTCTTGCATTTGTTGATTGCTTCCGTAGAGAGGTGACAGGTCGAGGTAGGACGAGGTTTTAGAGCGACTGGGGTCTCGAATATCGGTCCAGAAAAGATCTAAAGGGTATGTGAGAAAATGGTCTAGTTAAATAGTGATTAAAGAGATCCATGGCGAGACTCGAGAGAGACCTACCGTGGATAATGATTGACGCCCAGTACCAAAGGATGCTGGACACATTGTTTGGGTGCTTTCTGTATTGCCGGCGAGCCATGACGGACTCGAAGATCTGCTCGGGGTCGGGGAGAGCTCCCATAGTGATCTTTCCTGGTCGGACTGAACGAGCGTACACCGATCCAGCGGCGCCGAGCTGGGGCAGGATGGGGTTCTAAAGCCGCTTGCTTAGTATTTGCTCTCTCTCGAGTTGGACAGAGTCTGGTCAAACCTACGTTGAAGGATCCATCCGCCATCCTAAACCTGTACTGGTCACCAACGTATAGCAGCGGCGGGTGGTCAAGGGTATTCCAGAGCTCGTTGAGGAAGTTGTTGGTGAGTTCCTCACGTAGCTTGGACTGGTGAGGCAGGTCGGCGACGAGGGCGATAACTCGCTCCATGATCATGGTCTTATCGTCAATGATGCCATCGCCTAACACCTTGTTCTTGATCACCTCGATCAAGGTTTTGAAATCTACGCCTTTGTTAGATTGTTCCTAGAGGGCTGCCATCATTTTGCCAACCATCACGAACTACCTACCTTTGATGCTGATGGTTCGGAGATCTTGCCGGAGCTTGGGACGGGTCGCCGTCTGGGGATACGTTCCATCTCCCATTGCCGTGGGGAGTGGCCTCTTGGAAAGCTGCTTAAGCGTTGACAGCGAAGCAAAGAAGCCAGGCTCCTTCTTGGGTTTCGCGAGGGGACCGACAGGACCTCCATCAATTGGGGCTGTCGGCGTGGACTTGTGGCCATTGGCTTGTCCATAGCCGTTATGTTGTACAGGGCATTTGGCCCCATTGGCCCCGTTGGTTCCGTTGGCTCCATTCGCGGCCGAGGACGAACTATTAGTCCTGTCGTTCACGCCGTTGCCATTGAGGGTGCCATTCTTCTCGATTGACGCCATTGTGGGTAAGAATTCGGACGCTCTCCGTTCCTGGTACTAGGGGTATAAAGGCTGAAACAACAAGAAAAACAGTACAGGGAAGGAGTACAAGGAAAGATCCAAATCAAGGCCCAGCAGGTTCAAGAATCAAGGGTGAGTTCGTGGGAACATCGGCACGGGGTAGGCTTGGGGAGGCACCGCCCTGATATACTCCCGTTGAAAGGCACTTGTTCCTCATTATCATTCCCTACTTCTTTCTGCTGCTATTCCTGTTGACGCACCCCTGTCTCTTCACGCTGATACGCTTGCGACAAGCCACCCGCAGCTTAGCTTCAAGCTATCCCATCATCGGCCGAGCTTCAGACAGGTTCATTTCCTCAACTAAAAGCAGACGGTCCGACTGCCGCTATTAACTGCACCCGGCGAAACGCCGGGATGATCCCAATTCAGGAAGACCTCCTCTTCTCTCCACAATCAGAGGGGGAGGTGATTGGATGACAGCACGAAATTGGTATATGCCAGCTCGATCATCAGAAGCGGCCACGAAAGAAAAGCAATCCAACCAGGGCATCCCTTTTCTAAGCCATCGCATGCTCTGTTGAGTCTGGGCGGTTGTCGTCGTGAGTTTTTCGTGCTGACGGACTCAGTGTACATCCCTTGGACGGTTCCATGACTGCATGTCTCGGTTGTGGACCTCATTGTGGTCAGCACAAAGAACGTTGAACCCATGCCAAAGGTGCGGGACAAAACGGTTCTCGAGACACAACCTTTGCTTCTTCTTCCCCTCCCCAAGAGCTATTTCCGGTCACCGTTTTTCAGTTTTGACGTAGTGTACATGCCCAGCCTACTACGTACAAAGTAGTGCAGTTCTCAGGTCTAGCAAATGTCGGCCCTAAGGGATGCTTGCGCCTGCAACGTCCCGTTCGAGCTGTGCCAGCTAGCCACGGACTGTCTGATCATATCCCGGAAGAGTCTGGCCCAAGCAGCAGCGGCAGAGCCGGTCCAGTCGATCAATGTTTGTGAAGAAACTAGTGCAGCAGGGAGGAGAGCCTCATTACCCCAGACCATTGGCAATTGGCAGTTGCCAATTGCGGTGAAGCTGGTTGGCCGCAGGTGAGAATGTGAGATATGATCATATCAATGAGCAGATGCCCAACGGTATGCTGTTCGCTACTTCTGAGCTGAATCAAGGTTGCAGCACCAGGGGGGAAGTCCCGGTCTAGCAGCGGGAGCTAAGAAATTTGATGAGAACCAATTCTGGTCAGACATCCAAGCCTACGTAAGAGACTAGCTGCCGACCGGGCCGGAGTGTCCTTGTCCTTGTCAGATACGATATCATATATCTCGTACGAAGGAGGGTCAAAAGTAAAACTAGGTGTCGTCGTTTTTGACCCGCGGGTCGGGTCTAATTTAGGATCTTCCCGAACAGGCCTGGGCTGAACCAGGTGTGGCTTACTTTCAACGGTTGGCAAGGCTCTTCGGACGAATAATGAACTCTTGAGACTTTGAGAGACAGGACGTGCCTGGAGTTAGTGCAAACATGTACATACAGCACCATGCCTCTTCCAGCACGTTGGGTGACAATGCACCAAGCCACGGCGCCCGGAAACTAACGGCCTTGGGGAGAAGCGACATGGCTTGTGAGGCAGGCGGTCGCCCGGCGGTCGCCAGCCGTGGTTCTTCTCTCTTAGTGTAGAAGTAGTGGCCCAGTCGTGAACATCACGACAGTCCTGTCAGATTCCACGAGAAACCTCAGTGGCAAGGATCGCCAGCCCTAACATCACCAATAATCCCTGGCCAGCTGGAAAGGGGGGACCGTACCATGCGAGGGAGATACGAATGGGAAAAGCTATTAGCTCTCCTTCGTCCACTCCTGACGACGTTTCCGTAGAACAGGAGCAAGGTGGTTTCCGACAGGCGAGACCAGTCCGATTTGGGAAATTGGTCAAAACGTTCGGGCGGTGATTGGAGCAAGATTTCAAGCGCGGATACACCTGCCTGCTGCTATTGAATACACGCGCAGGAGATGAAGAAAGAACAAGCATATTTTCTCTCCAGTCGGAGCTCCACCACGAGAATCGCGTCAGTCCGAACGTGGTAATATGAACGACAATCCGCACCTTCAAAGGAGACCAAGCCCGCCACAGCTCAGGATCTGCAGCGCGCTCCGTGAGGGGTCATCCTGGTGATCATCGGTCTCTCCCTTCCCTCTAAATACGTACCAACTGTATGCGTACTTACTTCGTCTGTCTGTCCAAGAAAAGCCAACCAGCAGCCCAGCAGCACATTTTTCCCCCCCTCGCATTGCCGCGGGCCTCTTCTGGTGATCCACCATTGTCCTCGTTGCCGTACTAGATAGGGCAACGGAAAATTTCGTACTTCGGAGGGTTCTCTCGGGCCGGTTCCTTCGTCGACGCTAATTATGAGGAGCGGCCGATACCTTTTGCTCACCGCTGGCTTTGAAGCACCTTGCGGCGGAGACTACTCAACACGGATGCACAGCACGGCCGTTGAGAGGGGAGTTTGCGGCAGGCCTGGTGGTGGGCCGCACTGAAAGAATGAAGAGGCTCGACTTGGCTAGAGCCACTGCTTCTCCTTATCTCCTCCTGTCTCACTTGGCGATGCTAAGCATGTCCGTGAAGCAATATTTGACGATTTCGTCTTTTTCATTTGGCAATCCAATGGGGGCTATTATAGTTCATGAAGCGGCGGAGCTGATTCTCCGTAGATGTGTTGGGTGTCTTGTTTGTCTCGGACGGCGAGAGGGGAGGATAATGATCATCGCCTAGAACGGTAATTGAGGAAATTGGTCGCAAACTGGTCCTTTGATAACGTGCATGCATGTCGAAGACGGGAGAAGATGTTTCGACATTCGGAGCATCCCCATTCGGCGCCGAGACGGCCTGGCGAAGAGCCGGAAGTTGATTCTCACTGCCGCACCACATTTATATTTACATTTTGAAGCGTCATTTGGGATTTGGCACACCTAAAGGAGCGTGGCGTTTGCAAAAGAAACTCCCTAAATTCTCGCTTCGCTCCGTTCCTACCCGCGAACCCGAGTCTGTATGTTTCCAATGGCCTGCATCAATAGTCTTGTCGTAATTGGTGACCGCATGCAGGCGTCTCACGCACAACCCCCCTAATAATTCAATGAATTTGACTCGTGAAGGAGGGATTCGTTCGCGACACCCTGTAGAAGTCCCAGAATTCACCTTTTAAATCCCAGTATTGTGTGGAGGAATTCAATCACAATTCCGTCACGGGCGACCGGCTTACAGACGATACTCGTCGTCGAAATCCTAGGTAGATGCGTGCGCAAAGTAGATAATATTCTCCGATTGGAACCTCATACTTCATTATCCTGCAAGTTTCCGAACGGCGTTTGCTCCGGGTTTGCTCCATGGGTGGTTGGGGGCTCTGGGGCGTCCTCGCCTCAGGGTTCAGGGCGCTGGCACGGTGGGTTGATAATTTATAAGCGGTGAGACGCGGCAGAAAATCGCGAGTGCTCAATCCGCCGAAATCTCCCAAAGCTTCCGATGGGCTCATCTAAATTTGAATCACACGCCTTGCGGCAGTCTTCACCATTGCACCGGGTACGTGAACCTATGCTGTCCGTCTCTTCTAGGGTCTGTCTAGCTAGACGGCTACCGACCTCCTTTGTTCGGTATGCCTCCGCGCAGAGAGAGGTTCTCTCCAAGGACATTCTGCAGGCCGAGAATGCCATCGCAAAACAGCTCCTGGCTACCAATGTCTGGAAACCTCATAGGTCAAAGGCCCGCGCGACGGTAAAGGGGGAGAAGACGAGGATTAACATCACCGGCGACAAGCTCTGCAGTACGCACGCCAAATTGCTCCCACTTCTTCCCGTCTCTCTCGTCGGTGCTAATCCATTCCATTATAGAGAACATTGAGAAATATCTTGGCCCCTCGCTCCAGCGCCATGTCGGCTGCGACCTCATCGACCTCTTCCCCGGCGTCGGCGTCTGGAGTCGAAAACTCCGCGACCTCGTCCTGCCCCGAACCCACATCCTGATGGAACCCGACGAACCCCTCTACGCCCCCTTCCTCGAGCCCTTGACCAAGAATCCCGGGACAACAATCGTCCCCAAATCCGGCCTCGTGTGGAAAGATCTTCATAAAGTCCTCGAGAGCCTCCCCCACCAGACTCGACTCGACCCGCACTCGCCTACTCCCCCGCCCCGAAACGATACGCTCCTCGTGACGGTTAACCTGTGTTTCTTCCCACGGACACGCTCTGTCGCTCTTTACCTCTACCAACTACTCTCCGCCATTCGATCCGGCACGCTCTTCCAAGAATATGGCCTCGTGCGAATGCTCATATGGGTTAGACCTGAAGATATACGGTCCACCATCCTCCCGACGACAGTGCAGCTGCGCTCCCGGAGCGCCATCGAAGCGGAACTAGCGTGCGAGTGGATCAACGAAGTTGTGGGCATTGATAGCGAGGATGCCGATCTCCAGGCTGCCATTTACCGTTCGAAGCGATCGGGCGGACCGCGCGACCGTTCTATCGAATTGGAGAGCGCCTACCGGACGTGGCAGAGGCTTCGTGAGCAAGGCATTACAATTCCCAAGGGGCGAGAGACCGCACTCATCAAGGAGGCGAAGAAGATTAGGAGCAACTCGACTCTGCTGTCTACACGCGTCCAGTCTCCGAACGTCGCTTTACCCTATGCCGAGGAGCTGGCAGAGCTTGAAGCTGCTTTGGAAGAGGGGGAATTCGAGAAGGGGTCGACAGAATACAAGAGACTACTTCGGCTCCGATATCGCCAAACGAACGATACCAAGCAAGCGGGCTCCTACGTCGATATCCTACAGGAATACGCGACGCTGGCCGACCTTTACAAGAGCGGGATAGCCAGCCCAGAAGAGCTACTGGAGAAGGACCGGCTCTTGAACGATAAGGTCGCCTCGCTCAACCCCCACAGTCTCTCTACCTTCCGTCTCATCCGAGACAACCTCCATCTATTCCGTCAAAACCCCCCCGCGATGCTCTGGGACAGACGCACTCTCGAACCCCTCACCGTCAAACCAGAAGAATTCTTCCCCAACGTGGGCTGCTCCCTCCTCGACATCCAACCCAAGGCCATCAACCCCGTCCTCCGCGGTTCGGGAGAAGGCTCCAAGGTGTTCGACCTCCTCGTCAAGATCATGCTCCGCAACTCCACCGTCCCCGTGTCCGAGCGCATCGACGACGTCTGGCCTGACGCGGCCGAGGGTATCCTCCCCGGCTGCCCCAGCCTCCGCGATCCTTCCAAGGGGGGAACCTTTGGAAGTGAGCATGCGGAGCTGTGCGCTAGGGCCCTGAACGAGAGGCAGTGGGTTGAGATGGTGGAGGCGTGGATGAAGTGGCCGTTTAGGCCGAGGTATGAAAGGCTGGAGAGGCAGCATTCGGAGGTGGAGGAGGATGATGATGATTCGGGGGGTACGGCGGAGGGAGAGTTTGTGCTGTGATGAGATTTGAAGAGCAGGAAGCTCGCTCTTCTGTATTGTACGATAGCGTGTGTGTATAAGAAGCGCATAGCATGGTCTTGGATAGATACCCATCTCCTTGGTTTTTAGGGGGCATAGACACTGGTTGAATAGAAATAGACATCACTCACAGTTTCCAACACCTACATCTATCCTCCTGTCCTGGCTTGCCCCGCTGATATATTTCCATCTCCAAAAACCCGAGAGCAAGCTGAAGAAGGGTGGGAGGAAAGAAACACAAAAAGACCAGGAAAAAAAGGGGGGGACTGAAAAATATATAATACAATAATAATATAGATGTTCTGTCGGGGCCGAGTAGCACGACCCTACAACACAAACAGGTGACAACCACGGAGCTGGGGCCGCAACTTGGTTGGAGACTCAAACTGACCAAGATTCCGGAACACTCCAGCCGTATTGACATGGCCATACTTGATGGCGAGGTCAAGAGGAGTCGACTGATACGCATCATTGGAATAGATATCAGCCTTCGCCTCCGGGAGTGCTACGACAGCCCCAGTGTGGCCACCCTCTGCCGCAAGGCGAAGACCAGTACTGGCCTCCGACGCCGTTTGAGCATTAACGACGGTGTGCTTTTCGCAGCGCTGCCTAATAATATCAGCATGGCCATTTCTTTTTGCCGCAAAATGGAGTGCTGTCCAGTTGTCCTTCGCGATGCGATAGACGTTGGCCTTCGCTTCTCGGAGTGCTGCGATAGAACTGCTATGGCCACGTTGTGCCGCAATGCGAAGGGCAGCCAAGTCTTGTGACTTTGACTGAGCATCAATCATAGCATGATTTTGGTAGAGGATGTTGATGATCTTGGTATGGCCATCAGGGCTTGGTAATGGACAGCTGTATTTACTGGCAGAAGCACTTTAACTGCGCTAGCATGACCATTATACGCCACAATATGGAGGGCTATTTGTTAGTTCCCATCGTAAGAGTTGATATCGGCTTCTGCCTGTATGAGCATTTTCAATAAGAGAAGTATTGCTATCCCATAGGAGGATATTGACAACACAGGGTAGTGCCATCCCCCGCTACAGGGTGAGGAGGTGTGGCTGGCTGCTTTTGGCTGGACATCAACTGCAGTCTACTGTGTCTCGTCGCAGGAATTTACACCAGTACGTGCTTGCAGCAGCGCCTTAACAACACGGCTATAGTCATTCCGTAATATGTCCCCGACGTGGTCGTCTTCTTGGCCTCAGATTCCCGTGACATCTTTCAATCTTTGCTCAGGCTGGATCCGGCCTGGCTCAGCTTCCGCTAAAACAGCTCCAGCATCTCGCTGAATCTTGCCGACTTTACCAAGGGACCTACTGCTTCAAAAACATCCTCCTTCAACAATGGACCTAGGAACTTGAACACCACAGTTTCACAACGTCAATAGTATGTCATAGAACAATACGGTGAAAAAAGCCGTGGTCATTAAGGCAGGACAAAGTATGTTGCACAATGATGACAATGGAAAATCTTTATTAACGAACGCATATCCGTCGCACCCGTGAGAGGAATTCCTCAGTGGGCCCATGTCCCTTAAAGCGTATATCTGAACAGAGGGGACTTGTCGCCCAAGGCCGCAAGGTCCTCATCCGAATATTTGTCGCGGACTTCAGCCTCGGAGACCTGGCTCCTCTTCTTGTTGATACGAATGTAGATGACATCGAGAAGAATAGACGCAGTAATACCAAGACCAGCGAAGGCTAGGGATGTGCAAAATCCAGTGGGATAGGCAGGCGCCTCGGAGTCGATGAAAATGTACGAAGCTCCAATTCCTCCAAGGTTGGTGAGGGAAGTCATGTAGGCTATTCCGAGCGCACGCTTGGCGGGACCCGCGAGGTTGTTGCTGATCCACGAACTCGAGCCAGGATTGATAGGATAGAGACCGACACTGGCAAGGACAATTGCGAAGTAGCAAGCGCCGATGTTGTCCTTGATCTTTGGTGCAAGTGGGGTCAGGATGGAGTATGCAATGATGAGCATGGACTGGGGGATAATGAGGAAGTACGATCGGCGCCTGAATTTGTCGGAAAGTCGACCAAATATATATGCGCTGATGGCACCAGCTACATAAGGGGGGACAGTCCTAGAGGAAACCGAGTTTTAACAGCTGAGAAACAAAGAGAGTGTTCTGAAATAAACTCACATAAGCTGGGCATCGCTGTTGGTAATTAAAGCCCATGTTCTTCATGATCTGTGGCATAGTAAACTTGAGACCATACGTCGGGACGGTGTTGGACCAGTAGTTGAACACCATGAGGTAAAACTGCCAGTCGGAAACAATATCCCAAAGCAAGCTCCAGTTAAAATGCGAGCCGGCTTTCTGCACCTTTGCCCCGCCGTCTTGAAGCGTCATTCGGACGGTGAGATATCGCTGTTCTTCCTCGCTAAGCCAGCGGGATCCATTCTCAGGAGTGTCGGCGAGGACAAGTGGTGTGATAACGCCAAGCAAAACAGTAATGATGCCCTAGCCAAGATTAGTTAGAGACTACGATTCAAGCCAGGCGATGAAGAGACCGGGCCATTGACGCGCAGCCTACCTCCATAAGGAAGATCCAGCGCCAGCCAGCCACGCCTGAGATGCCATCCATCCTAGCGAACGCATAGGCAAGCAGACCAGAGAAAGCCCCGGAAAGGGCAGAGCCTACGTAGAACAAGGAGAACCGGGTCGCCAATTCATACTTGGTGTACCACTTGTTCATGAACAGGATAGCACCCGGGAAGAGACCTGGCAGTCAATTAGTGGACGTTTCTCGAAATAGGTTATTCGGGGAGAGGGGTGGCAATACCGGCTTCGAAAACACCCATAAGGAGGCGGACAGTGATAATTCCTCCAAAGTTTTGAACGATGCCGTGCTAGATTGCAGATCGAGTTTTAACAAAGTTGCATGCGGCGATGCACGTACATATCGTAATCCAGGAAGAAGACGAACCAGAGTCATAAGCACACCCCATACGATGGTGATGATACCGATCCACCATGAGGGCCGGTCGTGGAAGTAGTGTTCGAGGATGAAGTTGCTTGGCATCTCTGCGCTCGTTAACATTAATACGTCGAACGGTGATTCCCGCTGAAGGCAGTTGTCTTCAAAAAGAGTGAACTGGGTAAACTAACCGAAGAGAATGTAGGTGACAAAGAAGATTGAGAGAGTGACATTGTATTGGTGCCCGGTTAACCCCAAGTCCTCGTTCATGCCCTGCCAAGTCATCACTGTTAGAATTTTGACGAAACCGGTGCAAGCAAATCAAAGGGTGTTACTGACCTCAATCTTTGCGTTGCCAATGTTGGCTCGGTCGATGTACGACATCACTGCATATAAGGGTTAGCAGCGCCTTCGATCAATCTCGAGGTATGGAACCTACAGTAAAGGGCGATGAGACACGGGACGATGTGCAAGTCCAGCTTCCTCAAGAGTTTCTTCCTCTTCTCCGCTGGGAAAGAATCGACGAATCTCTCCTCGGCCGTCGTGCTGTTGGCATCCTCAGCATCGTGCTCGGCGTGAATGGCTGGGGCTCTTTTGTCGTCGTCGAAGGACTGGGCTGTGCTGTTATCGGGCACTCTATTCTCCATGATGAAGATTACTTGAAGTGTGTTAAGTGCAGTATTGATAGGTTGTGCAGAGGCGAGACAGCAGACGCAATGTGCCAAAGAACCTTCGGGACGATCACTTGGGTCGAGGAACGACTGATGCCCTTATATACCTGACATCGAGTTCTCGGGCAGGTGCATGGATAAAAAAAAAAGAACTTTAACAAAGAATTGGAGTGGAATGCTTGGCCTTGGATGCCCTCCCTTCCCTGGCTAGACGGAACGGTGGCAGCGAGAAACCCGGTTGCGTCGAAGGGTCGTCGAGACCGAAAGAGAAGCCAAGCCAAAAGCCCAATCAAAGATCCGAAGAGCTACCCCAACATGCATCTCCTTGGCCTAATCCGAAAAAGGTTGGTGGACGCGGGGTATTGCCAATTTGTTGGTTTCCATTTGGCTCCAGCTTCCTGGGATATTGTGGGGAAGTGGCTCATGATGCTAGACCCGGAAAACAAGAACATAGCCGGTGCGTATCCGAGAATGTAGCCGGCGTCGGAGGGAGAGCTTCGCCGTCCGGATATTACGTGGTAAGCTCGACATCTTGATGACAACCCTGTTTTGATATAAGGCCACTAGCGTAGCGACTTGATGGAGAGTCCGAGATTGATGCCAGCACATGCACCAAACAATTAAGCAACCTTCGATACCATTATCTGAAGAGATCGCAAAAGCGCAAGCTCAATCCCAAAAGACTCCTGAAGCCCAGGTTCAAAAATCTTGACCTTTTCGAATATTCTCACCATGGCCCCCTCAGCTACTGAGACTATCCAAGCTTCTGCGCCTGTTGAAGATATCACCAAGTTGACTGGCGACGAGCGTGCCGCTGCCCTTAAGGCCAACAGCAAGGATCGTCCTCTCGACGTCTTTACCTATGGTGGCCACCCCATCTCGGGACACCAGAGGGAACCTATCCACCAAATCCGCATCCCCAAGTTGGCAACCCTTGAAGACGAGAGGGAGTGGCGGAAACTTCACCACGCCGCGGCTCTCCGTTGGCTGGGTCTAAACGGCTACAACAACGAGGGTGCGGGTGGTCACGTCACCGTCAGAGACCCTATCCTTACGGACCACTTTTGGATCAACCCACATGGCGTCTCTTTCTCTCACATGAAGCCTGAGGATCTCTGCCTCGTAAATGAAGAGGGCGAGGTTGTCAGGCCGGGCAACATGCACGCCATCAACCCGGCCGGCTTTTCCATCCATGTCGCGGTACACAAAGCTCGTCCAGATGTGATTGCAGCATGCCATTGCCACTCCGTCCCGACCAAGGCTTTCTCGGCGCTTGGTTGCAAGCTTGAGCCCATTAACCAGGACGCTTGCCGCTTCTACGAAGACCACGCCATCTACGTACATAGACTAACCCTGGTCCCTGGCGTTGCCTCCCGGAGTAAGCTGGAAGTGACGTCATATTTGCGGGGACCTTGCAAGGATGGACAAAGATGGACACGACTTGTCCAGTCAACCAAAAGCTTCATCTTCAGACAGGCTTTCAATGATAATCTATTATAACCTATTAGAGGAAATCATCTTAAGAACAAGTTCTTTTCTTATTTTTAATTTATATTATACCATGCACTCCATAAAAGCGTTTTCCATCCCGCCCCATATCAAACATCAATGTCAAATTTCATCAAGGGAAGGAAGCACCAGGGCACAAATCCCACTCCACTTTAGTGCATTATGTCACGAGCTGACCATTTTAAAGGCCCAAGGCGGTCAGACATGGCAGAAAAGAGTAAACCACAGGAGATCACAAACTAATAGAACTAGGACCAACAGAACCAACAGAGCAGTCCCAGCAGTCCAGGACAGAACTAACAAGGGAATATAATCAGTCCTCAGTAAGACTAATACTAGAAGAGTATCAGTCCTAGGGAGAGCTTAGAAGGGAAATATCTATATAAATTATAAGTTCTACCATATATCTAGTTTATCTTTTAAGACTCTCTAGTAGTTAATTTAAGTACAACTATACCCCTACACTTAAATATACACTTCTCACCAATATCTTATAAACACTACTTAACTACCTTACTCTACTACTAATAGATAACTACCTTAATCCTATTATTAATTATAATTACCTAATATTATTAATAAGCTAGTATTAAAATTATAATATATTAACTATTTTTATTTAATAAGTAATTTTATTAAGTAGAACTAATATCTAAAAATTATAGTATCTATAAAGGAAAAGAATTTTATTAAATTAGATAATAAGATTAAGATATTAAAAGCTATAAGCCCTACTATAGAAGTTAGAGAAGACTTTAGTAATAATAAGGAAAAAAATAACTATACTATACTTATTAAAGAACTTTAGGACAATATATATAAATAGTAAAATAAACTAAAGGATACTAAAGACTTTACTATCTAGTAATAAGATATTAATACTTAGATTAAGTAGTAAATTATTTAATTAGAGTAAATAATCTAATAGTTAAATATTAATATTATAACTAGGGAAAGTAGTACTCTCCTTATATCTATTATACCTATAATATTTAAATTTAAAATTACTATACTAAAAAAGTATAAAGGAAACTAGTAAGAGCTATAAAGGTTTTTAACTTAGATAAAAACCTTTTTATAATACTATAGAAACTAGTTTTATACTAAAGCTAATAAAATTACTACTATAGTTTAATATCTTATAAGTAATATATTTACTTAGTTTAAACTAACCCTCTAAAACTATTTAGAAAATAATAAAATTAGATAATAAACTAAAATTATTAAAATCTTTAAAAATTATAAGATCTTTAAAGATAATCTTAAGGAAGCCTTTAGAAAATTTAATAAACAGTAAACTATAATTTAATAACTTAAAAAGTTATCTTAGAAAAGATCTATAATTAAGTATACTACTAAATTTAAACAGATTACTATATATCTTAACTAAGAAAATAATCTCTTAATAAACTACTTCTATAATAAGCTTAAAAAAGAAATTAAAAATAAGCTCTATAAGCTTAAAAAACTAATATAACTAGCTAATATCACAACATAGCTACAACCAGGTCACAAGGAAGCAGTATAGCACTACAGAATAAAGGATTATATAATAAAGAAGTTAGACAGGACCAAGTCTAACTAATTAATCAAATAAAAGATCAATAGAACAATCACACCTACAACTAACCAACTAGTCAATCAAAGGTACAACTAACCCCAAGAAGAGCTTAGAAAGGAAATATCTATATAAACTACAGTTTACTCTATATATCTAGTTTATCTTTCAAGACTCTCCAATAGTCAATTCAAATACAACTACACCCCTATACTTAAATATACACTTCTTACCTATATCTTATAAATACTACTTAACTACCTTACTCTACTATTAATAGATAATATCTTAATCCTATTACTAGTTATATCTACTTAATACTATTAACAAACTAGTATTAAGATTATAATATATTAACTACTCCTATTTAGTAAATAACCCTATTAAGTAATACTAATATCTAAAAATTATAATACCTAAAAAAGGAAAGCTACCTATTACTCTAAACCCTAAATTAAATAATAAAATCAAAATATAAAAAGTAACTACTCTACCTATAGATAATAGAGAAAACTCTAATAACAACTACAACCATACTACTACTATTAAAGAAGTATATAGCAAAGTCAAAAACCAGATTACTNAAACTAATATAACTAGCTAATATCACAACATAGCTACAACCAGGTCACAAGGAAGCAGTATAGCACTACAGAATAAAGGATTATATAATAAAGAAGTTAGACAGGACCAAGTCTAACTAATTAATCAAATAAAAGATCAATAGAACAATCACACCTACAACTAACCAACTAGTCAATCAAAGGTACAACTAACCCCAAGAAGAGCTTAGAAAGGAAATATCTATATAAACTACAGTTTACTCTATATATCTAGTTTATCTTTCAAGACTCTCCAATAGTCAATTCAAATACAACTACACCCCTATACTTAAATATACACTTCTTACCTATATCTTATAAATACTACTTAACTACCTTACTCTACTATTAATAGATAATATCTTAATCCTATTACTAGTTATATCTACTTAATACTATTAACAAACTAGTATTAAGATTATAATATATTAACTACTCCTATTTAGTAAATAACCCTATTAAGTAATACTAATATCTAAAAATTATAATACCTAAAAAAGGAAAGCTACCTATTACTCTAAACCCTAAATTAAATAATAAAATCAAAATATAAAAAGTAACTACTCTACCTATAGATAATAGAGAAAACTCTAATAACAACTACAACCATACTACTACTATTAAAGAAGTATATAGCAAAGTCAAAAACCAGATTACTAAAATAAAAGATATCAATAAGAAACTAGTAAAAGTTAATAAGTTTACTACCTACTAAAATAAAAAAAACAGGGAACTTAACTAATATATCACTTATATAAAATAGATAATCCAGCAGCTCTACAACAACCTAAAAATATAAAGAATCCCCTAGGCACCTACTATCTAACTATAAGTATTTAATAGACTAAAACTTAAAATTATAATATTAGATAAATATAAAAAAAACTAATAGAAGCTATAAGGATTCTTAACCTAGATAAAAACCTACTTATAATACTATAAAAGATAGCTTTATATTAAAGCTAACAAAGTTACTATTATAGCTTAGTACCTTATAAATAATATACTTACCTAGTTTAAACTAATCTTCTAAGATTACTTAGAAAATAATAAAATTAAATAAAAAAAACAGGGAACTTAACTAATATATCACTTATATAAAATAGATAATCCAGCAGCTCTACAACAACCTAAAAATATAAAGAATCCCCTAGGCACCTACTATCTAACTATAAGTATTTAATAGACTAAAACTTAAAATTATAATTTCTTAAGTTACTAAATTATAGTTTATTATTTATTAAGTTTTTTAAAAGCTTTTAAAAAAGCTTTTAAAAAACTTAATAAATAATAAACTATAATTTAGTAACTTAAAAAATTATAATAAATAAGCTCTACTACTAAGTATATTATAAAGTTTAAATAGATTATTATATATTTTAACTAAAGAAATAATCTCCTAATAACTTATTTTTATAATAGATTAAAAGAAGATATTAAAAATAAGTTTTATAAACTTAAAAAACTAGTATAACTAATTAAATATATAGAAAATATTATTAAAATTAATAATTAACTATATAAATAATAATAGTAAAAGTAAAATTAAGGTATTATAATAAAGGCTTATAAACTATAGGCCTCTACTAATACTAAATAAAAATAAAGTAATAGTAATACCTTATAAGGAACTTACTCTAAACCTATAAAACTAAAAACTAGTAATAAAAATATTATTTTTAAGTTACTTAAGAATAAGATTAATAAATACTTCCTATATAGAAAATATAGACATTTTATATAAGAATATTAAATAAAGTATAAGCTTAAACTAAGTTATAAGAAACCTAATAAAAAGAAAACTTAGAAACTAGTACCTAAAAGAAAAACTTAATAATTAGGAGCTAGTATAGTTAATTATAAATCTCTATTATAGACTATATACTATAATAATAACTATACTATCTACTAAAGTAAAAAAGATAGAACTAAATAATATTTTAAAAAACCCTAAACTTTTAAGATAATATAATAAGAAGAGATTACTAAAATCTTAAAAATTAAAAACTATATTAAAGAAACCTAGTAAAAATTACTAAAAAAGTTT